GGCCTGGCTGGCCAGGATGAACTCGGCCGCACGCCTCTGCATTGGGCGTGCGCCACGGGGAAACTACGCTTCGCGCAGCTGCTTCTGACCCGACCGCATGGGCCGGTCGCAGACGTAAATGCTGTCGAGTGTCGGAACAAGACCGCGCTCCATATTGCGGTCGCTCATGGTCGTGATGACATTGTCCAGCTCTTGCTGGCATACGACGCGGACGTGAACGCGCGAAGTGACGGTGGCTGGACCCCGCTGCATAATGCCTGCGACAGAGGCTCTGAGCTGATTGTGCGTATCCTTCTACGCGCTGGAGCCAACATCAATAGCCAACTGCTCAACGGGGTGACGCCTTTGCACCTGGCTGCACAAGCTGGTCACCGCGAGGTAGTAGAGTGTCTGCTGGAGCAGAAGGGATTAAAGCAGAGAATTCGGGACAACTTCGGCAGCACACCATTCCTGCGGGCAGCCCAATTCAAGCGGAGAGACATAGTATCTCTCCTTGCCCCGTTCAACACCGTCGAGGCTCTGTCTGCGGAGGCGAAAGGCGCATGTGAAGCATTCGAGGCTACCGTGGTCGATTTTGGTAACTTCCACAACGAAAATCGGGTCAAGAAGACGTCGGTCTTCAATCTTCTCTACGGTCGCGATCCCGAGAACCCACGCAAACAGGCATTTAGCACCCTACCGGCGGATAGTCGGGCGACTGACTTTCGTTGGATTCATCTTCCGGCGAATAATTTGACATGGGTCGAGGCTCTTCTTACCAAGTCATTCATCGAAGAAGGGGCGCACGATGTGGAGAGCTTCAAGGGGCTGGAGAAATCCTTCCGCTACCAACATCGAGGACAACGGATACACTCGCACTTTATGCGTCCTCTGTGCCAGAGCACTCCTCGTGCGCCACGGTTTCAGGAGGACGACAGTTCCGAGGAGAAGACGGTTGAACTGCTCCCTCAGATTCTCATCAACGGCCAGTCTCATGAGGCCCCGAGCACTCCGAAAGAAGGTAACATGCCTAGAGGCCGTAAATTGAGAGAGCACGGAAGCAAGACTGAACCTACCGACTCAATTTCTGACAACCTGGCGAAGAAGGGGAAGGGTGCGACCAAGCGTGGCAAGGCTGGGGGAGCACAGTATAAGCATGAGTCTAAACACAACCACGGTATCGATCGGAACGATAAGAATCGGCCTGTTCTTTCTCTGTGCAAAGACTCAGCACGCTCCAACGCGTGCAATGTGTGCATGTTCATGCCGTATCTCCATTTCGAAACGACCGAGAGACGTCAGAAGATGCAAGATGCCATCCAGCGAGCTGAGACGCGGTGTCTCGCGCGGCCCAGCCTCACCCGGACACCTACGCGGGATGAGCTCTTGATCAGCGCGCATTTAGCATCGTCGACCACGTCGCTTCACATCCGACGCACGTTGGATCAGTTCTTCTACCCCAACATCGACACACTGACACGAGACCAAGACCAGGTCGTCTACCGGTACCAGACCAAAGGCCAGGGCCGCGAGCGGTTCCTGTCGGAACCCAAGATCTTCATGGTCGATCAACTTTGGATGTGGATCCTTGGAACCGGGTTAATCGTGACTAGCTTCCCCGAGCGGTGGGAGCAGCCCAAGAACGACCCGCTCAACGTCCTCGACGGGATCATCGAAGATATCAACTCCAAGACCAGGGAGCCCGTCAAGTCCGTCTACGATCTGGCCATCATCATCACCACCCGCTGCTCGGGGGTGTTTGACCGGCATCGCATGGGCGACGAAGAGTACCAGTTTTTGGACATGTTCGAGGCGTCAATCGGTGTTGCCACAGACCGCGAGACGGTCCTCTTCAACCAGTTCAACCGGGACTCCGCACAGGCGTCCGACTGGCTCAAGAACCACCGCAAGCTCAGCCGGTTTGCTCGGCCGCCGCCGCCGCCCAGCAAGGATCGTGACGCGGCTACCGCTGGAGAGCGCCGCGGTAACAACCCCACCGATGCCGCACGCGATGAGTACTGCGAAGCCGAGACGGAAGACGAGCACGAAGAAGACGAACAGCCCCTGTTCGTGGACAACCTCCTAGACATCGGCCAGGAGACGGATCTCCTCTCCGAGGCCAAGGACATCCGCGACGAGCTCAACATGATCCGCACGGTGCTGCAGCACCAGCAGCACGTGCTGCTGGACTTCCAGGAGGCGATCTGCGAGATCTACACGGGCCAGCACCGGTCGCAGTCCGAGATCAAGAAGCGGTTCAAGGAGCAGCAGCGCACGATCGACATGCACCTGAAGGACATCGACCGCATGGACAAACAGGCCGAGCGCATCTACTCCTCCATCACGGACCTGCTCGACCTCAAGCAGAAACACGCCAACGCCTTCGAGGCCCGCTTCGCCCGCGACCAGGCCGCCGGCACCACCCGCCAGGGCAAGATCATGATGGTCTTCACCATCGTCACCATCGTCTTCCTGCCCTTGTCCTTCATCACCTCCATCTTCACCATCAACCTGGCCGAATTCGGCGGAGCGTCCGGCACTGGCGGCGGCGGCGGCAGCGGCGGCAGCGACAGCACCGGCCAGCTGCATCTCTCCTACGTGGCCAAGTATACCTTCGGCATCGGCTTCGCCATCTCCATCCCGCTGATCATCCTGGCCCTCCTGCTGGATGATATCGGCGACGCGTGTCAGGAGGGGATCCGACGGTCGCGGCGGTGGATGGCGCTGCAACACGGGAGTAAGAGGAGTCGTTTGCGCGGTGGCGGGGGTGCTGCTGTTGCAGTACCAGGAAAACTCATGAGAGACGAACAAGATGGCATCCGCCCGACGGGGTACGAGTTCGAGAAGATCCTGAGTGGGAACCGGTCGATACGGAAGAGTCTCGATACGGACTTTGCGGGGAGTTTGTTGCCCATCTCCACGCGGGGCACCGCACGGAGGAGCTGATCTGGTTGGTGGGTTGGCTTGGCTTTTATGACAATGATGATGATGAGACATGATCATGAACGACAATTGTGTATGTATGATGGGAGTTTTCTGGGCTGTGCCTTACTCAAAAGTGGCTTTCATGTTTTGGGAATTTGTGTCAGAGTGTTTTTGGCGATTATTTGTCCTGGGCTATAGATGATGCTCCTTGCTGAATGAATAAGTTGAGTTTGGATTTAGATCAAATTCTATATTAAGCTATTTTTATGAGGAAGATGTGATAGGCACCACATATACAGTATACCACCCGCGACGCCTAGTGTAGCATCGTACCAATGCACCGATCCTCCTACCCTATCAACGAGACGTGCTTCGTCAAACGCGTATATTCAATTCCGATCACCGCTGGAACGGTACCAAGCCTAAAGCTCCTTCTTCAAGAAATGCTCCGGCTTGTGCGTGGTCTCGTAGTCCACGTGGACGTAGGCGCGCTCCACGTCCGGCAGGGACTCGAGTTTGGTCTGCAGCTCCTCGGCGACGTCGTGGGTGGCACGCAGGGAGTCGTCAGGGTCCATGACGATGTCGACCTCGACGACCAAGCGGGGGCCGGAGGTGTAGGCGCGGACGGTGTCGATGGCGGTGATGAGGGGGGAGTGGGTCATTGCTTTGGCGGGGATTTGTTAGAACCGACACCAGAGAGAGAGATGCTGACTACGGGGATGTAGTTCCCGATCCAACAAGATAGGGGAAGACAGAGAAACTCACAGATATAAGTGATCAGCTGCTGCATCTTGGTATCAGCCGTGACGCCGATCAAGAGCTGGAACTCATGGTAGGCGGTATGCAGCCACAGCGCGGCCACGAGCACGGACAGCAGGATCGCGCCGGCGGGATCGATCCACCAGCGCAGCTTACTGCCGCCGACGGAAGTCAGAATCCCGAAGCCGTTGATGAACAGGTCGTTGCGGTGGTCCTCCCACAGGATGCGGACCTGCGAGTACTGGTCCTTGAGGGCGAAGCAGTACAGGAAGAGGGCGAACTTGGTGCAGAAGGCGACGATGACGGCGACGACGGACGGCAGGTGGAAAGAGCCGGTCTCGCTCTCGGAGCCCTCGGCGAGCTCGCGCACGGAGAAGGCGATGAGGATGAAGGAGACGGCCGACATGAGGAAGCAGAAGCAGATGTTGCCGGCGGTCTCGATGCGGGCCTTGCCGGCGGGGAACTTGCGGGCGTCGACGCGGTTGACGGCCTTGTTCGACAGCAGCAGGGTCAGATTGGACATCGGGTCGAAGATCGCGTCCGCCATCGTCGTGAACAGCGAGAGCGACGCCGACGAGATCGCCCCGTACAGCTGCAGCACGCACAGGATCACGTTCGCCGCGAAGCTGCCGTACACCGCGATCTTGTATTTCAGCTGGTTGCTGCTGTTCGTCTCGCGCGCGTCCCGCACGTGCTCCTCCACCGGCTTGAGCATGCGCTCGATGTTCTCGTTCTGCGTCTGGTAGAACCCCTGCAGTTGGCGGGAGGCCAGCGCGCGCTGGACGCCGCCGCCGCCACCAAGGCTGGCCGAGGGGAGGCAGGAGGTCCGCTGCTGGACGGAATCGCGCTTGCGGGCCATGTTGGCTTGCGGTTGGATCTGATCGATCTCCTCCGGGGTTTTCAGTTTGGAGGCCAATTGGAACGGGTCGTTCTCCAGCGTGTAGCGCGGGGGCGGCTGGCTTTCCTCGTCGCTGCCGATGCTGATGCGGCGGTGCGGCGCGGATGGCTCCAGGGCGGTGGTCGTGGCGGCATTGTAGGCGATTGAGGTATCGTGAGAGATGTGGGAGTAGGGAGGGTGATGAGTGAGGGGCACCGAGGCACCGTGTCGATGCGTTTCCTCCATTTTCTTAGTGGTTGTGGTTGGGGTCAAGGGGGTTGCAGAAGAGGAGGAGGAGAAAGTTATCAATCGGCTTGATCTTCTTATCAGACATAGGCACTTGGCCTATTCGGGCTAGTGGATGCAGACCCTGAGTCAGCTGTCAGGGGCAGTGCAACTTCCCCTTTGGGAAGTGTAAGTGAATAGCCCGTACCTACCTATACTCCTTATCCATCTCCATGACATGTATCTGCTCTACATTTAACTAGGCAGGCAGTACTAAGGCCGGTATCAGTTCAACTTAGATTCATAATATCACAAGTTGAGTACAGAAAAGTCAATTTCCCGAGTCAACACAAATTTTAAGATATTTGGAGAGGCATTCCAGTTTTCATCCATATCCCGAATAACAAGGCAATTTCACGAAATCACACAACGGCAGTGTAGAAAACAATCTGAGGGACTGAGGTGAAACGCATAAGCTACCCACTCAAGCTTACCGCCGCGAAGAGTTCCATCTCGAAGCAAGCAAACCGAACCCACCACCAGCCTCATCAGCAACAGCAACAACGACGACGGCAGAGGAACCCAGCGGACGCGTAACTTGAACACCCTACTCCAAATCCGAATCCGGCACTTTCTCCTCCTTCATCGGCATGTAGCGCGCAACGAAGTCCCCGGGCAGTCCAGTGAGCGGATCAGTTCTGCGGACGGCCAAGAGCGCCTCGGCCAGATCCTCGATGTACTCGCGCGGGACGTCAGCCTTGGTGCTCTGGAAGTCCGCCAGCCCCGAGCGCCACGCATTGACCTCGACCACCATCTTGCGCATGTGCGAATCCCGGTCAAACATGGTGTAGACGAGCCTGATGACGGGGACCCCGAAGAGGCCGCGGTGGCTCCCCAGCCAGCGCTGCAAGTACGCCAACAGGTCAGACTGCAGCAGGAAGCACTGGAACCTCTCCGAAAAGCGCCAGATGCTGAAGAAGGGCGTGAGATTGGGCAGGGAGTGACCGCCGAAAGGATCGCCGTTGCCCATCCATTTGAGGAAGGCAGTGAAGGTGGTGGGGCAGAGGTCGGGGAGACGGATAATGGGGGGCTTGTGCTGCTCGCCGCGCTCAGCGCACTCGACCATGCAGAATCTATGGAAGTTGGGACTGCGGACGAGGAGGGTGTCGACGTCCACGTGGAAGATTAAAGGGGGCGAGCCAACGTGGAAGATCGCGATGTTGCAACGGTTGTATTGCTCGGCCCAAGACGGGAACAAATGGCAGAAACTTGGGGGGAAAGGATGCCCTTGGTTGGCTCCAAATCCACCGGCCTGGTTGATACCTGGCTGGGCGGCACCCGCTGGGTTGCCATTCGCCTGGTGGGCATTCGTGTGGCTAGCATTCGCGTGGTTGCCATTCGCGTGGTTAGCATTCGCCTGTGCGGCACTCGCTGGGTTGACAGTCGCCCGGCTGGCATTCGCATGATTGCCATTCGCCTGGTTGGTACTGGCCTGGTTGGCACTCGCCTGGTTAAAACCGGCCGGATTAACACCAGCCTGCTGTCTACCGCCGCCCGCCTGGCTAGTAGCACCAGCCCCAGTATTAGCAACACGCTGCCCGCTCATGTGCGCGCGGCTGCTGGATGCTGCACCGCTCGCGTTGGCCGGAGTGTTGGGACGGGCTCTCTTCGGGGCACTGGAGCGCGTCACGTATCAGAGAGAGTGCAGTTACCAAAGAATTCAATGGCTCACTTACGGTGTATGGTCAGGGCTGGTCTGCTGGCTCGCATCGCGCCGAGAAGCGAGAGGTCGGGGACGGAGTGAAGAGTGACGGGGGGGTGGATTGCCCTGAGGAAGCTGGGCTGGCTGCTGGGGTGTAGTCATCCTGCTTGGTGAGTTTAGTTATGGTGTTGAACTTTTGAACTGTTGAACTGAGAAGATCAAGCCAGTGAGGGGTGTCGGCTTACTTGTTTTCCTGTGATATGATTTCTTTTGAGACAGAGTGATAGAGGTCTTGGTTGTGTGTTTTGGGTTCTTGTGATACGTCTTGAGAGACAGATTGAGGTCTTGTCTGTAAGCTTGATTTCAACGAACGAATCAAGATTGTGAGTGTAAGCCTTCAAAGACACGATGGATCTGTACCAGAATACCAACACAGGATCCCTCAACGAACAGTCGTAGCCAACGAGCTGAAGAACGGGGAGAAAGAGGGAGGATGAACCAGAGGAAGAAGGGGAGGAAAGATAAACAAGAGAGAGACACAGAGAGAGAGAGGTGAAATAAGTATCCAAGCAAGGAACAGAATGAGTCAGTATTTCATATCATTCACACCTCAGAGGTCAATGTTCACACGAGTCCACACAGATCCACATAGAATGTAAGTATATCGAAGCTCACAAGTGAATGTCTGCGGCGGGGAGAGGTGGGGGGAGGCGGGGGGAAGGTATTGATATTCACCTGGCACGTACACGCAGACTCTTTCACAGAGCACGCCTGGGCGTACGGACAGCCAGGACCTGGGTCTCCATACTGTACATCTCTCTATACTCATGGTAGGACAGTATGTCTCTTTCAGGACCGTTTGCAGTGGCCAGAGAGAATTGTCCAATCTAAGAAAGAGGCTTCAAGCGACTCCGACTTGCTTGCTTGCAAGACCAGTGAGATGGGCTTGGGTCAAAGGCTCAAGAGGCCTGGGCATACAACTTGAAATCCGACTTGATGACCGCTAGGCTAGTCCTATAACACTAAGTCATCAAAATCAATCGGTACTTGCAGTGGATGAAAGCTATATGCTACTTATCAGAGCTACTTCAAGACTGTCTTGAGAAAATGAATAGAATTTTGAAGTGACTAATCTTAACAAAGAAGATCTAATAAAAGGCAGGCAATCTAGTTGCGATCTACCTCTATCCTAACACATGCCTGTACAGTGCAACGTACGTCCACCTCATCTTCGGCCCCAACTTAGTTGGCGTAGTTGAGAAGGGCCTTGAAGACGCTGGCAACCCAGGTGAGCTGCTCCTCGGCGGTACCGTCGGTGGGCAGGGAGACGCTGGTGGCGGTGGAGCTGGAGACAGCAGCGGCAGTAGCAGTCTGCTTCACGCTGGTGGCCAGGGTGGTGGGGCCGGAGGAGGAAACGGGAGCAATGTTGTTGGCAGCCGCGGGGGAGGTGACAGCGGCGCTGGCAGCAGTGGTGGTCTCAGCAGCGCTGGAAGTAGAGCTGGAAGCAGCGCTGGTGGCGACAGCCGCAGCAGCGGAGGAAGAGGAGGAAGAAGAAGAAGAAGAGGAAGAAGAAGAACCGCTCAGGGTGAAATCAACGCAGGACTCGTAGGTCTGGTCAATGGAGCGGGCATCCCACCACCACTGAAGAACACAAGCACCGGCCTCGTTACACTTGTCACCGAGGTCAGTGGGCATGGTGACGCTGAAGCTGGTCTCGTTGGCGGTCACACCGGTAGCGGTGGAGGCGTACACGCTCCAGTAGATCAGGGGCTGGCTGAGCATGGTGTTGGTGGCAGTGTCGACAACGGAGACGTTGGCAGTACCGGTGTGAGGAGCGCGGATGTCGACCTTGAAGTCGATGACCTCACCGGGCTTGTAGGACTGGACGTTGGCCGTGTTGTCCGCGTACTTGTAACCCTTGCAGAGCCAGATATCGCAAGCCTCGGCGTCGTAGTCGCTCTGGCCGTTGGTAATCTGCAATTCACCCTGGATGTTGCCGTAGTTGTCGGCCTCCTGGTTGTTGTACACCTGCTGACCGCAAGCCTTCTCCATGGCAGATCCGGGCATACGGGGCTGGGGGCTGGTCACGAAACCGTGGGCGTTGGCCATGGACACAAGTCCAGCGAGGGCGAGGATAGAGCCGGTTTGCTTCATTCTGATGGAAGTTGATTTGGTAGATAGAAAGAATGTAGTGAAGGATTCGGGTATACCAGTATACCTGTTGTTTCAAAGAGTGGAAGGTTTAAAGAATGAGATGGTCACAGACCGGAAGGAGAAAAAAGAATGTCGAAGAGAAGGACGAAATGAACAGACAAGCCTGCGTGTAGAGAGAAAGATGAAAAGTTCTCGAGCAGAAACAGCAAAGTTCGCCATCCTATATACCAAGAAAACGGTGCCTGGACCAACCGGAGCAGCTTCATTCGGAGGTCGGCCGTGAAACGGTTCTTGCGTCTAGACAGAACCATCTAAACCCTTGAAGAAATAATGACAGCATGCCTCTCCACCGGGACATGGCACGATAGATTGACAGGTCACTGATCGAGGCACATCAGTGGCCATAGAGACATAGAGCGAAGGGCCTGCAGCGGTCGCACGTACCAGATCGGTATGGTCCCAAGCGCCGAGTGGTTTCACGTAGATGGGCGTGAAACAGCGGTGGAGCTGCGTCTTATTAGCAGTGAACTCGGGATGCTTGGCACAGTTAGGGTTTCACCTACATTAATTCCGCGCCTTGCCCAGCCAGACATCGATTTTCATGCTACACGCTCTTCTCTCTAGCGGGCACTCCTAAATTTCCTGGCCTTGCTTTGCTCTGCCTTCCCCCTCCCCGTTCTCTAGACAGGGATTTTTTTTTTCAGCCTGATGACGGCGGATGGCGCTTCCGGTTCGAGCTAAGACCGCCGTTAGCCAGGAAAAGTCCATCAAGCATTTCCACCCCTGCCCAGACCGAGGTTTGGGATGCAGCTGGTTCATCTATTCGGGACGAGCATTGCAATATCCGAGCCAGATTCCAATCCATGGCGGCTGCTCCAGTCAGGTTCAGGGCCAGCGTGATACGACCCACCACACACCAATAGTGGAATAATAGGAAAGACGATAAGAATAGTAGGCTCAATCTAACACTGTTCTGCAGAGAGGTATCATGTCGAGGTATCGCTACATCATAGAAAACATACAAGGAATGAAAGGAAAGGGGGGGGGGGGGGCGGCGTTAAGAATGCTGGCCTGGCCGCTGTTGTGCTTCCTTCCACCAGTCGCTGCTCGGCCCGTCCAACCTCGGCTCACCATACGTTGAAGGGCCGGCGGTGGTAGTGGTGTGGCGATCTGCGAACGGGTCTTGGTCCTCGCTACCTCCCGACCGTTGGTCGTTCCAACCGCCGTTGTTGCTAGACGGCCCCGAAGGGCCAGGCATCACTGGTTCCGAGGCAGAAGATGGCAAGAAGGTACGTTGCGGCTCTCTGGGTGGTACTGGAGGTGCTGCGTGTGGTTGCACAGCACCAGACGCTACAGTCTCGTTGTTGGATGATGTTGCCGGAGACTGGCTACCGCTTGGGCCCTGCGATCTACGCGCCCGAAGCAGGGCATGCTGATGATTTGACAGAGCCACAGTGAGTTCGTCGTTGGTTTGAATCAGTGTCAACAACGTATCCTCATCGGGCGCTGGGTTCGTCGCATGGATATAGTTCTGGATCACGCGAGACGCCGTGCGACATCGGTCGGAGAATTCAGTGATGAGATCATTCTCGAGCAACTCTGCGAGAGGGGTGGATTGGACAAACTGCGTGAGCAATTTCGCCGAAGTCTTTGCTTCGGAAATGCGCTCAGCAAGCTCCTCAGGCTGTGGGAGCGTGTTCTGTTGTCTTGGAGGAGCAAAGTGGTTCTGACTCAGTAGAGGCGCCCGCACTTGCGATGAACTCCGGCTAGCCTATTGCCGTTCCTTCCGTCAGCATTGCCAAAGCCACAAAACGCGATGGCACAAATACTTACACGCAACCCGTTAGGTCGGCTGTTGTTTTTAGCCTTCTCGGCGCTCCACATCTGCAAAAGAAGCTTGAGATCTTCATCCCACGACCGCTGCAACTCCAAAGCATCCAGGGTCTCTCTCAGAAAGCCGTGAACGCGGTGATCCCTGCCCTGTTTGTAGAGGTCCTTGATCGTAGCAACGAACTTGGCGTCGATGTTGCGCGAGAATGTATGGCCCGGATTATCGGCGAGGATGCGAATCAGCATGATGGCATTGTACTGCACATGAGTGGGTTGCTTCGAAGGTTCCGACAGGATCTTGCGGATCAGCAATCCGGCTTCGCGAGCTGCGTTGGGGCTCGACTCGGCGTTTTCGACGATGCCCGGCAGATGGACGTACTCATTTCCCTGGACACACGGTATGAGTGCTTCAGTCGCAGGTGGGGAACGCGGGCGTTACGATGTCGCGATCGAGAGACGCAGGAAAAGAAAGACGTACAACACTGTTCGCACCTTCTTCGCAAAATGCGGTCTGAAAACCAAGCAAGACATTCTATTAGCTTACTGCGCTTTTGAAGTAGAGCCAAGGATTTAACCAACCACTTCTCGCAGAATGATCCCCTCAGGCGAGTCATCTGGATAAGCTGTAGTTGTTGCAAGACTGGGGCGCGTCGGACCTGTCAGACGGCATCGCATCAGTGACCGAGGTTGCCATGGTCGCGCGCCTGGGGAACAAGTGCTCACTAGACCGCTTGCTGATAGAGTTGAAGATGCGCTTCATGATCACCGTACAAGCTCAAAGGAAGCGGATATGGATGGTATGGTCAAGGTAAGAAGAAGAGGATAATGGGCAAGAACAATTAAAAGAAGCGAACAAAGAAAAAATAAGGGGGGGGACAAAAAAATAGTCGACTTGTAGTTTAGGTAGTAGCTTCGTAGCTTAGTAGTTGACTAGTAGGCGCCGCAGTAACCGAGTTGGAAAAAGAAAGCAAAGCAAGCAAATCAAACGGACCGGAACGGCGGCGGGCGGCAGTTTGTATTACTTTGTCCTTTTCCACCAATTCTCCGTCAAAACCTTTCCCCGCTTAAGGAGATGTGATGATGATCCGATAAAAACTGCCAAATCTGCTGCAGTGGCAAGGACGCCTTGTCGGCGACACGCAAGCAGGGTCTTGCGCGGATTAACCAAGACCTGGGGACCCGATAGAACTATCCCTTTGGAAACCCATCAGCAAATAGTGGTGCCTGCTTGCAACCACAGACGGTATTGCGCATGTGCTTCACCGGCGCAACCAACCGGGCTCGACTACGTATGCAAGCCTGGATATTGTTCTATTGCTCTGCTTCCTGTCGTCATAGGGTATGCGAGGTCCGGCTGTCGGGTGATCGCATTGGGCTGAGAAACACGACAATCACTGGTCGGGAAGCACAGCCACTCTTGGCCTGTCAAGCAGGCATCAAAACGGTCTCCGGCTGTGCGCGAGGGCCTGGGGTTCAAGAATGATGGATCTAGGCATCGCCTGTAGATCAGAGGGTGCGGTGGCGCATTGGAGTCTTTTTCAACGTCTTGGGTTGATCTGAACATCGTGATAATAACAATCTACATTACAACTACATGAAAAAATCAATCTAGGCACATCCGACTTTTACTTCATGAAACAATAAATTCCGTATCCCATTCATGAAAAGCAGCGCTCAAAGTGTTCTGAATTGTGAGAATGTCCGGACTAGCCGTATCGACCCAGACCACCCACCCAGGCCTGTGGTACCAGAGAATCTGCGACTCCTGTTCTACCTTTACCTGCCACGGAAAGGCTGTCGAAACAAAAATTTCCTAGGGAAGGAACCGCTGGGGGGTAGGTAGAGATCAACTGTCTCAGATGTGACACGGATAGATGGTCTCGCCCGTTGGTTTCGAATTTTTTCCATTTGTCAAAAAAAGTAATAATTTCTTTTGTATTCCTTCCGTGACCAGGTATAGGTTTCCGTACAACAGCGAAACTCCGGCATTCCCATTCAGATTCTGACCACTTCACTTCCCCCGACACCCATGAACCGCTTATGCCTCGATGAGAGCACGGCGGATCTGAGCGCCACGCTGGCGAGAGCTGAGGCGGACCTCACGCTCGGCAACGGGACCCTTCTGAACGACCTCCTCACCCTCAGTAAGGATAAGCTCGATGTGACAGGGGTTGGTCATGTAAGGGTTGATCTAATCGAGAAAAAGTCAGTCGCGGGTGACTGTGGGAAGAGGGAACGAATCCGAGGGTTCAACATACACGACCGTGAGCACGGTAGGTGCGTCTGCGGCCCTTGGGAGCCTGGTTGACCTGGATGTGCTTGACAACGAGGTTGCCGGTGTCGAGACCCTTGGTATCGGCGTTGGCCTCAGCGTTCTTCAGGAGGTCGATGAGGAACTCGGCGGACTTGACGGGCCAGCGAGCCTTGCTGACACCCCACTGCTTGCCTGTGAAATGAAGCCGTTAGCTATCTCCATTTTCCATATCCTGGCGAACCCCATTATTCTCGATAGCCATCCACGGTGTACACAATTATCCTTCTCGTCCACGGCCTAGCCCTCAATTCGCCTTCCACCTCTTTCATTGTGTCCGCTTCCAGAATTCGTCGCATGTAGGAAAGATGAATTTGGCACTCACCCTGAGCGCAGCGGCCGGTGCTGCCAGCGTACCGGCGCATAGGGACGGCCTCAGCCTTCTCGGTAACGTTGGTGAGGAAGGTAAGGGCACGCTGCAGCTTCATGCCGTTGATGGCCTGAGCGGTCTCACGGGTGTTCTTGAAGCTGACACGGAGGTAAGAGCCGCGAGCGCGGGCGCTCTTAGCGGCCGGGATATCCTGAGCAGCGTAACGGACCTGATGGCGACGGAAAAAAAAACCCAACATCAGCATGAGCCCTCAACATATCAAAATCCTTCAATTCAACACGCCAATCATTTGCCTCCGGAGCAGGATTCGTAGCAAACGGTGTAGGTAGTTTATTTGACGGGTGGTGATAGCAAGGGTCGTGTAAATTCGATATACGGTCGGCCTTCATTCGGGGGCCATAGGCACACAGGATCGAAGATTTCCGGTACAACGGGGGTTGAACATCATAGAGACCGTAATTCTCGAATTCGCGTGATAAAATCCTCTGCTCCGATTCCAACAACGACAATAAACTCGAATATAGCACTCACCATCTTGATGTGGTTGCCGAGCGGGTGGTCCTTCGATGTCGGGTGAGAAGTTTTGTCGCTTTTCTGTCGTCGGCCGCTCAAACTTGAGATCGCGAGGCTCGCTCGTTGTGGTGCGCTTTTTCGCGCTTGGCACCCGCCTAGGGTATGTTAGCCCTAGCACTAGTGTGGTTCTGGTAGGTCTCCTGCTCACCGCCCGGCAGTAAGCCGCCGCCTTGGGTCGGATGTCTGGGTCGGGCCCGCGAGCGGACAACCACCAACTAGTTATCAAGTTACACAAGTACATCTAGAACGATGAAGACATTCTAACAATCAATGTAAAGATCCTGGCCGCAACCTTGTTGATTCAGGTTGCTATCTATTTCAACTATTCTTGGTCCCCCCCTCCCATGTCCAAGTCTAAACGCTGGACCCACTAAGGCCTCAACAGCCTCTATTTCAAACCGCCTCCGATCAGCAAGCTTTGGCCCGTCATGTAACCTGTCGTCACAAGCATAGTCACCACATTCGCAACCTCCCCTGGAGTTCCAACCCGTCCGAGGGGAATACTTGCAGCAATCTCCGGAACCGAGTCAGCGTTAGGAATCATCCCCGTGTCGCCGATGATTGCAGGTGCGACGTCATTCACGCTAATATTGTACTCCGCCAGTCGAGTGGAGAGATTCTTCATCATACCGGTCATGCCAGCCTTCGAGGCGGCATAATCTGTAGGACAGGATCGAAATTAGCAAGTGCGTGAGGCTTGTCGTACTCGGATAGCTAGTATAGCATACGGCAACCATTGATACCTCCTCCGTAGCCAGCAATCGAGGACATGAACACGATTCGTCCCCATCGCTGATTCTTCATGTGCTCAACCACTCCCTTTGACAAGATGAATGAGGCCCGAAGGTTGACATTCAACGTATAGTCGAAGTCCTCGAGTGAAATATCCCAGATCTGGCGGATTCGCTTGCCGTGGCCGGCGTTGGAGACAAGGATGTCAGGTCGTTGTCCATGTTGCTCGTCAATCTGCACGAACATGGCCTCAATTTGTTCAGCAGATGCCACATCGACCTGGTGGGTTGTAATACGGAGTGTGGGGTATTTTGATGACAGCTCATCCTTGAGAGATGTGATTGAAGCCGAATTTGATGAGTACGTCAAAGCCAAATGGACCTCGCGCTCAGCCAGCTGTCGTGCGCAAGCTGCACCAATTCTGTATCACAATATCACGGTCAGCACGCAAGCTGGAATTTCTGGCTGACTCTGCGAAGCCTACCCTCCAGAGGCGCCGGTTATCAGTGCCAGTCGGCCGCGGATCTCGTTCAGCTGAGACATGGTTCTAGCAGATAGCAGTAGCCCGGGTCATTCGATGTTGATCGAAGCAATCGTGAACAAGATTGCAGAGTAAGGAGTCGGAACCACAAGGTGGGTAATTACGTGAAGGGAGGCAGACGAGTTATGGAGGAAATAACAGTACCGAGCGCAGTCTTCTGAATACGTAGGACGTAGCCATGTGCTCTTCAGGTCGGCGTGAATTCCGACTAAACACTTCCCCCTCCCCCACGACCCCGCACTAAACAGTGGGGGTGAAGGAAACGGACGGGCGCGCGGCGGCGGCGGTGGTTACGCCTGCCCCTGTAAGTCGTAAGGCATCGCTTTGATCGGGTACGGCCCGTACAAGCCCAATACGGAAATATACCCCGTTTCACAGTCTCCAGCAATGGATTATGATTGTCCCAATAATACCCAATTCGAGTCGCATCCTTGTTGCCTGGTTATTACACTGTCACCCAGCTATCCTCAACTCTTTTAAAAGAGAAGGTTGCTGCTCATGTCTCCCGACCATGTTGGTACCTGCCAGGTCTGAGATCGATCCTGTCCAGGAATAAAAAGATCTGGATTCTGGAATGTGTCCAGTGCGAGCGTGTTCGTTCCTGACATCTGATCGCCAGAGACGTAATCACCAACGGCTTCGAGATCCAGCCACGAGAAGTCGTTGGCGGGGCTAAAGTGTACATGGGGATCGGATGTATGGTGTGAGAGTGCGCTGCTATCGTTTGGCATAAGAAGCTCGCTTCCTTGGTGCGTCCCTGCTGGCGAAGTGGCTGGCATCGATTTTTGTTGCCACAAGAGCTCTAGAAGCCGCGAATACCGTGACCCGATATCATCAGGGCCGGCGCTGGCTCGCCTCAACACTTGTGTAGTCCGAGTGACAAGATCTCGCACCTTCATCTCCTCGGAGAACATCATAACACCGAAGGAGCGGGCCTAGCCGCATGCAGTCAGTCTCAAGAAGAGGCAGTAGATGGAGACTTGAGTGCTTTTACCTTGTACAAAAATACTGCAGAATAAATCCCATATAGATAGAATCGGAGCGGCATGAAATGGAGATGTTTCTCTGGGTCAACCACATCGACAAGTATGGTCAGGTAAGCTTTGGCAGCATCGATCGATTCGTAGATAAATCGAGCATCCTGCATTGAAGCCACATTGTTGAAAGTTGTCCGCAAGTACTCTCTTTGAGACTGATCGTCGTTCTTCATTTTGGAGACCAAGGACTGGGAAATAGCTGCTTGGAAGGCAAAAGCGTTGGTGTACAGTCTTAGATATTCGTAAGACAGCTGTAGGGTAACCTTCATTGGCGTAGAGCCTGCTGGTAATTAGTGGGAAGGCATGACTGCGTAGAGTTTGACTCACATGGTAAAGAGCCCCATAGAGATTTCCAGCGCAGGATTGCCAGTCGGAAGTCGTCAACGTACTTCACGTAGTCACCCATAAGCATCATTTGGTTGCTCGTTCGCATCCCAGAATATAGCACGTCGTGTACATTGTTATACAATTGAGTAAGATCTAGCGTGGCCTGGAAGACCCTCGCATAGTCCTCGTCGCCATCATTCATTGGTTGAAGCGATGGGAAGTCCTGGCTAACGAGACCAGTCATTGGTCCCGGGCCTCGGGACCAGAAGGCTCGCCCGATGCGCACAGATATTAATCGATCGGACACATAGCAACTGGTCCATGCTAGTCGTCTCCGAGCCTCTGTCTCTGTGTCTCCGGACGAATCGCCTCGAAATGACGATCTGTCCAATCCAAGAAAATATCCAGAGCGCAAAGCGAGCCCAACATGCATCCAGGCAGCGCGATCCTCCTCGCCACGACCAACTTTCTCTATCCGAGGTCGAAGACCTTGGGGCTCCCATTCCGCTAGGAGAAGTAGGGCTTCTACAGCCTCCACGTCGCAGTCGGCGCCGGCGGCGATTCCGGATATCAATTCGTGCATATATTTGGAACAGTATTCGTGGATCTCTGGTCGTTCCACAAGGTCTTTAGAGGCAATGGTTAAAACGGCAGTGAGAAGATGCTTCTCATTGTTGGCGAACGTATCGAGTGCGCTACGCTCAAAGTACTTCCGTGGCACCAGGGGGAGGTACGGGTGGAAGTGCTCAGCATACCGAACCACTAGTTGCCAAACGGTACCCGTATCCAGAGACCGGGATTGTACTAGGCGATATGCTTTGATGCCACTGTTGGACGGAAAGCCACCCATGGAGCCATTTCGAAGCGCACTGAGTCCCGTGAAGCCATTCGAGCTTACATGAAGAGATTCGGGTCCAAAGTCCGGGCTGGGACCATCCGTGCCTCTTTTCGCGATACCAGTAAGACACTGCCATGCGTCAGAGGGGTTCCGGGGTACGGAGCCTATAGAAGCCGTGTCTTCATCATCCACGGACAATGAAGGTGCGGTAGGGGGATCTGGGGGGACAAATTGAACCGGGCCGGGGTACGGGCCTGAAGCCGTAGTTTGACGGTTGTCCGAGTTTGAGGGGCTTGCCGGTTCTATTATGGAGTCTCTTCGGCCCGATGTTATGCTGTCTGGGGTGAAATTCTGCATTTTGTTTTTGCGAATGCGCCGTCCTCCTCGATTAGAGCTACCTAGGACACATTCACGATTATCTCGGATGCAGCGCTGGCATGGTGGCACTCCAGGACTACCACTGCTGTCTCTGTATGCGCAGTTTAGTTAGTTATCCATGTATGAGAGAGCCAGCATATGTGAAGACCATGAAATGAGAAGAAGTGAATGTAGGCAAAAGAATCCACGATATCTGGCAACAGCCTAGGGGCATCATGTTCGTCAGAGAATTGACTTACAGATCACACTTTGATTTACGCTGTCTGCAATGCAAGCAAGCTCTTGAGACGCGTTTCATGAGATGGTCTGAACGAGCCTTGGCTCTCGAGCCTGGAGTACCCGCGACCGGGGAAGATCGTTCGTCTTGCTCCATGGCGACTATTCTCTAGAGTGCGAAGGTCGCTCCGTAGGTTCACTTCTCCCGAATGAGATTCTAAAGCTGCATCTTCATCCTAGCAAGGTCTCGCAAACTTGCTTTTAAGCCACGTTCAGACTTTGACTCCGAGATACCACGCACGTACGGTGTCGATACCATGCATGTAATGTGTCAAGGTCTGAGAGATAACCGGCCGAGGAAAGGCGAAAGAGATGATCACGCTTGCTGACTGTAGAAAGAGAGAAAGAGAAGAAAGTGTTGGTGTCAGACACTGGGCGAGGAAGGTTTGGTGGACATTCAGCGGCTTCGGCGTGCTACCAGCACATTATCTGTCGTTCGTTTGGGATCGGATTCGAGCTTCATCCAGGCGCTCGTGCTTTCCCCACACGAGAGGTGAATATAAGTTCAATCTTACCACTAGCTGAGCCAAGTCGCATGCACCTAACTCGAAATGTAGTCATCAACTTATACTCGGCATGAAGTTGCTAGGCTAATCACATATGCTGGATTTCAACCAACTCGTGTATGAAATCAGAGGTAAACAGGAGGCGGCAGAGAAAAGGAACTTGGGAAGAGAAGACGGCAACAGCGGTATTACCCGATCCGTACACAGTACGGTATTCTATCCGGACAGTGACTTGAACAGCAACAAAACTCAAAATGTTTAGATGTTGTTTAATATAATAAATTATCGCAACTAACTAGAACTTATATAGCCTTGACAGTCCCTTGTATTCCTAGGAGCCAACATTGACCGGCTGGCATTTCGCGCAGCAAGTACCAAGGGGCCGTCTCCGGCGAATATATAGTTACCACGACGAGTGACCTTTGAGTGTACAGTAAGAGTCTGGTCTCATAGTAAAACTCAGGCATACACTCACAGTGTACCGCGGACCGAGACCACACAGAACAGCAATAATTAGCTTCGAGGTCAGCACCAATTATGGATAATTGCCCCGGTTCAGGCCGGGGATAGATGCCTTGTTGATGATAATTGCATGTACCCAGCATGTATTGACATCAATACACGAAACGATCGGGCAACCCCCGAAGGAAGGTTCAATAGCCGTATGCGGGGGAACCGGGCTCTGAACCTACCTAATCGGATGCTGCCCCCGCATGGGAAGACATACAAGAATGATGATGGGGTTTCTTTATGGCTAGAGAAAAACAAACATTATTGTTACACATATCGGTTGTCTTTTGGGAGTGTTGATAGCAGGGCAGGCTTCTGACAATGGACTACTCTATCGTTACTGTGCTGCACTGTCTTCATGCCATCGTTAAAGGACCGCAAGCTGTTGAAGGCAACCTGCAAAGACCTCACTGCAGGGGCGACTGCTCCTTTGCACAGCACCTCACCAAACAACCAAGGAAGCATTAATCAATAGGCCAGTCAGTCAATTGAGCTGCAAAAAATTACCGTATGCAACTCAGAGCTGCGAGACATTTTTTCAAGTAAGCGAAGCGCGATGTCAGCCAATCATGCAAATTCCCTATCAGATGCAACAGGTCACGTCCATGGATATATCTGACGTTCGAATCCAAGCTGGCCAACAATGAGCTCAACAAAGATAATCTACATGCATCTGCCTGTCGTCCTAGGGCTTTTGAGGCAGAGCTAGGACGTGACGTTTCAGATAAAGTCTGGCAGTGGGCAGATATGCCGAGTTGAAAAGACTCTGGTGAGAGCCTACCGGTACGAGGCATCTTTCAGTCAAGCTCCTTATCTCATGCAATCCGATGAAAGCAAGTTCATCGTGCCTTGACAGCAATAATCCCGGGATGCTAACATGTCAGGTCATATCTACCTGAGCTCATCATACCACACTTGACAGCCGCGCAGGATTATCAAGTGCGTCTCAGATCCGTGCGTTAGTTTCTCGTTAGTCTTCCATTTCAAGCGCTGGAAGCATGGCATAAAAGCTCATGAGCTACTGCCTGTCACTGAGGTGTCGAACTCCCATGTGGCTTCAGGCTTGAGCCGAAAGGACTTATGAATTCGGTGGGCACTTCCAGTGGGACACGAACCTCAGAACCTGAGCCAAGGGTAAACGCATACCCACTTTTTTGTTTTTTTTTTTTTTTTTTTTTTTTTTCGTTCCGATGGGGGGTTTTTTTTAGCAGGGTTCCAAGAAATATCTACGAGTAGTCAAGGAAGAAGAACCGAATGAAGGAAGAGTATTCCGAGATAGCCAGGAAACCGAAGTCTCCGAGCAAATGATAGAATCGGATTAGAATCAAAATAATTGAAAATAGATTAAACAGGGCGGGCCTAGTCTCCGACCCGTGACCGCCATGTGTCTCCGACTCTCCGCCCAATTTCCCTGAATCTCTCCCGTAGTTAGTCTACCGGTAAGTTAGATCTCCTTCCCTCCACCTACTTTCAATCCAGCAATCATCTTCCTCTCGAAAGAAACTTGACCACCACCACCACCACCATGTCAAACACCAAGCTTTGTTTCATCCCAAGAGCTTCGCTAACACACCCGACCCATGAGGAACACCAACCCTTCTCTTAGTCAGTGGCTGAATTCACCTGCCAGTGGGAATCGCGGTGGGCCACCAAACATGGCTCTGGCCAATATGGAGCAAGCGTTTCAGCTTGAACTGCAGCACTTGAAACATGCAAAGACATCGCGATAAACCAATACGATTCTCTCAGTCATGAAGATTCAACCTCAAGGTGCAAGTCTTTGGACCTGTGAAAACTGTTGAACTGCAGTTCCGGTCAGGGGCTGGCTGTTCAGTGGCCAGCGATGCGCCTCGGTCGGACAACCCCTGCTGCAAGCCTGCAGCTTGCCCCCGTCTCCGCGGCTGCTGCTTGGAGCCAAGAGCGCTAAACACCCGGCCAAGCCTGGAGACCTGTCCATCTCTATCAGAAACAACGATGCCATCGTCGGGCCCTCAATGCGCTCCAGAGCTCTTTCTACCGGTTCGAGGCCGAGCGCAGACGTTTGTCTTGGCGCCCAAGATGAACCCCTCTCAGGAGGACCACGCCACTGTTACCTGCTAATGTGTTTGTGGCCCTGGCCATTGGTCTTCTTTCGGTATGTAGTTTGATGGCAGACCCGGTCCGCTGCCTGATGTGGTACTTTTCTTTCGCTTAAAGGGTATCTATCTGCGCCGTGGATCTCCCAATGTAGAAGTGATTTTTTTCTCCATCTCCTCTTACCTTTCGTGTGTTCTTCGAACCCTCTTCTTCACTCTTTTCCATTCTTCCTATTGCCATTCTTACCTCCTTCTTCAATCGTTTCCCCTCTAGCCAGCTGGCTGGTCGTTCTTCTTTCACCGAGCGGCTCATCCATTCATTCATTGTTCATTGTTTCAAACAATCGACTATTGTGCCTGAAGTTGAAACGGACAAGCTTTCCCCTGCCTTTCTTGGAGTTTGCCGATCATTGCCTGCAGTCGGACGTCATTTATCATGAAATAGGCGGAATTGGTCCTCTTCACAACAATAGACACTCTCGTTGCTTTGTGTTACTTTCTCTTCTCTTGCCGGCAGCTTTCGCTTCTTCTAGCCGCTGCACTATTCGCGACGCTGCGCGTCTTTGATCCCCTTGCTGGAATACTTCTCTTATATTATGCACGTAGGCAACCTAAGGTGAGTATATCTGAAGGCTGGCTCGCCCCTCATGACGCTGGTCATAACTCTAAGACTAAATCTTGGTAGAACCCAAACGTCAATTTCGCCATCCTGTCTGGTGTCTTCAACATTCTTCGGCTCCGCTAAAGGACATCACCCGTGACAACATCTTGGTCATTTGCAGACCCCTTGAGGCAAACGTCATCATCAGAATCGCCCGATAAAACGACCTGCCAGACGGTTCTGAGTCAAGTTCAGCTGCGGAGATTCAAACATCACCTTCGTGTGTCAAACCAGCCTTACAGCTATCCGCTACTTGCAATACTGTCGCTCTCGCTGGAGTTCTGTTTACTGGAGATCCCCCTGGAACTCCCTTGCTCTTCCCCACATTCTTTCCGTTCCCCTGCCATTAGGTTCTCTGCGTCTACGCAGTCATTGGCCTGTCTCAGGCGGTTCGAGCGCTATTATTAGGAAGTTCGCTGGAGTCACCACCCCACACGACCTCGTTGCTGCTTCCCTTCCATCGTCTCCTGTCGCCGTACTAGTCCTTCACAACGTGCTGCGCAGGCTATCACAACTTCAATGGATAGTGTACGGCAGCACATAGCCTCTCGGGGCTATGGCGTCAATGCCACTTACATCTACGAATATTCAAGAGGCTTGAGCGGAGTGGACGTGCCTCGAGATCATCTGTTTACCCAGATCATCTACGCGTCTTTGACAATTCTGGCGTTCGTCGTGTTCTGCGGACGAATTGCACAGATTAGCCATGCCTATCTTCGCCATATCACCTCTCTGACGGCAAGCAAACGAGAACAGACTTTCTGGAGTGTTGAGGTATCACCTGCCTGGACAAATTTTAAGAAGCATATGTTGTATGCACCCCTGGGAAGGAAGAGACACAACCGGGAACTTCAGCTTTCGTCGGCCATCGGCGTAGGCACAGTGCCTTCCAGATTCCAAACCATCTTCGTTGGTTTATACCTCGCTAGCCAGATTGCCTATTGTGTTATTCTCGACTACAGGGTGAACGTTAAGGCGGCCCTTGTCGCCGAGCTCCGTGGTCGTTCCGGGACGCTGGCCGTTCTCAACATGGTCCCTCTCTTCCTCCTGGCTGCCCGCAACAACCCACTCATTCCCCTGTTGCACATTAGCTTCGATACCTATAATCTGCTTCACCGTTGGCTTGGCCGGATTGTTGTTATTGAGAGCGTTGTGCACACGGCCGCGTGGGCGGTCAATGCATGTGACGAAGTCAGCTTCGCTGACATGCTTGCACGCCTCCGCGACACTCCGTTCTTCACCTGGGGATTAGTCGGGACTGTCGCAATGGTGGTTCTCGGACTCCATTCCCCGTCTCCAATTCGGCACGCCTTTTACGAGACCTTCTTGCATATCCACCAACTCTGTGCTCTGTTTGCATACATTGGTGTCATCATGCACCTGGATCTTGACAATCTACCCCAGAAGCCTTGGCTCATTGCCGTTGGCTTGATGTGGCTGTTGGAGCGGCTGGCTCGCCTCGGCCGGATAGCATACCTGAACATCTCTCCCAGCAAAGGTTCTACAACTCTGACCGTCGAAGCCCTCCCCGGCGAAGCCTGCAGAGTGACTTTTCAACTTCCCAAGCGCGTTCACGTTGGTGCAGGTAGCCATGTGTATGCCTACATTCCCAGCGTTGCTCTCTGGATGTCGCATCCTTTCTCTGTCGCTTGGGTTGAGCCCAGCGAGTCTGTGACGGCCCCAGCCGTCACCGGAACAGCCTCCGACCTCGAGAAGCAGCCTATCTCTGATCTGGACAAGTACATGAAGGCCCATCAGCAACCGACGTCGGTGTCTCTCATCATGGGTGCTCGCCAAGGCATGACCCGTAAACTGTACAACAGAGCCCTCGCAGCACCCAGTCAAACGCTCCACCTGTCGGGCTTCATCGAGGGGCCGTATGCCTCCCACGCTGTCAACCTGGCCAGCTACGGCACTGCGGTCCTCTTCTCGGCCGGCGCCGGCATCACCCATCACATGCTCTCCGTGCGTGATCTCATCATCCGCTCCACCGAAGGCCGTGCTGCGACTCAGAAGATCTACCTTGTCTGGTCCGTTCGCAGCACAGAGCACCTCGCCTGGGTGCGAGAATGGATGGATCAGATCCTTCGGTTGCCGGGCCGCCGGGAGATCCTGACGATCAAGCTCTTCGTCTCGAAGCCCAAATCCTCTCGGGAGATCGTCTCGCCCAGTGCCACCGTGCAGATGTTCCCTGGACGGTGCAAAGCCGACGTCGTCCTCGACGAAGTCATTCCTGAGCGCGTTGGCGCCACCGTTGTCTCCGTCTGTGGTCCAGGTGCTTTCGCCGATGAAGTCCGTGCAGCTGCCCGATCTCGTATCGGAAAGGGTGCTGTGGTCGATTTTGTCGAGGAAGCCTTCACGTGGTAGACAAGCACCTTTTCCCAACCCGTCCCCCCCCCCAAAATTGTATCAACTTCCTTTCTTGTTGTCAATGCTATTGTGATTAGAGCCCTAGCCCTTTTGCCTTCATCTTCTCAGTTTCTTGTCTCTCTACATTCTTTGTCCCCTCTTCATGGCTCGTATCACCCGCCCTTAATATTCTTGTCAAAACTTCTTCCATCACCTCTTTTTCTCTTCTCTTCCATTCTTTCCCTCATTCTCTTACCCTTCTTTTTTTTTTCTTTGAGATATATATACAAGTCATTGTTCATTACAAGCATGATCATCATCGTGTCACCATTATCAGCAGCAGCAGCAGCAGCAGCCGCAGCCGCAGAAACGATCACCAAGCGCAAGCCATTACTTCTTGATTGCATTTGTATCTTTTTGTCATTTCAGCCCGCCTGATTCCGTGCTTAACCCCTGCACTGTACCCATTGAGATGAATAACGACACCACCACGCCCAGCTGCCCAAGTGCTATCGATAGTGCAAACCCCTGATCCATCTCCTTCTGTATCACGAGTTTTTCTCCGTCCGGAGTACAGCCTACGGACAGCCAGCTCTCAGAACCCTAAATAAACCTAAATCTAAACTGGAATCTAAATTAAGCACCCGATTTCTCCGAAGATGACCCATCGCATTACCTAAACCATCCTCTAATTAGATTAAACGTCCAGTGGGGCCTTAATCTATTCTGAATCCTCCGTACTAGCGAGGAGACTAGGACCCTAGGAGAAAAGAAATCTGACACACGGACTCTTGGCTTTACATCTACTACTCGAATACAGAATACAGAATCCTCTTCTTCGGAGCGGAACCCGAACGAAGTCTAAGCCTACCTCCGTAGCTAGTTCGGGAACCCCCCCCCCCTTTTTTTCCTTTCTCTTTCTTTCATGTGAGATTATCGTTCTTCCTCCTAGGTCGATATTGCGATGTTCTTCTTTTGCCTTCATCATCATCACCTGATGAATGCATTGTACTGTACCCAAGACACCTCCCCTCCATCCACCGCACCCAGTATAATCCATCCATCCCATAATGTAAACCCCGCCCGACACCACCACCTTTACAAAAGAAATGGTAAGCTAGCACTCACACTCACACTACCTACCCATAGGTACAGTACATAATGCTACTGCTCGTCCCATGGCACAAACCCCCCTGGCCCATCTCTGCAGCCATCCACTGTGATCCGGAACCGGAAATTCAAACCGACCACGAGGGGCTTGGAATGACGAAACAAGGTTTTCCATGCTGTTGAGGATGTGGATGTGGACAGCAAGTACCGAGTAAGTGATGAGATCCAACTACGTGAAGGAAGCCTGAGCGCGGCTGTGGTGGTGAGCAAGCAGCAAGCAGCCCTGGCCGGCGAGGGCTGCAGGACCGAAGGTTGACGTTGGCACAATCCCCTTTTTTGGGCCGGTTTTGGCAGGACGGGGGTAAGGGTATCTTTGAGGGATTTACTACCTACGGAGTAATAGACATGGCGATTGTCGCACTCGGGTACTGGTGGCAGTCTACCCGGCCACTGCCCTATGGTTGACTGGGCGGAAACCTGAAAGTGCGTGAGGGTTCTGCTTGAGAAGGTCCTGAAGCGTATAAGGTCTGAGTTGATATGTCCTGTTCTATGTGGTTTTCTGGCTAGTCTTGGCGACAGGTCTGAAAGTTGGTAATGTACAGATATGTATCAGCATAGAAAGACTATGTGTGAGTAAGTGGAGTTATGAACGATAGAAAGCAGTTGGGGAAAAAAAGGACAGGAGGCAGTGAGGAAAAAAGTTCCACGGGACCAAATCAGAAAAGCCAAGTCTGCCCGGGAGGACGAAAGAGGGGCCAAGAATTCTAAAATATACGCTTGGAGGGCATATATGAGTAAGGAGCGACGAAGGGCCAGGGAGAAGAGAAGAGGAATCTAGAATATGAGCGTCTAAAAACAATCCCCAAGCATTTCCCGATTATGTCCAACAACGATAATCCGAAACACAAACATATGCATACGTGAACAAATCATACAAAAGCTGGGCAGGGGAAAATCATTTATACATGTCTATACATGTCAAGTCCTCTCAAGAAGAAGCCTTGGTCTTCTTGGTCTTCGGGACACGAGCGAGCCAGTAGATGCCCACCGCGGCGAAGATGTTGAACACGATGTACACCCACATAAGACCGAAATTGCGCCACGCGTCGGAGAAGTGGCTGCTGACTGCCGCCAAGAAGGTGTCGGTGTCGCTGATGGTGCAGAAGGCGCAGTTGCTGGTGGCATCCTCGTTCTGAAGATAGCCGCCCGCGGACGCAATATAGCTCTGCATGTAATCAATGCAGGTGCTGTTGGCAGGGGGGTCGAAGTGGAGGTACTCTGAGGAGTCACAGATTGCCGTGGTGCCTGATACACCGGTCGACAACATGGCAGACACCAGATATGTAAACGGAGAAACCCGGTACATGAAGATCCAGAAGCCAGGGAGTTGTTGAGGAGTTGCCAGAACACCACAGAAGACCAGGCACAAGGAGAAGAGCAGGTTAGCAAGATTACCACCAGTCTCAGCAAGCTCGATACCTGCGATAATCATGTGCGCGAAGGTCGAGGTGAAAAGAAGGAAGGACAGAATAAGCAGCCACATCAACGCTCCACGCTCATGAACAGCATCGGTCGGTTCCGCGTTCCGGTAGAGCCCAATGGGATAGTACCAGCAGACATAGATGATCACACTCATGAGTGCATTCCACGGCAGCTCAACAATAATGTTAGCAGCCATGAAGGCCTTCCATGAGTAGCTCTTAGAAGGTCTCTCGCGAGCCTCGTATAGGGAGCGCTGGGTACAGAAGTTGGGAAGAATCTGTTGCACCAAGTTTCCGAAAATCGTCATCAACATGAAGATAGAGAACATCTGATTCTGCAGTCCCTGTGAGGTGTTCTTGGCATGGAAGAATGAAAATCCAATGTACAAGGCAGTCAGGGCGCAAAGGCAAATCTTCGAGTAGATGTAGACGGGTGTACGCCAATACTGCGAGAACACGCGGAGCAAGCACTCCCATAGCTGGACAGTGAACGGCGCAGCGAATTCGTTGTAGCTACCGGGATCTGCCTGGTTTGTGTCGAGCGGCTTCTGCGAGAGAGTAGACTTGAGTTCGGACAAGTGGTCAAGCACGGCTTTGTGTTCAGGGCTGTCACGCCACACCGCGGGCCAGTCGATATCACTGTGAGATCCAGGAGCAGCACCAATGACTTCGAGCATCCATTCGGCCGGGTTAGCGTCAGCAGGTAGCTTAGGAGCACCGTTCCGCTCGAAATAGCTAGCAAGAGTGGAAGACTTGTCGCCAATATCTCCGAAATAGACTGTCTTACCGCCTCTAGCAAGGAACAAGAGACGGTCGAAACGTTGGAACAGCATAGCCGAAGGCTGGTGGATAGTACATAGAATAGCTTGACCGTGCTGCGTCAAGGTGTCAATGAGATCAAGGATGGACCAGGACGTTTGACTATCAAGACCAGAAGTAGGCTCGTCCAAGAACAAAAGCAACTGAGGCTTAGCCGCCAATTCAACTCCAATGGTGAGGCGCTTGCGCTGTTCAACGTTGAGACCTATTCCATGTTAGAAACCGATGCACAAGCAAGGAAATACTCAGAAGCGACTCACCTTCACCGGGAACACCGACAACGGCGTCGGCGTATTCTTCCATGTCAAGCAACTTGATAACTTCTTCAACATAGTCGAGCTTCTCTTGGCGACTGACGTGGGCAGGTTGCCGAAGGATGGCGCTGAACCGAAGAGCTTCACGGACAGTGGTAGTGTGAAGATGGAGATCCTGCTGCTGCACATAGCCGGTTTTGCGCTGGAAACTTTGATCACGAGGACGCCCATCAACCAACATTTCGCCGGTGACCACACCCATGGTGACACGAGTAGCAAGCACATCCAGGAGAGTTGTTTTACCCGCACCAGAAACACCCTAATGAACGTTAGCACAGTTCATATCTGGCGAGAACGAAGTCCAATTAACATACCATGAGAGCAGTACAGGTTCCAGGCTTGACCCATCCATCGACGTGGTCAAGAATGCGGCGGGGTTCACCCTTGATCTTGATGTCGTAGCACACATCCTGCCATTGGAAGATAGCGGTCTGTCTCTGAATGGCGGCACTCTGTTGTTGACCACTGGACTGCTCAGCCTTCTCAGGGGAGGCGAATTGGCGGCTTGATTCAACATCCTTGGCAGCAGGGGAAGCATGACCGCGGCGGAAGAGCAGAACCTCACCCTTGGACTTGGCTTCAGAAATGTACTCGGTAGCGAGCAGATATGTGCCCATGAGGAAGATCATGAAAGCGAACATGATTCCCAGGTTGCGCCATTTGTGGCTGTTGTAGTAGTCGAAGCTCAAAGCAAGGTACCTATCACCGTCGACGTACTTTTGTCCGGATACCGCCCCAACTGTAGAGCAGATCTTGTTCGAAAGAGGGAGGGAATCATAGCCATTACCGGAGGGAACGTAACCATCCTCAGAACACGGGAATTGCCGATTGTGGAATTCGTTCACCATCAGACTCTCGAAGCCGTAAGCGATGGGGTTGATATAGTTCATCCATCTCGACCACCCCAACATGTAAGTGGTGGGAATAGTGAAACCGGTGTAGATGACCAGACCCAAGATGAGAATTGCGGCCGGGACAAGAGCTTGGTTTCAAAATCAGCCTCTGCGCGACGGAAGTGGGTAGAACGAAAGACAAACCTTGAGAAAGTGTCCGGGAAGAAGCAGCGATGGTACGGAAGAGCATGGACATGGTCAGGGTCGTGACGAAGGAGAACAGCAGGAAGACGAAGAAGGCGCCCGGCGTCCGACGAAGATTAGTCATGAAATATAGCGTAAGGTTGAAGATAATCGCGTTTCCGATCTTATAAGGCATATCTGTGAGCATAGACGCAATGGCTTCGGCGAACGGATGATACATGGCGTAACGAGACTGCTTTTCGACAATCGGGCGTTGGGCGTACAAAGTCAAGATCTGAAATCGAACGTCAGCAGGCGAAACACCAGACAAGGAGATGAACGCGAAGGCAAGTCAAAAACATACCTCGAGCGCACTGGAGAAGGCATTGAGCAGCACGGCAAAGAAAAGCAGGGCACCACGGGAGTAGAAACTGTCCGTCTCGTCTTTCAAGTTGTAGAACACACTTCCAATAATAAGGGCCATGATGAAGTTTCCGACCAATTGGGAGATGGTCAAACTAGCATCACCTTGCAACCGTTGGAAACCACGGATCAAGCAGAGCTTGACCTGTTCGTACAGAGAGATTGTGTAGGGAGACTTGACGCGCTGGTTCTTGGATTGCATGGCTTTGCGAGATTCGATGAATTTGCCAAGCGACTCGCCACCGATAGCATATTGCTGGTTGTACTCGGCGATTTCCCGGAGCAGTTTGGCGTGCGCCTCACTGTTCTTCCATGCAGCGGCAAACTCATCAGGGGTTTGAGGCACCTTGCCCTCATATCCAGGCTTGACGATACGCTCGGCGGGAGAGGTCAAAGAAGTAAGGAAATCAGCAGTAGTCTGGCGATCCGGGCAATCAAAGCCCATGTTGGTGAAGAACGCCTTCGCCTCATCGGTAGGACCGAAATAGATCTGTCTGCCTTCGTACAGGACCGTGACCTTGTCGAAGACGTCGTAAGCACTCTGCGACGCTTGGTAAATGGCGACTGCAACAGTGGCGCCAGCGTACTTGGTCATCAAGTTCAATGTCTTGCAGAACTCGAGGGCGTTCGCTGAGTCCAGACCACGCGTACTGTTGTCCCAACACTGCAAGGGAGAGCCACACAGAGTGGCCTCGGCGATACTGACACGCTTACGCTCACCACCACTGACACCACGAACGAAGTCGTTACCGACCTTGGTGTTAATGGTGTGCGACAGACCCAGCATCGCCATGACCGCATCGCGCATGTGCAGCGCATATTGCTCCTTGGTCACCCCGGGGAAGCGGTTCCGAGGGCAACGAGAGAGGGCGGCGAACTTCAGGGTATCGCCGACGGTCAACTGCGGAAAGTGAACATCGGTTTCGGCGGTATAGATGGCCTCACCCTTGAATTGCTTTCGCATCTGCTTGGCCGAGATACCTTGATAGTTCAGCTGAGACGCCTCGTCCATGTAGATACCGTTCATTTCGCCAGCGAGGGTTTTCAGAAAGGTCGAGCAACCACTTCCGGGGCGACCCAGAACAACCAGCATCTCGCCGTTGCGCACGAGTCCATCGAAATCACGGAGGATCTGAATCTTTTGCTTTCCGGTACCTGTGAGTTTACGGACGAGCGCCCCGATTTGCAAGACGGAGTTGAAAACATCCTTCTGATAATCTGTCGGACTGCCGAAACCGTGCACGCTGAGGTTCTGGAAGGAGACACCGGCTTCACGGCGGGGATATCTCTCGGGATCGCGCGAGGAGAGAGCAAGAAGGTTCTTCATCCAATGCTTGGACTTGAAGTTGGGACTGGCGGGGTTCAGGGTCGAATCCTCTTTCACTTCCAGGAATGTATTCTCGCCAGTAGTCGATAACCGGGTGGATTGGCGGGTCAATTGCTGCGCCAGACGGTGGATCTCTTCAGCGGCAACTTCCTCGCTCTCATTGTCTTCGTCTCCTTTTTCTCCCTCTTCTTTCTCGAGCGCAGTCTCGGCGCTGCTGAAAGTGGTGTGTCGGCTCCAACGACCCCTTGTGTCGGGCCCCGGTGTACTGAGACCGGACTCTGCCATCAACTTCTCTTCATCGTGAGTGGTGTGCTGGTGATGGTGGTGGTGGTGGTGGCCCAACTCGGATATTCCTTCATTCACAGCGGATGCGGATGTTGCTGCTGCGCCTTCGTTCACATTCTCGTGCACCTCGTGGGACTCCACGCCACGGGCTGGATTAACATTAGGGTTTATAGTGCCTAGAAGCGACATGGTGATTAAAAGATGAGACGATCAGTCTCAGAAGACTGTGCCGATTAACGAGAGGACGCCAGAAGCATAGAGAGGTTGGCAGATAAAGGTTAGCCAAAGCGTTCGATCACAGATCGATTGCTTGATAAAGAGGGGGGAAGAGGCCGTAACGAGTGACGAATATAAGCGGGCGAGGGGAAGCGTGAGAAATGGTGGCAGCACGCTAAGGATAAAGTACTTGGTGGATAACTTATTAGGGCCAGCGGCCGCTCCGATGCCCCGTAGCTTGGAAATTAATGCGACTGGCGACTGACGACCGACTAGTGAGTCTAACGAGTCGTTGGTCAATCAGTCAAGCAACCAGGAATTAGAATCACGATCTTCGCTGGTCAAGAGGACAACAGGCGACGACGCGAGAAAAATGGAGAGGGGAAAAATCAACAATCAGGACCCAGCATCTGGGCTCATCCCCCATTTTACAGGCCCCAAAGAGTGGAAAAGTTTACGCTGCGATGGGCGAATCGGGACCAGGAAGAGTGCAACATCCGGGTCGGGACCCAGATTGATACACCCAGATCCACCCGGTACTTCCCACCCTCCGTGCGTATTCCTGGCTTAGGGGAATACGGGACATGAGACGGGTTAGACTGGAGGCTCGAGCAGAACCTTTTCGGAGAAAGGCTGCATATTGCCATATTTAAATCCGACGTGGTACTCGTAAACTTAGTGAGCAGGGCACCCTTGAATCCACGGATAGGACAGGTGAGCACCCGCGTGCAAATAGCAGGTGGTGAATGGCCAGGACACCTGTCGGACCCCATTAGGGAGAGATCCTTCTAGGCTTTCCATTATCTTTTCAGGCTTGTTGAAGTTCGAGCAAACCATGCCAAGGCCAGATGGGGGGGAAAGAGAGATGACGATAATTCCAAGGACTTGTAATTCGATCGGACATGATCTATATCAGCTTGCTGCCTTGCTCAGGAGCAGCTAGTGCGAGAAATGGGAACGCCACTATGACAGACCGGGATTTGTTTGTCAGTGCGCTTTCACTTGAAGCGTCAAGAGTCAGTCACAAGGTACAAGTAAGTAAGAAAAGCAGCTCAGCCTTGTTTCCTTGGGTAGCAAGCCGTAAGAATGGACGTTGCCACCTGTGCTCTGGTGAAAGGTTGACACATAGTGAGTGATGATAACATATGATAGATTCATGGTGAGGATGAGGATGAGGATGAGTAATAATGAGTTGAAAAAGTCTAGGCCAGAAGCAGGAAAACGTGGCGAGAAATGAACAGAAGAACGAAAAGAAGCAAAAGAAGATTCGGGGGGGGGGGGGGGGTTCCCGAGAGAATCGAGAGTCAAGAGCGGAGAGTCCGAGCCGGGCATTAACTCGATTGTCGCAAGAAGTGGGCCGGAGAGGCGGGAGTCCAGCCATCCGAAGCCCCATCCATTTTTCATTTTTCCCCTGTTTGATCCTTCTTCGGGATGGCGGAGATCCGGTGCACGCAGGATAAGGCGGGCTGACTCAGCTATGCACTCATAGTTACTCCGTGAGTTCCATCACTCAAGCTGTAAACCTCGACTCCTCGAGTACGTCAGTCTGGCGCATCGGAGAATTTCCCCACACAATTATCACGTTATTTCCATGACACAAGACACACGACACATGACACAAGACAAATAGTCTACCGGTATCCTGCTCTGCTGGTTATGCCGTGTCACACGGATACTCCAACCGATCACCGCGGATTGCTCACGATTCGAACCGATCATTGAGCTATTTGCTACGGCATATGTACAGTACGAGTAACTATGGACCCAACCCACCGCTACTTCGGAGTTCCTTGTTTAGCGGAGAAGATCAGCATCGATCGACTTATCGTCTGAATAATAATAGAAGCGTTGTTTTCGTCTACCCCACCGGCTCTGTTCGGTGATACACCTCAAAACATCCTGAGCTGGCCTCGAGCCAGACAGCAGTACAATGCGCGCATGCGGCTCCGCGGCTTTTACCCCCGTTGCTCCTGCCAAAGGGTCCATGCTTCTGCTGACGGCCGTTTCAGGCACATGTCACTGCGTGCTACATCTCAGTACATGGGCAGGTAATACTTTACACACGTGTAAATCTCTCACCGGACGAGCGTAGTAGTCTATGAGATTATCCATTCTGAGGCCGGTCAATTGATACCATACACACTCATCATCTCAATAAACCAAAATCGATAATCGTACATGTAGATAGTGCTCACGAGTCCTCCTCCGCCGCCTCCTCGTCCTCGCTTTCGTCATTGATGGGTTCGACCAGCAGGTTTCCACCCCGGCCGATCTGATCTCGGATGGAGCCCCCGGCACCCACTTCATAGACCACCCGCGGCATAGGTGAAACCAGTCGGAATCCATACTGGTGTTCGAACCCATCCGGTTTCGAGACGGTCGCTGCTCCCTCCACTGGCTCTTTCAGAATCTCATAACATTCCACAAATGCGTAGAGCTCATCGATGCTCGCCTCAGGTTCGAACTTCCGGATGACGCGTTCGCCCGACGGCAACCTGATGCTGATGCGCACCGCATCCTTGGCGTCCGGACCGGGCTCCTTAGCGATCGACTGGGCTCGCCATTGTCTCCACTGCTGAAGATCTTGGATCCGCTTCTCTTCCGCCGCCTGGCGCTCAGCCGCTTCTTGCTCTTCTCGTTGGCGGGCGGCCTCCGCCTCGCGTCTCTGTCTCGCCCGTTCGCGGTCAATGGCTAGAGACCGCTCGTAGGCCGAATCCTGCTGCTCGCGTAGACTGCGAGAAGCCTGCTGTTCTGCCCGAGTGGCGCGGATGCGCTCCAGAGGCTCTTTGTTCTGAGCGATCGCGGTCCGAAGCTTTTCCACAAATTCTGCTGGGGAGGTGGTTCCCGGTATGCGAGCCACAACAGACATTGCTGTCGAAGAAACATTGGGAGTGTGGATAACCGCAGCCGCAAAGGGGAACTTGGTGCACCGTAGCGAGTTTGAAACCTGGTATGCTTCTGAGTCTTGAATGTTTCCACCCCATACGAGAATCTCGTTCTGCGGGTCGGTAACAAAGTCGGTGACCTCCCGCGAGAGCAGAGTGTCGCGGACCCAGCCATGCGTATCGTCGTGTTCGGGGGCAAGCAGCACGACAAGAAGAAGCTTCAATTCCCGGTGAGCCTTCTCCAGCGCCATGTTGTATCCATTTTCCAGAAAGCCGATCGAGTTGGTGCCGTACTCCTCCTCAAATTCCCGGATGAACCGGGCAGCGGTATCTTTCGGGCCCAGGGGCCGGCGGCCATTGGTGTTTCGGCGTGAACCATGAAGAGCGGGACTGGCTGTGGTATTGAAGAGTCGCGGGAGGAAAGGGAAGAGGGAGCCGAACAAGCGGAAAGAGTTGTACAGCAGTCTGTAGAGGAGATTGAGCGGGGTAAAGAGGAGCGCTAGAATGAAAGGCGGGCGATAGACAGGCTGATCCTCAGATTGGGTGACTATCCGAGGAGCTGGCTCAGCAGCGCGTGTGGATGGGGAGAATTGCGCGCGGAGGTCATCGCTCAGTAGGTTCTGCGTCTGTCTAGTCGGCCTAGGAGGAGGGGTATTCAAAGCTGCGCGAGCCTCCTCAACCGGGTCTGGACCTTCACCATCGAAGAACTTGGAGATGGCAATCTTCCAACCGCCTAGGATTTAGTATTGGCGCAGACTAGACTGGCGAGGCGGGGGTTCTCGAAGGCCTACCTGCACGTTCCATTCCGAACGTCGTAACAAAGGAATAGCCTCCAAAGGGTCTTGGCCCGTCACCGCTATATAAGTTTCAAGACCAGCCCTCTCGCTGTCAGACAGCTGCGATATGTCAAGCCCGGACGAGGACATTGTCAATTGATGCTCCGGGCCATAAATGGGTGTATGTCGGGGGGAGAGGGGGGTTGATACGACGTCGCGATTAGGCAGAGAAACCGGAACCGGCGGGTTTGGCCTTGGAGGGTGGAAGAGGTCAAAGGTCTCAGAATGTCAGTAAGTAGTATAAATTATAGATCCTTTCGGAAAGGCAAAAGGATAGCCTGCCTGGGGGAGTAAATAAACAAAGAAAAAGGAGTGTCGCAGTCGCAAGAATAAGTTTAGCTGGCCTCAGTGCCGCAGTAGTGATGAGAGCTCCGTCATCGCGCAACTCACCGAGGGCGGCCGTCACGCTTCCGGAGTAGACGCGCGCTTGACGCATGGGGTGGTCCGTGCCCAAGTGGCAGTACCGAGTGCAAGAAGGCAGACCGCCCGACCGAGTGTCGAGTTCCCCTCTCCCTCCCCCGCGCGCCCTTGGTTCGCATGCCCGCCTCGCTGTCTCGTCCCATCCCCCATCCCATCTCATACCATAGCATGACGATATCAACCGGAAGTCTTGTCTACGGACGGTGAGTCATTGCTTGACGCACATCGGATCTTACCACTGCACTTCCTGGCGAGGGAAGACGGCAAGAGCTTGACCTCTGCACCACAAGCCACCTTCATTCAGCCATTCCCTATTGTCGGCCCCGATCGACTCCAACCATACTCTTATTCCTAGAGGAATGTGGTTTCCTCTAGAGTCTGTTCTTTCGGCTTTCTTTCACTCTAATTCGATGGGGATTTCCTTGCGTTAATGCGCGCCGAACTGTGGATTCAAGAAATACCATGGCCTCCACCGGGAAGTCGACTACCACTCTCGACGACTCTCGTCGGGCAACGGGCTCGCCTAAGATGAAGGCACGAGGTTAGCTACATGGTTTCCTATCGCGTGAGGCGAGCTTTCGCTGTCCACGGTCGCACGTGATAGCATGGACAATTCAGCTGATATTGTGCTCTGCGGACCTAGCGGAAAATGCGAAAGATACCCTATGCCGGAACGTTACGATATACGGGCGTTGTCGATACGAGGATAAAGGTATCTGCCTTACTACTACCAGCTTGGGCCAAATATCCATCTAACGCCGGACGTGGCAGGATGCGCATTCAACCATGACCCTCACAAAGTGAATTCATATGCGGACAGGTGGGCACCCTCGAATCGGCGCAAGAGCGATGCGCGAGTGGGATCATACGTTGTTTGCAGCTTGCTGACGTTTGTGGCTTAGGAAACGCTTGAACGTTGACTCTCCGAGCTTTACACCTACATTACTATCTTCCAATGGATCCTCTCCCACTATCGCATCTGCAACCATGAAAAAGACGGCAACAATATCACCCAAGGCTGCGAATGCAGCCCCTTTCCAACCACGGGGGATCTCATCACGTATGCCATGCGTCACTTCACACTGAAAGAGCTTTTCGTCTGACTGCAATAAGGGTCCAACTCCAGCACACCAACTGCGCGACAGGGAACGATGACTCCGGATTGGTCTGTCGCGGAAGTTCAGGAATTCGTTCCTCAAGGCTTTGATGGGTCGCATATGGTATGATTCTGCGCCTATTGCATTTCATACTATGTTTCGACTTCTCGCAGTCGCGGCCCATGAACGCCGCAATTTGGCAGCTTCGTCGTTTCGGGCGTTGACTGATACTTATAATATAGGCTTCCCTACAAGGAAATGGCACTTCGACCATCCCCACGACGACTGCATTCGATCCTTTTGTGACCTCGCCGAATCCACTTTCTGCTGCCAATGCCGTGGGCCCGGTTCAAGCGAACCCATTCACACATGATACAGCTGCGGCGCTGGGAGGCGCCGCATTCTTTGCGAATCAGTCCGGCTTCCAGCAACCTGTAAGTTTTATTACTCGGAGGCTTTGAAGGTCATTCACGAACCTTTTGTCGTCCAGGTTCAATACCACATGTACGCTCCAATTGGACCACACAGCCAAAATACCTTGGGCTACCAGCGGAATGTCCACGATCTCTTCCTTCCGAACGACTTCCGAGAAGAACTGCAAAAGAAAGCAGCGGCCACACTGCAAACCTTACCCAGTGAGTTGGATGACAGTTACGCATGTGAAAACAACAGCCGCTAATCCTGCACAGACACTCAGCTACCCGCTCAAGTGGATTACTTCCACTCTCTCGTCCCTCTTGACCTGAACCATCAAAAGAATGCAGCTATCTTTGGCTATCCTAGCTGGGTATACAAGGCCCAGTCCAGTAAAGACGGAAACTTTTACGCCCTTCGAAGATTAGAAGGTAGATTTCACCTCAAGCTCGACGGGTCCTGTAGCACTACTGATCATTCAACACAGGGTTCCGTCTTACAAACGAGAAGGCGATTCGATCTGTCCAAGCGTGGAAGCGGGTATGCAGCGGCAGCGTTGTGACAGTCCACGACGCCTTCACCAGCCGGAGCTTCCAGGACAGCTCGTTGATTTTTGTGACGGATTACCACCCACTGTCCAAGACCCTCGCCGAGCAGCACCTGGGCGCCGGAAATCGGTTCACCGGACGCCAGAACGCCCACATCCCCGAGCAGATCCTGTGGAGCTACATGACGCAGCTCGGCAACGCCCTCAAGGCGATCCACAGCAACGGCCTCGCCGCGCGCATCATCGACGCCAGCAAGATCTTGCTGACGGGCAAGAACCGCATCCGGCTCAGCGCCTGCGCCATCTTGGATGTGGTGCAGTTCGACACGCAGCGGTCGGTGGCGGACCTGCAGCGGCAGGACCTGGTCAACTTCGGACAGCTGATCGTGACGCTGGGCGCCAACTCGCCCAGCGTGATGCACAACCCGACGAAGGCGATGGAGCACTTCACGCGCGCCTACAGCCCGCAGCTGAAGAACTCGGTGTTCTGGCTGCTGAACGGGCTGCAGAAGGACCAGGACCGCAACATCGACATCTTCATCACGGGCATCTCGTCGCAGCTGATGTCGACGTTCGACTCGGCGCTGCACCTGGACGACCAGCTGACGTCGGACCTGAGCCGCGAGCTGGAGAACGGGCGGCTGGTGCGGCTGATGACGAAGCTGAACCTGGTGAACGAGCGGCCCGAGTACGAGCACGACCGGCAGTGGGCGGAGAACGGCGAGCGCTACTTCCTCAAGATCTTCCGCGACTACGTGTTCCACCAGGTGGACGCGCAGGGCGACCCCGTGGTGGACCTGGGCCACGTGCTCACGTGCCTGAACAAGCTGGACGCCGGGTCGGACGAGAAGGTCACGCTGGTGAGCCGCGACGAGCAGAGCTGCTTCGTCGTGAGCTACAAGGAGCTGAAGAAAGCTCTGGAGTCGTCGTTCCAGGCGCTGCTGAAGCCGTCGTCGGGGCGGAGGATTCATTAGTCGGCTGGCCTAGCTTGGCTACAGCTTGGCTACAGCTTGATGTCAAGCTATACCGACCTGCACTTGGCATTCTATAAACCGCGTTGCGCGGAGTGAATTGACCACCTATTTACCGACCTTGTGTACCCTGGGGAATTTGGTTCCTTGGACGAGTAGGATGAGACGTGGGATACGGAGGGGGCAGTTGTTCTGTCCTGCTATTTGAGGGCCATGTTGGACCAAGAACGCCCCCTACGCCCTTCGCATTGCTGTTTGCGCATTTGGACTATCTGCCGTGGCAGTTGAAAGATATCGATGAGAGAACTAGGTAGAAATGTAGCAATTGTGATTACCATTTGATCTTAGTTTGGACACTACCATCACCGCAAGCCACAGTGCTAACCAATCCAACCAGCACCCCAGTTGCGTAAAGCACAACCAAGACTTAAATCCCGTAACTAATATAAGGTATATACATAAATCCAACCGAACCCAATCTCAACCCTAAACCCCCTCCCCACCGCCCCTGGAAAATAGAATAAAGAAATCAATCCAAATCCGGCACCGGCAACCCATTCACAATGCGGACCTTCCGCCCCAACCGATCCAGCGCCTCCTTGGAGTTCCGTGCACGCAACGCACTAGTCTCCTCGTCGGAGACGAGCACAAAGTCGTAGGTAAGGCAGGCGTGGTCCTCGGGGACGTTGTACTTGGCGGCGAGCTCGGGGCCGGCGGTGCCGATGTCGACGACGAGCGAGTCCTTGACGCCGAAGACGGCGTCGGAGGTTTCGTAGGGGTCGTTGCGGAGGTAGAGGGCGCTGTCCGTCGCCCCCAAAGTTCAGATTAGCATGCCAGTCCCCAGCCCAGCCCAAACCCCCAGGACAAAGGGAATATGGAAACATACGTAATCAAATGATCGAACCCCTCCTTCTCAAACATAAAATGCATATGACTCGGGCGGTACGGATGGCGACCCAGCAGCTTCAGGAGTTTGCCGACGGGCCCGTCATGCGGGATCGGGTACGGCACGGGGGTGATGGCATGGAACCAGAAGACGCCGTCGGCGTCGCTGCGCATGATGCAGCGGCCGTCCGGGCCGTCGTGGTCCGGGTACTGCACGTCGTAGTGGCCGGTGCTGTCGGTCTCCCAGATGTCGATCTTCGCGTCGGAGACCGGGTGGCCGGCCGTGTCTTTGATGGTGCAGACCACCAGCAGGGGCTGGCCGTTGGGGTCGTGGGACATGGCGGCGCCGGGGGCCAGCTCCTCGGCTTCGTGGGTGTGGAAGGGGCCCAGGACGGTGCCCTCGGTGCTGCCGGCGGGTTTGGGGTGGTCGATGCTGTCCACCAGTAACGACAGGCCGAGGATGTCGGAGAGGAGGATGAATTCCTTTGTCCGTTGTTAGGGTCTGGGATGCAGGGGAATGTGCTGGGGGTGCTGGGGGTGCTGGGGGTGCTGGGGGTGCTGGGGGTGCTGGGGGTGCTGGGGGTGCTGGGGGCGCCCTACCTGCCGCACATCCGTACAGATCTTGCCCACCTCGGTCAGGAAGCGCAGCCCCGTCATCCATTCCTCCGTGCTCAGGCGCGTCTCCCGCGCGAAGTCGTGCAGGTGGGTGACCAGTCGCTCCAGGATGTATTTCATGCGCTCGTCCGGGCACAGCGAGTTGATGCGGATCACGTTCTCGGTGATGTTGTCGATCGTGAGATCTTTCATGGCGGGGATTTTCACGAGGGAGGGGTCCATTTTGTCGGCTTTGGCTGTACTTTGGGCTTGGGGTTATATGGAGAAGAAAGGGAGAATTCCAAGGAGTCGAAGAAAGTAAGTAAGTGTGTGAGCTAGCTGGGTCGGGGGAAGTCTATATACAAATACGTATTCCGTAGGTAGCTCCGCTAGCCTGCTCCGCGGGGTGGATTTTCTTTCCCCACATTCTGGCGGGGGGAAATTCAATGATGGATGGCGTAACAGCCGGCTCCTCACTGGCCAATGCCCACTTCAACTCAGCTGCTCCGGCTATTGCTATTTCCGTATTGCCGGCCTCAACCTACCATCCTACATCGTATACACAGCAACAATTAAAATACCCTGGATACCCTGCTACCCTGGTCATGGGCATCCGATGGGTCAGGAAGCAGGCTAGACTCTAGCCCTCTTTCTTTCGCCCCGACCCATCCGATCAGCTGTGGGGGGAGAAGTCAACGGACGCAACATCCCCGCGCTGCGTGCCCTTCACTCCGCATCTGATGACATTCAAGGAGATTTCTCGATGATTGCCCACTGATGGTCCTGGCCAGATAATTGATACGCTAATACTACGTACAACAGACCATGCCTCAAGGTGACCATAGAGGTTGGTTTACCTTGGTTATCCGTCCTAGTACTGGCATGGCCACTGTGGGTCATGTTCGATACCAACAGAACAAGCTTCCCCCCAGCGGATCAACCATCGGCAGTTCTTCATCCGCTTCGGGAATGACCTCAAGCGATCCATGATCCATGATCCGTCATCCGTCATCGTCCCCAAACACTATCCCCCCATTCGATCCGTTCCATTCCAGAATAAACCAATTCATATTCAACACTTCTTAATATGCAGCATACGACAAACAACCGGGATATCTGCCAGACTCGCTCAACAGTACACACAGAATCAAAAACAGAATCAAGGTAAACATAGATACAAAACTCCAAGTCGCGCCGGCTCATCCCGCCAACGAAGATATACACTATGCTCGCACCAACTTTCGTTCCCGGTCACGCTCCTGGTCGCGCTCCCGCTCCCGCTCCCGCTCGCGTTCTCGTTCTCGCTCCCGTTCGTTACTGACTTCATGCCCCTCCTTGGCGGCAGCCGCCACCCGCGCGTGGTGGTCCACCGTATCCAAGATCGCCTGCATGAGGCGCGAATTAGCATCCGGGGCGTCGTCATCCTGCGCCGAGTCAGCATGCCGATGCATGCTAATGCGTCGGTCGTGCGTCATGACGTTGCTCCCCTGGATTTCGCTCATCGCGCGACGAGGCGAGAGGTCTCTTTTGAAAGGCGTTCCCACGGCCGGACCAGCCGTCGCGGTTGGGGCCGACTCTCGTCGCGTACTGAAGTCGACATGGTCATGGGCGTGCGGTCGATCCACGTCCATCATCGTCGGCTCGGAGACCGGCGTCTGCGCCGCGGACGGAGGTGCTTGCACCGCAGAGGGTCCCATGGCGGTTGCCGAGACCTCTTGGGCTGGCCCTTCCTCCATCCGCTCCCGGGAGCTGCGGTCCACCTGCGTCTCCCGCAGCTCATCTTCCTTCACATCCTTCCAAGAACACTTGGCGTGCTTCTTCGTACATCCCATACAGGCCGTCAGATTCTTTAAACAGTCCATGTGAAGACGGCGACACCGATCACAAGGGGGCATAATCCGTTCTCCACGCTGCAGCTCCTCCATGCGGGCCACCATCTCCATTTTGTGCGGGCCCCCGTCATCCTTATCATGGTGGTGGGACTTGGGCGGTGGTAGCAACGACGACGGCGTACTCGGGATGGCGACGGTGGTCGGGGCCGGAGTATACATGTTGTACTCCGACGCATCCGACGCTCGCGGGCGCGGTCGCGATGACTGCCGAGCCGACGAGTCGGGTCCTTCCTCATAGGACCGGGACTGCCGGTCTTGCGTAGTGAAGAACTTCTTCATTAGCTCGGCGCGCGTGGTCGGCGACGCGCCTTTGATAGAGGTGCCGTTGATAATCGTGACGTTGTCCGTGTTCGAGTGCGAAAACATGAATTGCGACGAGAGCGAGTTCTCCTCCACAGCAGCTTCGCCAGCGCCGGGCCGGCCGGCATTGACCGCCACAAAACCAGTGGATGGAGAGTGAGCGCTCACCGGAGCGCTGCCATTGAGGACTGGGAGTCCATGTCCGTTCGCATCGCGCCACGCAGGACTCATCGAGCGATGTTGCTGATGTCGTTGCGAATGAAGGGACATGTCGTTTTCTCGACGGGTCACGATCGCCGTCCTCCGGTTCTTCAGGCGATGGTTGAGTTGTCGGGCTCGCGCGGATACTAAAATGCAACCCGTCAGTGATCTCATCTTCCGTGTGAATGCGTAGGTCTGAGATGAGCTGACCTTGGTCGGCCACCTGGATGATCTGCTGGAGATTCTTCTCCAGTATCTCGAGCGCGCCCAGTTCCTTCTCTTCGTCTTCAATGATCGGCTGAGGCGGAATCATCTTCTGCGGCATGCCTGATGCAATCAGGACGAAATCCTCCTCGCTGATCTCCACGCGACACTGTTTGGTGTAGAATTGACACACGCGCACGCCATTGCGAGACTTCTCCAGGTTAAACTGTTCCGGTTTGTTTTTGGCAAATTCCACCACGTCTAGCCAGGTGACGTTGGGGGAATCCTTGCCGTGGGACTTGAGCACGCGGGGCGGTCCATCGAAAAGGCGCTCGAAGCGCTTGATCAGAATGGGGCCTAATGGGCAAGCGCCCAGGTTGCCGGCGATACTCTCGTGTCGGTGCAAAACGCCGTCATACTCTCCAATCAAGTGAATGATCGAGGGCATGGTATCCTCGACGGAAACCAGAGGCAGATTGTCCGGATACTGACGGGCCAGGTAGTTGATCTGCAGGTGATTGGAGGGCTTGGGGACTTTGGATGCGATAGGAGGAAAGTCGCCGGACGGCGATCGCGGCCGCTTACTGGACGGCTCAGCCGTCGCAGGTCGAGACTCCATAGTGATGATAAGAAGAGGCGGGAAGGAGAGGGAAAGGTGGTGAGGAGGGAAGAGAGAGAAGGAAGGGGAGGGGGAAGAGGGGAGAAGGGGAGGGGAAGAGATCCTAGGATCGCGACTATAGCGGTAGTCACAGAAGAAAAAAGACAAGGCGGGGAAGGAAAAGGGAGAGGGAAAGCGATGGAGCGAGCTGAGAGGAGAAAAAGGGATTATTGAGGAAATGAGTAATGGGAACGCTGGCGAAAGACAGGCTGCCGATGGCGGAGCATAAGGCTCCAGAGTGCGGGCTCCCAATCAGCCACTGGGCAGCGCGTACTGCGTTCAAGTTAGGTAATCGCGATAACCCCCAGCCGATGCAAACCGGGATGGAGGAAACTGGGATGGATGGGATGAGTGGGGGGTGGGACAAGCAGGAAGTGGTGAAAGAAAGAAAGGTTGAGCGGGTATTAAAGGACAAGGTGGAAAAGAGGAGAGTAAACGTTGGTTAAAGGATAAGTGAGGGAGGGAGGGAGGGAGGGAGGGAGGAGGAGAGAGGAGAGAGGAGAGAGGAGAGAGGAGAAGAGGAGCCGACGGAGAGGAAGAGGAGAACGCGACAATCGCGAGAGAAGGAGAAGCACGGAGCAGTCGAACCCAATTGTATGTACTAGCAGAAAAGAGGAAGGTCGGAAAGCGGGCAAGTTGAACTGAACCACTTAACGAATGAATGCTTGAGAAGAGGGAAAGAGAAACCAAGGGGAGATCGGGGTTCAACCCATTTGGTTGCTTGTTGGCCGGTTGGTCCGGCACGCGGGTTGTGGTTCGCAGACCTCAATCGCAGACAATCACCGCAGGGGGAAGAGAGAGGGGGGTGGATAAAAGAAAGAGCAGTGAGTGGATAAGAATAGAAGACGACGGAGGAGGAGGAGGAAAGCAAGCAAAGAGACCGACGGAGGGGATGGATGGATGGCGGAACGGGCGAGCCCGGAAAGTCACCTGCTCCATCCAGTCTGAATCCCAGGTTATTATTATCTTTCGCACTCACTCTCTTCCCGATCTTCCGCAATCATTGAAGCAGGAGGAAGTAGTAATTCTTTAACCTAGTATGCAGTATGTACTGGAGAGTGTACTTCCTGGACACATTCTCCCTTAATTCCCAACCACACAAGAGTCAGTCAGTCCATGTCCATTCATCCCAATCTTCTTATCATCGTGGGTGTCCTACTAGTGGATGCGTAAGCAACAGGCAGGGGCGGAGTCCCGCCGGGCTCTTCCGCTGTCCATTCGGATGAGCCGTAACCCGTCACTGTCACTGTCATGACCAATACAGTTGATTCAATTCGATACCATCGTGACACTGGCCACCATTGAAGATGCTTATCCACAAGCCCACTGCGCGAGGGTGCATCGTTTTTGCCCCCTTGCGGACGGACCCTCAGGAACGAAAGTACCACGATGGCTACAGGAAAAGAGTACAGACACGTTGCCTGGCGGTTGGATCCTGTCTCCGGGTTTGATGTCATAGGGGGGAGGGGGAAACGAACAAGCGACAGTCCGCCCCCCCCCCCGTCCTTCCCTCACTAAGTGACCGATCACCACCGAATAGCTCGACTGTCTCGTCCCATGTGCTGCTACAGGCGCGCTCCGCCGGGCAGAAGGGGGGATCGTCGATTTTTCCCGTGTGCCATACGCGGACTCCGTACTACCACTCTTCGTGCTCCCATCTTGGTCTGGAGGTTGACGGAAAGGAGACGGGCGGGTATTGATGAATCTGCAAGGTGTGCAGTACGGTACACCGTAGACAAACGCATGAGCCTGACCTAAACTTGATGCCTAATGAGCCTGGAGTCGAGGTTGCCAGGCCGATATCCATCCGATTGACCGGTGTTCCAGCCACATCGATATCCAATCCCCACGCTAGACCGGGCCGGTGGTCAGCTATGGGTCAGGTATTATCGGTGTCAACGGTGTGACCAACACCGTCTTCTACTCTTCAACCATCTGGCCATCTCGTGGCAGCGATGTTAGTATTTGACGCTCCAATTGCGTGCTGTATCCTTGGTAGTCGTAGCTCAGTAGAAGTGGATAGATGAGGTGCTGAGTGGTGTCTGTTGATAGTCAGTAGCGCATCTGTGACCTCGAGCTTATGCCATCATGTTTATTTATATCCGTAAGTAAGTATACAAGTGCTGGAACTCGACCAACGAAGTCGTGAGGCTATGATGTAAAAGCAAAGAGTTTCTCAACTCAACAGTAGGAGACAACTGCGTATAAGTTAGATATCAAAAGGGTACCTTATAGAGACTCATTCTTCTCCATCCTCTCGGACATTGAGTACTCCGTATATACTCCGACCCTTCCTTTTCCCAAAGGATGTAAAGGCGGTGAAGAAGTGTGGGCGGTGGGTGTCGAGCGGGAAAGCCACGGAAAAGAAAATGGTAGGCATCGAAAAGCGTACGCACGACCGCCCGGGAACCGACAACTGGTGGAGTTACTCCGTCGCGGCTGCAACCAACTTTCGCGGATGGAAAATCCCTCATACTGATAACTATCACCTCTGTGGCTTCAATCACATCCATCCATCCATCCATCCACCGAACCTCATCCCATTCCGCCCCTTTCCTCCCCCCTCGCCTTATCGGGTCGAAAATTTTCTCCCACTCCGGGTTACTCCAACAGATTGACCGTCTTTCCACCTCTCAAATCCCAACGTCTCCAATCTCTGGTGCTGGCCCCTCCTTCCCCTTCCCCTCTCACTCTCTCTTTGAGTTAGTAACTGAAGTTACTATTGAGGTCACGGCACGTGCATCATTATCTAATCCACGCCGCTGTAATTGGACACTCGATCAGTCCAGTATACATTAGCCCCTCTTACACGCAATTCAATTGATTCCTTTTCCCCCCCAACACAGCCAAGCCATGTCCGAACGAGGCTCATTCCGAGGAGGTCGCGGCCGCGGCGGAGGTTACGGTGACCGGTCCGGCGGCCGTGGCGGGCAGGGCCGCGGTGGCGGTGCAGGTGGCGGTGCCCACCGCGAGCACCGCGACCACCGCGAGCAGCAGCAGCAGCAGCAAGAGAAGCCCAAGAAGGAGAACATCCTCGATCTGAACAAGTACATGGACAAGGAGGTGCGCGTCAAGTTCAACGGAGGCCGTGAAGGTGAGTTTGCTTTTTGACTTCCTTGTCAGCTGCTTGGTCAGCATCCCGGTAGAGTACGAACTAACATCCCGTCCCCCCAGTCACTGGTATCCTGAAGGGCTACGACCAATTGATGAACTTGGTTCTGGACGATGTCAAGGAAGGCATGCGCGGTAGGTTTCCCCTCATCTAGGTTTATATGCCAGCTTGACTAATGGGAGGGGGGACAGATGACGAAGGCAACGAGACCACGCGCTCGCTGGGGTTGATCGTGGCCCGTGGTACGCTGATTGTGTTGATCTCCCCGGCCGATGGCAGCGAGGAGATCGCCAATCCTTTCGTGCAACCGGAGGAGTAAGGGTTCCGTGGGTGGTGATTCCATGTAATGCGATTTGAAGAGCATCGGCCATGCCTCGATGACGGCTGAGGTTGATGGCCTCGATGCCCGGCTAGACCTAAGGCCGAGTAAACCCAGTTGAGTTGTTCAAGGCCTCTACTGGTCGAGAAGGAGTCATTCCATTTACGAAAGCAGATGAAAAGATATACCAGATGTGCTTTGTGCTTTGTGCTTTGTGCTTCGTGCTTCGAGCCGTGACTGTACAGTACCTGAAAATGAGCTTGCATGCACTGGTCAAGTCATAGGCCATGATTGCAGCAGAATGAGTGACTAGAAAGAAATATCAATGAGATTAACGACCATTAAGCTTCGAAGTGACATGTCATGACATCACGGCAGGGAATGGGGTGATGACGGTGACTTCGGCGTTGCACCGCCCGGTCTAGAAGCAAGTGCCCAGTCTACCTTCCCAGCTGGTCGGAAGTATATTCGACTTTTGTCAAGTATAATATCACCCGCCCCTCTTCTCCTTTACGAGGCTTTATAAAATGTAGATATTTGCTTGTGGCCCATCTCCGCACGAGGCCAAAACCAAAATGAAGCATCTCCAGTACTGGGCCGTCGCGGCTCTTCCGCTGACATCCGCCTTTCTGATCCCACCCAAGCAGCAGCAGCAGGCGATCCTCCACGAACCGAAGCCAGACCTGCAAGAGGAGCACGAGGCGGACGACCACCAGTTATTCGACATCCTCTCGCTCCTCGAGTCCGCGGTGGAAACCTACTCGCCCGTCCAGCAGATCACCTCGTGGCTCGATGAGGTAGCAGAGGCGACCAACCCCAGCGAGGAACACCTCTTGTCTCCTCCTCCGCCGCCCTTCCGCCGCCCGTCTCCGCCGCCGTACCCGCACCACCCGCCCTCCAACAAGTCACTGTACGATCTGATCTCCGAGAATCCTCACACCACCATCCTGGCCCGCATCGTCCACGACGACTCGCAACTGGTGGAGCTGCTGAACCGCACGGCCGCCAACCTCACATTCTTCGCGCCCACCGACGAAGCGTTTGCCAAAATCCCGCATCACCACCACGACCGACACCGCCACCACGATGACCGCGACAGCCATGACGGAGACGACGATGACGACGACGACGACCGTCACCACCACAAACCACCCCCGGAGCTCATCCGCGCGGTGCTGAAATACCACCTCGTCTCCGCGGTGTACACGCCCGCCGAGCTCTTCCACGCCCACACGCTGCCCACCCTCTTGACCTCGCGGCTGCTCAGCCCTAAGCCCGACGCAGCCCCGAGCATTGTCCACAGTGACAACGACAACAACAACCTCCCGCAACGCCTCAGCATCAGCACCACGCTGCACGGCCCGACCCTGAACCACTACAGCCGCATCCTGGCGACCGACAAACGCGGGGCCAACGGGCTCCTCTACACGATCGACGCGATCCTGCTCCCGCCGCCCTCCCTGCTGACGCTGACGACCATCGTGCCCACGCAGTTCAGCACGCTAACACTCGCCCTCCACCGCACCGGTCTGGCAGCCCAGCTCAACCGCTCCCACCACTGTCCCCACCACACCAAACCCAGCCCCGGAGACCCCACCCCGAAACCAACAACCAAGCCCCCCTCCCCCAACCTTCTTGGAAAAAACTCAGGCCGAGGGGGAACATACTTCCTCCCCACGAACCGCGCGTTCAGCGCACTGGGGTACAAGCTCAACGCCTTCCTGTTCTCGGAGCACGGGACCCCGTACCTGCGCGCGCTGCTAAAGTACCATCTCGTGCCGCACCGCACGCTCTACTCGGATGTGGAGTATACAAGCCATGGTAAGATCGAGGCGGTGCATGGGATGAAGCATTTCGATCTGGAGACGTTGTTGGAGGGGCGGACGGTGCCGGTCGAGGTGGCGAATTTGGGGCCGTGGGGGGGCGTCACTGTTTCTGGGGAGCGGGTGGGCGTGAGGGATTTGGTGGTCGCGGATGGGGTCGGGCATGTTCTTACCCGTTCTGTTCTTGTTCCTAGGTGTGAGGGGGATAGTTATGGGGATACTTTTGGGGATACTTATGGGGAGATGACGGTCGAAGAGCTGGTGGGGAGGTTGCAGGGTTTGGTGGATTTGGAGTCTGAGGATGGGGATGGGGAGGAAGAGGCGGAGGTGGTTTGGGGGCAGTTGCATGATCTTTTGGAGTTGTAATTACTCATCTTTTGTGATTTATGGTTGAGTTTACTGGGAAGTTTAAAAGAAGGGAGGTCCGGGGGTTCTCCCCCGGGAAGCCTTCTGCATGTATTAGGGTTATGCGGATTGTTGATATGTCGACCAAAATGCTACATGTTTCATTCCACGCCACAACTCGGATTGTAAAGCGTGATCGGTGCAAGGCCTCATGCCATGGCATCGCTATATACAAGTCATATATACAACAAACATCGTGGTCGTCCTCATCAGCTGTCCGCTTCCACAATATCCCCGAACTCCTCGGTCTCCTCCTCGCGTACCACCGGCCGGTCCTTCACCCGCCGCAATCCATCTCCATCCTCGACCCAGGCGCCCACCTTCTCCACCCCCTCGATATACTCCGTTCCCACCCGCAGGTTCAGTCCCGCGCTCAGCGCTCGCTCGATGCGCACCTCCCTGCCCTCCGCCACCAGCACCCGGAACACGTGCGCCAGGAAGCCGCCCAGGATATCGACGCTCCACTCGTCCGGGATGATCCGCAGAACCTCCCCGACGTCGAACCACGCCGCGAACCGGCCCAGAAGATCGCTGGTCCGCTCGATGCGCTCCGACGAATCCTGGATCTTCAGGAACTCGTCCAGCAGGAACCGGAAGAGTTCACTCTGCTGCGATCGGTCCGCGAAGGACGACGAGCTGCTGGTGGCCTGCGGGCCGCCGAAGAGACAGTATCGGATGGCTGAATCGTAGTCGCCGAGGCCGTGCGTGAGGAGATGAAGAGCTTCGCGGTGGCGGCCCTGAAGACCGTCGAGAATGATGGATTCCGAGACGAGCTCGTTCTGGAAAGGTTCGATCCGAGCTAGAACGGCAGGGATGGAGAAGGTGAAGTTGCGCGGCGGCATCGAGGTGAACTGGCTGCCTCCGGTGCTGCCGCCGCCGAGGAGCTGGAGGAGCCGGAGCCGGGATTGCCACCATGGTTCCGAGGGAGTGTTCACCGTGATGAAATTCATATAGGTCGGTTTCGGAGCGCTTAGAGCGCGGTAGGTGGAGTAGGATTCGGAGAGAGAAGCTCGTGCTGACGGCGACGTCTCCAGTACGGAGAGGACGGAATCAAGGTAGTATGCCAGCAGGTCATCCGCGTATTGTGTGAGCTGGAAGAGAATCAGTCAGAGAAAGCTTAGTCGAAGTACGAACGGCGCTACTCACATTTCTGGCAAAGACCAGGTGTTCCAAGTATGCTTGGACGGCATTAGGTGCTTGCTGCTTGAGAAGCGCCACGACATCGGCAGTTTCCAGCTTGACTCTGCTCGTGCCATCAGAGAATACTTGTATGCCCAGGCTGGGGTTGCGCTGGGCAAGCCACGCTCCGTACTCTTCCACTAGTTGAACGTCTTTGATCTTGACCAGGTACCGGCGCATCTGTGCCTCTGTACCAGCAATCGTGATTTCGCCGCCCAGGTCCTCTTCACCGTCGATGATCCTGCGCCATGTTTTCAGGACATTGCGAGACATCTTCTGGCTCTGATATAGTCGGCTCAAAACGAACAGTCGTCGATACTGTTCCAATAGCGCCACTGCGCGGTCCAGATTGCCCTTCCAATTATCCACAAGCCTATTCAGTTCAATGCGTAACGGAGAGCCTGGTCGTTTTTCAGGCGCGAGTTGTGCGTCCTGTTCCAGGAGTAAGTGCAGGAAAGCCGCGTCGACGCTGTCGAAGACGTAGGTCTCATCTGTGATACTTCCGTAACCCCTCTTCTGCTGCCAGGAGAACAGAAACCTCTTGATCATATCCAGCACGGCACTGTCCGAGGCCCCGTCGCCCGCAGCCTTATCCAGCTGCTGCACGTAACTCTCTGTGATCTCCGCCAAGCCCGCGTGTATCCAGATTCCTTGCGGGCTCTGCAGGACCTCTCGTCGCAATAGTGGGATCAACAGAAGCGGAATGCGGGGGTCCAGGTTTCCCACAATGAGAGCTCGCTCCGTAGCGTCTATAGTGGCCTCATCCCTGTGTTCTGCATCCATGAGAATCAGGTCACCGAACAGAAGCAGACTAGCTTTCTGCTTCAGGTAATTCAAGCCTAGAAATTCGGATTCGGACTTGGGCTCTGCGGCTTGAACAAGATCGATGACGTCTGTGATGGCATCCCGCTTGAGAACAGTACGCCCATCTGTATCCGGTACTTGAGCGCTCTGTAGGGCGTCATCCAGCTGCGTTGTTAGCGGGTTCTTCACTACCCGCCATATCTGATTACCATTCCACATGATAAGACTGCTCTGGGTCTGGCCCAAGGCACGTGCAAACTTGGCTTCTTCGGCATTGCGCTCTACTTCCCAGCCACGCTCGGCCTCACCAGTCCCTTCCTGGCCCTCGAATAGCTCCTTTTCTTTTTGTAGCTGTTCGATCGACGCCTGCGTTCTCGGATCGGTAGCAGGCACATGCGGTGACAGCGACGGCGTTTTCAGGCGCACCATCTGCAAGAGCTTGCCCATCTCGGCGATCTCCAGCTGACTCGGACTTATCGTATGGTTGAGTCCCACATGCGTCGGCTGCACGTCTGAAGACGGTATCTCAACCCACGTTTTGTGCTCGTCCGCTTCCCCGGGATCGACATCCCATAGTTGAACCTCCAGGAACTTGCGGCGTTGTCCTTCCTTTTCTGCCTCTATCACTGCAAGCAGCAGTTCTTCATGGGTGTTGTCGGGCGAATGAATCATGTTGTTCTCGTTGCCTTTATCAATGATAATGGATTCCGGATACTGGTGAAAGGTGATTGTGCCACGAACCACGTCGCCGTCAATGTTGACAAACATACCGACTCCAGGCTCCGACTCGTCCGTGCCCCTCACAAGCAGAAATTCCGACGGGGTCGGCGATAGAATATGGGGCCTCAGTTGCGTCGGCTTTGGAAGAAGGGGAAGTGGTTTCCTTTCCTCCGAGCTAGATTCTGGATCACGCGGTGGATTCTCCATACTTCGCTTGGGAGATGCGCTCCCTGCGCGCTCTTTCGATAGCGAGCGTCTTGGTGTTCCCGACTCGGGCGAGAGCTCCGAGGTGGCCGAGCCTGATCGCTTGTGTCCGTGTGGTTGCAACAAGCCAGACTTTGTATTTGAGCTGAAGCTCCTTTCAAACAAATGACTCTCTGAGGTGGGCGAATGGGCGAAGAACGGGGAGGTCGGCGACTTCAAGGGCGGAGCTGTCGACACATCGTGGACTTGGTTAGGTTCGAAATTCTCGTTCGAGAAGGAGATTGGAAACAGCTGTATTTTCTGCTGGTTCTCCACATCGACGAGGGAGTACGAGTGTGCATCTGCGGCACAGGCGATGATCCCTCTGCGCGCGGCGACCAGGCATCCAGGAAATTCAATGTTCCTGATTCGTCGAGCTTCCTCCCCTATCCTCACTAGCATAGTACGATTCTGCGCCGCAATCATGACCACTTGCTCACTCTGCTCATCCGCGCCCGTGTTGAGATCCACTCCTCCGATCCAGGAACAATTGTTGACCTTTGTATTCCCGAAAGCCGGACTAAGCTCCGGTAGCATGTAGAAGGTGACAGCCCCATTGCATAGGACACAAGCCTTGTTGACAGCTGGTAACAAGAGGATATGTTGTATCCCAAGCGACTTGGTCGCCGTAGAAGTGGTGTTGGCGAAGGGAATCGGTAATCGGGAAGCTAGGATAAACGACGGTTCGTTCGACTTGTCCGAGGGGTCCGGTGGAAGGCAGACGAAGTGAAGAATCTCGGCGGCAGATGTCCCAATGTATAAATTGTCATCTGGCAGAGAATTCGTCAGAAAAGGACGTGTGAATGCTTAATGGCAGAGGTCCAAAAGAACTTACTCCAATACTCAACAGTAGTGATGTGGACTTCGTCATCGTTATCGTCGGGATTCAAGGGAACCTGATCAAACAGCGATCGCAGAACATATGGAGCTGCCTTAGGAGGGCTGATCTTCCGCCGTTTGCGCGGGCTGACGCCCTCCTCTTCAGACACCATGATGAGACCAGCTCCAGTGTCGTAAGAGAAATGTTGTTGAGGGGATGGTCAGGAACTTGGGAAGCTTCCGGTTGTTTGGCGGGCGGGCGTTTCACTACAACTGAAGGACCTCGGAGTACTTGAGTAACTTAGTATGGGACTGGCTGCCTAGGCGGTGGGCCCGAGCCGGGGTTGGCTTAGCCTGCCAGGTGGTGCTGACTCAGGGTGGGCCTTTTCTGTCAACCATCAACAGGCATGGAGTATGAAGTATGAAGTATGAAGTATGAAGTATGAAGTATGAATCACGATAAACCATGTCACTTTCATGCAACACGGTATGTCTCATGCAATGGCAAGGAACTGCTGACAGCTGCATGATCATGATCACCCTCATATGGCTTGCAATGGCAATCTCAGGCCAAACAAGCTGAACCGACGTGCCTCGCCATGAGCAGGAAAAGATGATGGTAAAGATCGACATAAACCGCACATGTGATATGTCGTAAAACTCTAGCCGGACACGTCCTCCTGTCAACAGCTATCATTGACTTGGCCGAGACGAACGTGTGCAATGATTGCTATAAATAAGTAGACAGGAGCAAGATCCGGCAATCGATCTGATCTGCATTGTACGGAGACACACAAGGGAGACAGCGTTGAATCAGCGGTCATCGCGAGCCTCACCTTCTTTTCCCACACTGCACCAACTCCTTAGCTAATAAGCAAGAGTCTCTCTTTACTTTCATGAACTGAGCCATCTGATAGTCTAGCCATTTACTTGTTTATCATCCACCATCCATCTGACGTTGCCCGATTGTTGTAATCCGGAAGATCATCGGGCCGATCGGAGTCGCCGTGCCTCCGCATCGCATTTACGTTAACTGGCTTCATTCGTTGGGTTGTCTCTCATCCAGAAAAAGCGGTAATACCGGGTGCAGTGTCGGATGGGGGTTGCTGTGCTATCTACTGGAACACTGAGGCGGGTCAAGTATTCTACACGCAAAAATGGATGCGTTCGCCATCACGGAAGCCATTGTCCCTGAGACTAGTCCTCAGGAGGGCCACGAGGCCGAAAGGGCCACCACCGGCAAGCTTCCCGAGGGCGCAAACAAGTTCCAGCGGGCCATCGCAGCCTGGAGAGGTATGTCGCACCGTCTCCCCATTAAACACAGCCCGAAAAGCGAAGCGCTAATCTCTTTGGCCTCTATCAGGCATCGATCTCGCCAACACCGTCGCCAAGCTAGACAGTACCGCTTCGGATATCGTTGCGCAGCAACGCGACGCCCTCGTGCAGAGGAAGGATCTCGCCCAGAAGACAAAGGACTTCCGGAAATTGGATGATGCCTCGAAATTGGCAGAATACAAGGGTCTCTTGAAAGGTCGGCTGCGTTGACACTGCGGATCTCCATTGCGTCACGGCTAACATACTGTATAGCTTATCAAAGCTTTATCGATCTCTTGACAAATCAGGGGAAAGCCTCATCGTCCGCGTTCCTACAGTTGTACTCGTCTCTCTCCGAAGCACCCGACCCGTACCCCCTTCTCGAAGCCTCCGTCGACTCTCTGGTTCATTCCGAGGAAACCGTCCCCAAATTGACCTCCGAGCGGGACCAACTACAGGGGTCCGTCGATCGCCTAACATCGCAGCTCGAGGATACTGAAAAGCGCCTGGAGGAGGAGCGGACAGCTCGGAGAAAACTAGAGGAGGGCCAAGAAACGAAGATCAAAGAGGTCGAGGAGTCCTGGTCAGCGGTGTTGTCGGAGAAGACCAACAACTGGACTGCCAAGGAGAAAAGCTTGGAGGAGAAGGTGGAGCATCAGGAGCGCTTGGTCAAGGAACTCAAAGCGAGCTACGAGGTATCACAGCGACTGGGACAAGATGGCGATGAGGGCGAAGGCGTCCAGCATGGTGCTAGTGCCGCTGAGTTGGAGCTGGTTTCCGCGGAGTTAGAGAAGACAAGCTTGCGCCTAGCAGAGGTAGAGGCACGAAACGAACAACTCAGGCTCGAGCTGGCTCAGGCCGTCTCTCATTCTCAGGCCGAACAAGCTGCCTCGGTGGAGGATGACCCTGCATACCTGCGTCTGCAATCCGAGAATTCTTCTCTCCTACGCAAATTGGATGCGGCCCGGTTTGACAGGGAGTCCGAGAGACATTCCTGGGAATCGAAGTACTCCCAAGCCGAGAGACAGATCAAGAGTGCCACTGCTGAGAAGGAAGAACTGCGCTCGAGATTGGAAAAGGTGGCCGACTACGAAGATATTCGTCGGGAATTGGAGATGATCAAGGTAAGCATCATACACCAAATCCAAGGAGGGTGATTGCCACTGACGTTGGACAAGTCTATCGAATTCTCGCCGGGGGATGATGACGAAGCTGGAGATTCTGCGGACTCCACGAGCCCTACCAACGGCACAGCAACCAAGGCAAAGGAGGGTTCCAAAAATAGCCTAGAGCAACTGTTGCTCGCTAGGAACAAGAAACTGACTGACGAGCTCACCATCTTGCGTGTCTCACACCGGGACCTCCAGGGTCAGCTCGAGGCCCTGCGGGCCGATCTTTCGACAACCAAAGAGGAGCTCGAAAAGTCCCAGAAACTGTCCACGACACTGGAGAACGACCTTCTTCGTGTTCAAGAGGAAGCCGCAAATGCGTTCCCATCATCAGCTATGTCCGTTGCCGGAACTTATACGTCTAAATACCCCCACTCATCCCGGAGAGGAGGGGCGGTGTCACCTACATCTTCTATCATTTCAGGCTTCGATCAGTCCGCTGCATCTGCCAACACTATGGACTCCATCCGGGCAGGCGAGGCCGTTGGCGGAGGCGCTGGTCTCTTGCCCATGATCCAAGCGCAGCGTGATCGCTTCAAGAAGAAGAATGCCGAGCTAGAGGAAGAGCTATCCAAGCTGTACGGCACGGTAAAGTCCCTGAGACAGGAAGTTGCTTCTCTGCAAAAGGACAACCTCAGCCTCTATGAGAAGACCCGCTACGTGTCGACATACAACCGCGGCCCGGGTGGATCGTCATCCGCATCTGCGTACGCGAACAAGCCGAACACTTCCTCCGTCCACAGTGCAGACACTCCGTCGGGACTCTCTCTCGACCGCTATCAATCCGCCTACGAAGCCCAGATCTCACCCTTTGCAGCCTTCCGTGGCCGCGAGTCTGCGCGGGCATACAAGCGCATGTCTTTGCCCGAGCGGATTGTGTTCTCGTTGACGCGCATCATCCTCGCCAACCGGACCAGCCGCAATCTCTTCGCTGGATACTGCGTGGCTCTACATGTCTTGATCTTTGTCATGCTGTACATGATGAGCTCCATGGAGATCGAGAAACATAGCGCCGCAAGTCTAGGTGCCGCCGCTGCGGCAGCAATGGCCGGCGGAGGCAGTGGGGGAGGCGGAAGCGGCGCCGGGGGGGGCAGTTACGCAGGCCAACAGTTACATGGGGATGATTGGCAACAAGAGGGCTTCAGCCAAGCCGGCGTCAATTGAGACCTGGCACGTGCGGTCTTGCCACATACGTTTCTGTATTCTATCGAGGGCGTTGTTGGGTCCAGGTCACGGTCATGAATTGGATTTTTCTTTTGTTTGATGTGAATACGCAAGGCCTACATACAGTGTTGATATCATTATCGCTTCATGCTGGTCGGTCTCAACCCTCCGAATAATGCCCGTCGGTCCGGAAGTCCGTCGGTAAACGTAGACGACTAGAGTAGCGCGTGTTTCTTTTTATATCACGCCTGCTCCACTAGTAAGAGTAGACTAGATACTGCCAGCCGGATTATCTGTGATATAGAGTGTAAGCGTGCGAATGACATGTGATACCTTTGTTGCGCGATTTGATGAGAACCCTGAGAGTGGTATAAATGCATTTCAGGAGTGCAAATCTGATATTGTATACTGTGCACTGTTTACACCTCCACGCGGCAGGAAATGGTGACATCAATGGCCAGCATCAGCATACTCTCCTTACCAGATAATGGCATTGGCAAACCTCACGATGAAGTCGACATGAATCAACAAGTCAATTCACACCCCTGCGACAACAGTAGGAATATGACCACAGGTTAGGCAGTGGGTGAGCTAGCGTTCCTTCCACTCGAAGATGTGACGAACATGATTACTGCATGGGTGGATGCATGGACAATGACCGCAGATGAACCACCTCCCAAGAGCCAGTGCAACCCACAAGAAAACGATGTACAACCACGCTGCACGGGGCGAAAAGGGACCACCGGCATGTGAATGGCCAAAAATAGGTAGGTCGATCAGCAGGTTCCTGTCTGTCTTCCTGTTCTGTTCAGTCACCTTCGACTATTTCCCTCTGCACTCTAGAGGTACAGTAGCTACCGGATACCATATCATAATGAAGGGCCATTGAAACATCTCTCGAAGCGTAAGGTCACATCGCCCCAATTCTTGATTATACACCACGAACAGGAGAGGTATCACACACACCCTCAGAGCCACAGGATCATGCAACCTGTTAGATAGCCATGGCTCATCCACTAGCTCGAGCAGTGACAAGTCATGGCCCCTCCCCCGGCTCGAATGACCGCAAGTGACTTCACGATCCAAGCCAGAAAAAAAGCGGAGCAGAGTCGTGATAAACTCAATTCCACCGAGTCAAGCGAGATAAAGAAGGTGGGCCACCTGCGATCAGACCTATCCCCAAGTCTCGTGCTGGCTTTGCAATGAAGCCCCGCGGAGGTCCGACTACTATATGGCTCCGAGACGGATTGAAGGACCCCTCTTGGGGACTAGGCGCCCAGAGAATGTCGGAGGGGGAGACTCAGGGCCTTGTCAGGTGGGCAACGTTGAGACTCTGAATGACGCAGACGGATGAATGAATGTCTTTCATCATCTCATTGTGTGTCAGGCATCTACATATTTGAGTGAGCTTGCCAGATGAAAGGATGTTGATACCAGAATCAAGTGTTCCAGGGTTCTCCAATCCCTCTGATAAGGAGTCTGGCGCTGTTTTGCGAACGGCGAGACCCCTGGAAGACACTTCAGAGGTGGTACTGTAGCATAGTGGCGAGATGATTGTGGATAGGGATTTGGATGCTTCCTCCCCCTGCTCTATCTTGCAGATGGCGTCGGTGATGGTTCTATTTTTAATTCGAACTTCTTCATTTCCCCTTGACCGGATCGAGCAACACGTCCATGAGATTTTCAACAAGCAATGGACTGTAACATTGATGGATGCTCAATCATCACAGCCCAAGTAGGAGACTACTTCTAATTCTCAGGTGTGCCTACCTATGCTGCCGCTCGACCGGACCAGTTGTTCTTCCTGTGGAGTCAAGCTTGCCTAGTACACGACTCATGTCATGAGCATGATTCAAGCCCGAATACTCATGATATCCTGTACAGATCAAGATGTGACAATGGCGAGCGCAATTAGGGCACGCATCGTTATCAACCGCGGCTGAGTGATATAGTACCCGCATGCTATAGATAAGTTAGGGCAGCGCTCAGGACTCCTTCCTGACTGCCACTTGGGTAGCATTGGCACATCCAAAAATAACTAAAGCCGAAGCGAACGGATCAAGAATAGAACCACCCCGTAAATTACAGTGCCGTTGCCGTCTTCACCGACGATTTAGAGATTGACTGGGGGGGGGGGGGGCTGCTAGTCGGGCCAGTGGTGGAATCTGGCGGGAGTCTGCAGGCTAACCCGCATGGGTAAGATTCTAGTAGAAGCGCTCTGCTTTTAAGCGCCGACCCCTCCTTCGGTGAGATATTAGTCTTCCAGCCTGCATATCCCATCTATCCATCCCTCCTATTCTTAGCTGTCGATAGATTAAAGCGGAATATTTTGAGAGGCTGGCGCCAATCACCATCGTCCGGCCAAACAAGCCTGCAGGCTCCCGATCTGCAGATATTCCAATCATGGTGGACGACGACCACCTGGCATTCTGCAGCGCAGACGCTGGGTGAAACGGCCGCGTTTCGTGTGGTGACCTTTTATGCTGCTGCTGGCACTACGTACCGAGAAGTCTTCAATGGCTTTTTTTGCGGAGGGCCTGAAGGATCTCCCCCCGGCGCATCCATGGGCCAATGATCGAACGCGATATCAGCTCCTCCCCACGGGCGGCTTGAGGATCCCTGTGAGTCGAAGGCTGTTTATAGCATACAGCAATTGTGGGTTTCGAAAAGCCGGTTCAATGCTTCGACTTCCTGCACATGCTGTCTAGCGCCGTGTCCGAGCATACATCATGTCTTGCAGTATATATCCCGTCGTGGCCATGCGGCCTTGTTGCCTGCCTCCTTCTCTGCAACCGTTGTGATTTTCCATTATACCCACTCCGCTCTGTCCTTTGAACTTGCGAGTCCGTCTGGGACGTTGCTCGTGAGCATAATTTCATTAATCTGTCTACCACATAGATTGTGCCGGTCCGTCAATACCGTTGACGTTTCTTGCTATTCCTCATCTCAGTCACATCGATACCCATTCACATCAGAACATAGAAAGTGCCTGGCATACCAATCAAGATGCGGCCCAGTCTTTGTTTCCTCGCATGCTTCGCAGCAGGCGCTCTTGCAGCTCCCACATGGCTGGACGATATATACGACTTTTCTGAAGAGATGGCCTCATTTCTCGGGGAGGTGAGCAAGGAGATCGAGAAGGTTGCTATTAGCGCAACGACCTGTGACACATCCAAGATCTCGCTACCATCGTACGCATCGAACCTCCCATCTCCCTCTGGATTGACGCCAATCTACGTGGCCGTCGGACGTGGCACCCAGGTTAGTATCCGATCATTACCCAGCCGATTGCGACAACAGTCCCCCCAAGCTGACAGCCTCCATAGAACTATACCTGTGCGACCTCCTCTTCGAATTCCACGCCCGTGGCCATCGGCGCCGTGGCACGCCTTTACAATGCAACCTGCATTGCAGCCAATTACCCGACCCTGCTGGAGCAGCTGCCGGACCTGGCGTACAAGATCTCCTTGCCCAGCGTGGAGGAGGACGCCCTCCCTCCGGCGGAACTGGACCTTCTGGGCCACCACTACTTCGAAGGTACCTCAACTCCAGTCTTCAACCTCGACACCACGGCCACCCAGCAGAACGGCATCGCCATCACCAAGAAACAAAGCTCCGTTGACGCCCCCTCCGATGCTGTCAAGGGCAGCACCGGGGCCGTCCCGTGGCTCTATCTCACCTCGATCGACGGGACCGTCGGAGACTACAAGAGTGTCTATCGGGTGACGACCGTCTCGGGCGCTGCGCCGGACACGTGCAAGAACATGCAGTCGACTTTCACGGTTCAATATGCGGCGCTGTATTACTTCTATGGCGAGTCGTGATGTTCTGATGATGGGGGTGTTGTTTGATGCCGTTGGAGATGTAAATAGTCCAATTTTGAACAAGATGATCAACAGTAACGAGTACAACCTGATGGCCACAAATGAACTTCTGAAACGTAAATGTCCCGGCCGAAACTTGTTAACAGTGTTTCTGTAAGCGCCGGGAATACTTAGTAGCTTACCTACTGCAGCCGTACTACGTAACGTTGATGGACGGACAGCGAGGGCAACCTCCGATTGGCAGGGCTGTCACGATCAGGTGATCTCGCTATTCTGTTGGGTCACGTGCTAAGAGTGCCCACAGCAAGCAGTGAGGCGCTAGACCCGAACCGCCATAGCGCTTCCTGATTTTCGAAAGATTCTCTGGGCTCCGTCTGAAAAATCTCGACCGCAACAACGACGAGCAGCACGGCCGCGACCGAACACTGAACGCCAGTGCGGAGACGATTTTTGAACAAAAAGTCTTTGATATAAGCTCCTCGACACCTCGCCCTATTCCGAATTTTTTTTTCTCTCATCCTTCCCGAACGGATATCACTGTCTCTCGATACCTACGGAAGTTTTCAACCGCAAACTCGAGCATCAGCCAAATTTTTTTCCGGCTGATAGCATTTGATCTTTTCATCTCCGTCAACACTTTTCGACACATACAACTTACACAATGGGTTTCGGTGCCCCTAGAGGAGGACGCGGTGGTGGTCGTGGTGGCCCTCGTGGCGGTGGTGGTGGTGGTCGCGGTGGCAGAGGTTTGTTCACGACAACTCCAACCTGGGACTGAGCAGTCTTTTTCTCTCTCTCTCTCTCTCTCTCTCTGTGTGTGTGTGTGCCAGCACGATTGCGATACACAGCGATTCCATGTTCTGCATCTTCAGACCTGATCTCGTGTGCTTTGCTCTCGAAAGCGGACATACTCGACACTGACCTGCGGTGTCCTTCTTGGGGATAGTGATGCTAATTCGTTCTGTTCGCGGTCTCTAGGCGGTCTCGGTAGCGGTGGCCGTGGTCGTGGTGGTCCCCGTGGTGGTGGCCGTGGCGGCCGTGGCGCTCCCCGTGGTCGCGGTGGTCCCCGTGGTGGTGGCCGCGGTGGTGCTAGCGGTGCCAGAGGTGGTGCCAAGGTCATCATCGTAAGTGTTTCCCTTGCTCTCACGGCGGAACGAATCTGTCAACTGACACCCTCTGCGTAGGAGCCCCACCGTCACGCCGGTGTCTTCGTTGCTCGTGGTGGTAAGGAAGATTTGCTCGTCACCAAGAACCTTACTCCCGGAGAGGCTGTCTACGGTGAGAAGCGCATTGCCGTCGAGTCTCCCGCCGAGCAGGATGGTGCTGTGACCAAGACCGAGTACCGTGTCTGGAACCCCTTCCGTTCCAAGTTGGCTGCCGGTATCCTGGGTGGTCTCGATGACATCTACATGCGCCCTGGCTCCAAGGTCCTGTATCTCGGTTCCGCCAGCGGTACCTCCGTCTCCCACGTTGCCGATATCGTCGGCCCTACCGGTAACGTCTACGCTGTTGAGTTCTCTCACCGTTCCGGCCGTGACCTGATCGGCATGGCCACCCACCGCACCAACGTCATCCCCATTGTCGAGGACGCCAGACACCCTCTCCGCTACCGCATGCTCGTTCCCATGGTCGACGTCATCTTCGCCGATGTTGCCCAGCCCGACCAGGCCCGTATCGTCGGCCTGAACGCCCACATGTTCCTCAAGAACGAGGGTGGTGTCATCGTCTCCGTCAAGGCCAACTGTATCGACAGTACCGCCAAGCCCGAGGTTGTGTTCGCCCGCGAAGTCCAGAAGATGAGAGAGGAGAGAATCAAGCCCAAGGAGCAGCTGACCTTGGAGCCCTTCGAACGTGACCACTGTATAGTGTCTGGTATCTACAAGCGCTCTGCATGAATTTAAAGAACAAAAGAATCTGGTGGTCTGCTTTCTCATGTTTTAATTATTTATGCTCTTTACAACTGGCGTCGAGTGTTCCGTGATATGCTGAAATGCTTCAACTTTTTTTTTCTCTATATTGGTCGCTCTATCAAATCGTGTCCTTGCTTAGGTTTCCCTAAATGTACTTCTTAAGACAGAAATTCGAGGGTTACGATATCTGGTTGGTCTAAATGTATGCTCTAGCTTGTTGACTGCTTCATTGATGAGTGTAACCCCTGCCTCAGGTGGATGTAGATATCTAGATCTGTGGCGATATGTTGCGGAGAACGCAACATATGATAGCACTGCGTATGCGTGGACCAAGTTCGATAACTCGGACTTTCGCCGGTTGTCCGGTCGTAGCCTAGCTCGGCAGTCGGATTATGTGCCGATGGAGTGAATGACCAGCCACCGGATTCGGACTTGCTGCGTTCAACTCAAATCAACAGGCTCTGGTCAATCAGGTTGTGGTGATTGATGGAAACGCAGGATGGTCGATCCGAGGGCGTGGAGCCGTGGGATGTGCTACTTGTTGGCATCCTCTCCGCTCGAACCCCGCAGCGTGCTGGTATATAGACTTTACCACCTGGCATCACTCCTCACCACCTTAAGCAGCTACCTGACACCACCTACACTACAATCTCACCTTTAAAACCCGCCTCGCGACAGAGAGACATTCCAAAACTACAGCATGTCAATCATCATCACCGGCGCAAGCGGCTACGTGGGCCAGGAACTGGCCGCGGCGCTGCTAACCACCTACCCGGAGATCACGGTGACGCTGACGGACGTGGTCACGCCGACGGTCCCCGCGACCGCCGCGCAGCACGCCGCGCGAACCCGCTGCCTCGAAGCCGACCTAACCTCGCCCGCGGTGGTCGACGAGCTCTTCCCCGCGGCGCAGCCCTACGAGACGGTCTACCTCCTGCACGGGATCATGTCCAGCGGGTCGGAGGCCAACTTCGAGCTGGGGATGCAGGTCAACCTGGACGCGACGCGGCGGATCCTGGACCGGCTGCGCACCGCGACCCCCGGGGTGAAGGTGGTGTTCACCTCCAGCCTGGCGGTGTACGGGCCCGCGCCGACGACGGGGTTCGTGATCGACGAGACCAACTTCCCGCCGGTGCCGTCGTCCTCGTACGGCTCGCAGAAGCTCATCGTCGAGACGCTGCTGAACGACTACTCGCGCCGCGGCTTCCTGGACGGCCGCGCCGTTCGCCTGCCCACCGTCACCGTGCGCGCCGGCAAACCCACCCAGGCCGCCAGCAGCTTCGCCAGCGACATCATCCGCGAGCCCTTCCACGGGCGCAGGGCGGTTCTGCCAGTCCCGAAGGACACGCAGATGTGGATCTGCTCGCCGCAGACGGTGGTCAGGAATCTCGTGCATGCGCGCGAGGTGCCCGCCGAGGCGTTTGGAGATTCCCGCGCGGTCAATTTGCCCGGGCTGTTGGTCAGCATTCAGGAGATGTTGGATGCGTTGGAGGAGGTGGGCGGGCCGGAGCGTAGAGCGTTGGTCGAGGAGAAGTATGATCCGGACGTGGATCGCATCGTGCAGACGTGGACGCCGAATTTCAATACGGCCCGGGCGCTGAGGTTGGGGTTTGTGGAGGATGTGTCTATGATGGACAATATTCGGCAGTATGCGAGTCGGTTTGTGTGAGGGGGTGAGATAATGTATTGGAAATGTGGTGGTGGTGGTGGTGGTGGTGGTAGTTAAAGCTGTTGCTGTTTTGTAGTATGATGTATGTTGTACTGTACAGTGAAATGAATGAATGAATGGCCGAGTGCTGCTGCTAAGGAAACAGTCGGGATCGAAAGCGGTGGTTTGGAAAAGCGGGTCATGTGATTGGCTGGCGGATGGGCGAACAATTTGACTCCCGAACTTCAACCTCGCCATCTCCAGGCGCTGACCGTCTTGTTACACCCTTCCTTCATTCTCCCTCTTTCCCCCCCTCCCCCTCCCTCCAATTCACCTACCTCATCTATTACACAATGGCCTCTAGGCGCCTAGCGTTCAACCTCAACCAGGCTCTCCGGAGCCGGGCTGCCCTGAAGGCTGTCCAGCCCGTCAAGCGTGGCTTCGCTTCTCCCGTTACCCTGCCTTCCTCCACCCAGACCACCACCCTCTCCAACGGTTTCACGGTATGCGCTGTCGTCTATCCGGTCTCAATTGCTTCTGACACTCGCTAACGGGACCTAGATTGCCACTGAGCACTCCCCCTATGCTCAGACCTCCACTGTTGGCGTCTGGATCGATGCCGGTAGCCGGGCAGAGACTGACAAGACCAACGGCACTGCGCACTTCCTGGAGCACCTTGCTTTCAAGGTATGGCTCCCAGAACCGTCTCAATCTAGATGCGGTAGCTAACACTCTGATATCATCACAGGGCACCAACAAGCGTTCCCAGCACCAATTGGAGCTCGAGATCGAGAACATGGGCGCTCACCTGAACGCCTACACCTCGGTACGGACCGGAAGGAAAAGTCTACTTGAGAATCGCGACTAACGCCCGATTGCAGCGCGAGAACACCGTCTACTACGCCAAGTCCTTCAACAACGATGTCCCCAAGGCCGTCGACATCCTCGCCGATATCCTCCAGAACTCCAAGTTGGAGCCCGGTGCCATTGAGCGCGAGCGCGACGTCATCCTCCGTGAGCAGGAGGAGGTTGACAAGCAGCTCGAGGAGGTCGTTTTCGACCACCTCCACGCCACTGCCTTCCAGCAACAGCCCCTCGGCCGCACCATCCTCGGCCCCAAGGAGAACATCCAGACCATCTCCCGTGACAACCTGGTCGACTACATCAAGACCAACTACACTGCCGACCGCATGGTCCTCGTCGGTGCCGGTGGCATCCCCCACGAGCAGCTCGTGAGACTCGCTGAGGAGCACTTCGGTGCCCTGCCCAGCAAGCCCCCTACCTCTGCTGCCCTGGCCCTCACCGCCGAGCAGAAGCGTACCCCCGAGTTCATCGGCTCCGAGGTCAGAGTCCGTGATGACACCCTCCCCACCGCTCACATCGCCCTTGCCGTCGAGGGTGTCAGCTGGAAGGACGATGACTACTTCACCGCCCTGGTTGCCCAGGCCATCGTGGGTAACTGGGACCGTGCCATGGGCAACTCCCCCTACCTTGGCAGCAAGCTCAGCTCCCTGGTTGAGCACCACGGCCTCGCCAACAGCTTCATGAGCTTCTCCACCAGCTACAGCGACACTGGGTGAGTTTTGTCTCTGTTTGGTGTCGATGACGCGTACTGACCGACATTTGCTACTAGTCTCTGGGGTATCTACCTCGTCTCCGAGAACCTGACCAACCTCGATGACCTGTGCCACTTCGCTCTCCGCGAGTGGTCTCGCCTGTCCTTCAGCGTCACGCCCGCCGAGGTTGAGCGTGCCAAGGCCCAGCTCAAGGCCTCGATCCTCCTCTCCCTCGACGGCACCACCGCCGTTGCCGAAGACATTGGTCGCCAGATCATCACGACCGGCCGCCGCCTCAGCCCCGAGGACGTCGAGCGCACGATCGGCCAGATCACCGAGAAGCATGTGATGGACTTCGCCCAGCGCAAGCTGTGGGATCAGGACATCGCCATGAGCGCCGTCGGCAGCATCGAGGGTATCCTCGACTACCAGCGTCTCCGCTCGGACATGAGCCGCAACGCTGCTTAGATGTGCTGCGCTCGGTGTAGGTGAGGGTGTCTGTTGCGTTGTCCGCCAGGAATTATGGCAAGTGTTTCTAGTTTTGGTGATTTTTAATAGATAGAAGCGGTGGTCGTGCCGAGGAAGCGTGTCTTGTACAGTACACAACTGTCGCTATATCAAAATGTATTGTTTGTTAAGTTCAGCCTTCACCCTAGGTATTGTATGAGTAAAGGGTGGCAAGCACTCTCAACCTCCAAAGCCTTGGATCGAAACACCCATACAACAATTTGTCCCACCGCAGCCACAATAAAGAAAGGTAAGATAACCCAACCCCAACGCTTCCAAAGCCATCAAAGCCATCAAAACCAAAACCCATCCCACCCCGCCCCCAGCCAATCAAATTAAGTACAAGAAATAGTTAACATAAAATAAAACCATCAGCTCAACCCCCTACAGCAACCACTGGCAGACACAAAATCATTTATACTCCATCCCCGCAGGAGCCTGATACCCGCCCTTCTCCAGCAGGCCGGCGCGGCTCTCGGCCTCCTTCTCGTTCTGCATCAGCGTGCAGCACGGGCAGCAGAACGACTTGAAGCAGTCGCCGCACCCGGACCCCTCGAGCTGGAACTTCTCGCGCAGCTTGCCCCGCTTCATCATCAGCGGGATGAAGCCCAGTCCGCAGTAGCCGACTAGGCAGTAGAGGCAGCACTGGTTTCAGCATTAGCTTGGCTGGGGAGCCGGGGTAGGGGGGTTGAGGTATTGGGGATTGGGAAGGTCGGATGTGGGCGCTGCTGCATACATCACCATTCATCGAGCCATGTTCCTTCAGGGCTGGGTCCTTGAGTCGCGAGGCGGTGCGGCCGAAGAGGCAGCAGGGGCACCAGAAGGCGAGGCAGCCTGCGTTTTTGTTTCTTCTTGTTAGGTTTTGGATGTGGATGTGGATGTGGATGTTGGATGGGCGTACAGATCTTGCATGGGGAGCAACAGTCCCAGAAGCCGTTGGTCCATTCTTGGCCTTCGCCCATTGTGGATTTCTTTTTTTTTGGAGGGGGAGGGGAGGGGACTTGGTTGGATGGAGGTGAGGTTAATGGTAGGGATTGTATTTGGGCAGTGTGAACGACGGGGACTGGGTGTTGAACGAGTGGAGGGATGAGTGGACGGTATGGGTTTAGGTCAGGTATGAACGAGAGGATACAGTCTCGAGGACTAGGCTGAGAGTCGAGCTTTTGAGGGTTGCAACGCTGAGGGCTGGGGGCATGGGCGTGGCATGGCCTCTTTAAATAAGACAAGACATGCCATGGGGCCGAGTACGAGGTTGTCTACGGTATTCACTGCACAAGACACTAACTACGGAGTATCAGGAAGGAGGCTTGGTTTTTTTTTTTTTTTTTTTTTTTTTCCTCTGATGTGTGCTGTGGTGCTCGTGTCGGAAGTCTACAGTACTCGTAAAAAAGGGACATATACACATGGGAATCAGCCTCAGATCCACATGGGTTGGGGACGCTATACATCCATTGTAGTCTATGGTAGGTACACTCTAAGCCTTGCGTGGCACAGACAGATAGAGAGAGATGTTTTGGCCCTAGAATTGCACGGGTGCTGCGGTTGGGGGCCAACACCAAGGATGCCACTTCAAACATGAGCAAGCAGGTACTGTATGTACATCACCTATCAGGGGTTGTTTGCTGTGCTTAAGTCTCTACAAAATAACGTTGCTCAATTGCTTTCCTCATGGTTAGTAGCGTACAAAAAGAGTTTCGATCATAAACCATCACGAGGAGAAAGAAGATCATCACCGAAAACTTCACATCTAAAATGAGGTAGGGCGTCTTGGCTGGCTGTGTAGTCAAGCCCGTGGAGATCGCTCACTTCAGCCCCCCCCTCCCTCCCCGGGTTCAGCCCCGTTTGAGCTTGGGTTTGAGACAATGGCTAGAGCTTCCTAGATGCATTGCATTGGATCGGACTCAGGTGCGAGGTACAGTACTTATTTCCTGTGTTCATTTCCCCCTTGTCAGAAGGATAGACTACCCCTTTTGCTGACTGCTGACTGCTGACTGCATCGGGATTCTGGTCTAGTCTATGCCCTAGGGTGTCTGCTTGCCAACCCAAGCTTTTTTTTTTTCTCTTCCGCTAGGACAAACCCACTCTCGAAAGCTCAGCCATAGCCACTTTTATGACAGGGATCTCAGGCTCAGTGTTGTGTCGTTGTGAGGTCTTTGTGTTTCAGCTCGTCTGTTCTCCTTTGAGCTCAAAGTAATCCCTGTTGGCGTTGAGGTGCTTCTTGTCTACGATGGTAGGAAGGCGGGCTGTAGGGGGTAGTCAAGAATCGCCAAGGATATATTAACTCAAGACTTCGGATCCCGTTCGCTAACAGGAACATAGCTGATTGGTGGTAGACCGTGCGAGGCTCTTTTACGTTCGGGCAATGGCCTGCTGGATGTTCAAAGATCGTAATCCCTCCAACATGCATGTGTTCCCAGCCGTGACGAGAAAAGCACCTACAAGCACCAAGAACGACGGTACTTTCAGTATCCAGTGGCTGGTTGCATAACCACCATCCTGAACGAGCCTGCATGGTGCAACGGCTCAGAACCTGACTCCCCACGCCCAGCCACGACAAACCCCTCGAGCAACGACGAATGCCCCTGCAGCCGCAAGGAACAACACCCCGGCGAAGATAATGACGCCTCCATAGCTGTGCTGCTCGACCACCCCCGCTAACCCGATCCCCAAGAGCATCCCGATGCTGGCAATGCTGTACGCGATGCCACTTCGGCTCCCATACTCCGTGGCGCTGCATGTCTGGGAGATGCAGACGGGCGACAGGCTCAGCGCGGCACCGGACCAGAATCCGAAACAGACGGCATAGCACACGAGTGCTCCCAGGCTGTCTCCTGCTTTGTACCAGAGGGCGAGGGTTAGAATTGCACAGATGAGAGTCGAGATGATCATCGTGTTGAAGCGGCCGACGCGGTCGGCGGCGAGAGGCGGCAGGAGTCGGCCTGGAATGGTCCCGATATTCAGGAAAACGAGCAACAGGTATGCGATGATGTTGCTCAGTCCCGCATGCACGGTGTACGAGGGGATATAGGTGCCCGGGATGAAGACGGCGCACTCGGTCAGAAAGATAGCAGCGGTCGTGGCGGCGAATCGAGGGTCTTTCAGTGGCTTGAGGGTCAGTTCTCTACAGCTGTCTGTCCTGGTGGGTAGCTGCGTCGTGATCAGGCAACAAGCAATGGAAAGCAAGGTAGCACTGATGAGAGCGATGATGCGAATCGACCACCCGAATCCGATCTTCGGCGCGGTGAAGTAGATGATGAGGGGGAAGATCACGCCTCCGAGTCCGCCGCCGGTGCAGGCTACACCGGTTGCAAAGGCCCGGCGACGTTCGAACCAATGGCTTATGGTTGCCATGGCTGGGGTGGTGAGCGCACTGGCTGATAGTCCACCTAGAAAGCTGAGGGAGAGGAAGATCGAATAGTACTCTGGGTATTGTTAGCTGCTGCTGCTTGCTGACCCGTTCTGTCAACAGCATTACCGTCACTGAAACTGAAGCAGATCAACGACAGTACCATGCCAACTGACCCCGAAAGGACTAAGTAAGTCGGCCCCCAAGCATCAAAGATCAACCCTAGCTCAGCCGGTCAGTTCTCCCGTCTCCGTAGGAAAAGTGCAGATATCTGTACACACCCATCGGCGCTCCCGCAAAATAGACGAAGAACCCATATGCGCTGTAAATCCAGCCATAGCTCGCCGGCTCGTAATGCTGCAGTTGATGCGTGCTGGTCCATAAGTAAATCGCCCCAGCGGTATGCAGTATCCCCCAGGTCGGAACCAAGGCGCACCACGCTCCGAACACGACCAGCCATGCTCTGAAGCCTCCTTCCGGATATCCTGCGCCTGGTTGTCGCTCTATACCAACGGACGAGGCGGACGAGTACTCGATGTGCTCGACGTTCATTACTCAGTGTAGGAGCCCTCAGTATCGTGCTCAATGCAAAATTACAGCCATTGAGAGGGTAGCGTCGAAACCGTCGTCCTCGGTTCTTATATGCCTGTCTGTCACCCACGAGGCGGTGATTCAATGCGTTGGCGATATAGAGTTGACGCAGCGGGATGCAAGGGCTATATGCATCTTTGATGCACAGTGACGACTGGTACAGAGGTTCTCAGAGTACGTGATGTGTTTGCTGTGCTTTTTTATGCTGTAGCATGATTTACTGGACATGGGTGTCAATTCGCCTTGCGCGGAACCGGATTGAGGCCTTACTTGGTGGGTCTGATTCATGGCGATCAGCTGAGTCAACATGCAGGTAATAACTCTCAGTATGTATCGACTTAGTATCTCACCATCAGGCAGCTTGTGTGATAGAGTAGCTGCGGCATCATCATCATCATGTGCGAATCCTTGGTATCTGATATCACATCTGGCGAAGTGTGGTCATGTCTCGATGCGGCCAGTTGTGATGATTTTGGTGGATGATATGATAGATTGCGCTGCTTCACGCGTTCAGCACCCCATCAAATTACAGCTCAAGTTTAGTCTCTTCAAATGCAGAGAAAGTTGACTGTCAATTGGGGAATAAAAGCAATACTGCCCTCTATAGACGACGGCTGTTTTAGGACTAGCTTGGCTGCAATCCAGACCCGTTACATAAGCGCTCATGGCGAGCGGGCGAGCTTTGCTGATAAGATTTCTGCAGCGGAGAAATTGCGGCCAGTCCCAGCCCACTCCAATCTCTCACATCACGACTCGATCATCATGGGTAAACGCGGAAAGAAGGTATGTGTGGCCTTCTGAACCCTTTCCAACCCCTAGAGCACCGCTGCTCTCGGTTGATTCGGCTCTTGTCGTCCCGAATTCATGCTGATCCTCGGTCGCAGGGTGGTGGCAGAGGCGGCGAGCGCAAGAACTGGCAGCAGATTTCCAGGGAGAACGAGAAGTTCGAGAACTACTACAACTCCCAGGCTTTCATCCCGGAGGAGGAGAAGGAGGCTTTCTGGGCTGCTCTCAAGAGGGACCTTCCCAACAGTTTCCGCTTCACTGGCTCTCGAGGGTACGTCATGCGCAAAAACACTAAAAGAGCCTATCGTTCCGTAACAACCCCGCAGATAAAAGCTGCGCGACAGGCTATACTTGGCCCATTGCTGACGTTCATGATCGCACAGCCATGCTCTTGCCGTGCAGAAGAAGCTCAAGGATCAATACGTCCCCGAGATCACGTCCATCAAATATGAGGGCAACTTCGTCGAGCCCCCTCGCCCCGTCCCCTGGTATCCCGACGAGCTCGCATGGTCCATGACCACCCCCAAGCAGGTCGTTCGTCGCTTTGCGCCCTTCGCGTCTTTCCAGAAGTTCCTCGTCGCCGAGACTGAGGTCGGCAACATCAGCAGACAGGAAGTCGTCAGCATGATCCCCCCGCTCCTCATGGATCTCAAGCCTGGAATGACGGTTCTGGACATGTGTGCTGCCCCTGGCAGCAAGTCTGCACAATTGATGGAGATGGTTCACACTGGCGAGGAGGAAGCTATGCGCCAGGTCACGCAGCAGGTTGCTGAGGGTACCGCTGGCGAGGAGCCTATCGGACCCGAGGGCCTCAACGATGATGGCAGAACCACCGGCCTACTCATCGCCAACGACGCCGACTACAAGCGTGCTCACATGCTTATCCACCAGATGAAGCGCTTGAGTTCCCCGAACCTGATTGTCACCAACCACGACGCTACCTTGTTCCCCTCGATCAAGCTGCCCTCCGAGCCCAGCGTCAACGGCAAGCCTGGAAAGGCCCGCTACCTGAAGTTCGACCGTATCCTGGCCGACGTGCCCTGCACTGGTGATGGAACTGCCCGGAAGAACTGGGGTGTCTGGAAGGATTGGAACGCGAACAATGCTCTTGGACTGCACGCCACCCAGGTCCGCATTCTCGTCCGTGCTCTGCAGATGCTGAAGGTCGGCGGTCGGGTCGTCTACTCCACTTGCAGTATGAACCCGATCGAGAACGAGGCTGTCATTGCCAGTGCGCTCAGCCGCTGTGGCTCTGCCAACGTTCGCATCGTGGATTGCAGCAAGGAGCTTCCTGAGCTGAAGCGCGCCCCTGGACTTCGCAACTGGAAGGTCATGGACCGCGAAGGCCGTTTCTACGATAGCTGGAAGGAGGTTGAAGAGCGCAAGGAGAAGGAAGGCATCAGCGGTCTGGGCAGAATCGCTGAAGGCATGTTCCCACCTACCGAGGACCTGCCTCTTGAGAGATGTCTGCGCATCTACCCCCACATGCAGGACACCGGTGGCTTCTTCATCGTCGTCCTGGAGAAGCTGTCTGAGATCCGTGCCAAGCCCGAGGACTCCTCCAAGGTCATCCCTAAGGCCTCTGTCGCTGCCCTTGCTGAGGAGCTTGATTTCAAGCAGAAGCAAGGGAACGGACAGCCCCTGGAGAAGATTGATGCGTTGGATGACCTCGTCGCCCACGACAAGGAGGCTGACCTGGAGGCCCAGAAGAACGCGACCGTTGCTGAGGCTACACATCAGTTGCCTTACTCGGCTACCAGCGAGCCCGTTCCTGTCAAGCGTGATGCGGAAAGCATTGAGGATGAGCTCCCCGCTAAGCGGACTAAGCTTGAGAATGGCGCTGAGGTTATTATCGGCGACCGTCCTATTCACACTCCTGCACAGCCTGCCGTCACTGACATTGAGACTTCTGATGCTACTCCGGCTCCTGCTGAAACCACACAAGCCTCGACCCAGTCAAAGCCTCAGCTCCCGCAGAAGCGCAAGAACGGCCAGCCGGTGGAGGAACCATTCAAGTACTTAGATCCTAACCACGCCGAGCTTGACCCCATCTACGAATTCTACCAGATTTCCAAGCGCTTCCCCCGAGACCGTTTCATGGTCCGCAATGCCGAAGCTCTCCCCACGAGAACCATTTACTACACTAGCGCCCTGGCTCGCGACATCCTTTCCTCAAATGAGGGAGCCGGTATGAAGTTCGTGCACTGCGGTGTCAAGATGTTTGTCAAGCAGGATGTGCAGCGTGAAGGTGTCTGTCGCTGGCGTGTACAGACTGATGGCTTGAGAATGCTCGAGCCTTGGCTTGGCCCTGCTCGGGCCGTCACCCTGACCCAGAAGGAGACCCTACGTAGCCTCCTCGTGGAGATGTTCCCCAAGGTTGACCAGGACGGTTGGAAGAACCTTGGAGAGATTGGCGAGCGTGTCAGAGACATTCCCATGGGATGCAGCATCCTATACATCAGACCTACTCCGGGCCAAGAAGGATTCACGTACGTATACAAACCCTTGCTTTAAATCCACGACAAAGGCTAACACAAGACTAGTGAGAACATGGCCCTCCCCCTTTGGCGTTCCATGTACTCTGTCAACCTGATGCTTCCCAAAGAGGACCGCCGCGCGATGCTCCAGCGTCTGTTCAACGACCACACCCCGCTGGTTAACACCACACACAAGCGCTCTGGCGAGACCGGATCTTCGACCCCTGCGGTTGAGGAGGCTAGCGGAGAAGAGACCCCTGTTGACGCTCCTATGGAGACGGAAGAAGACCTTGAGAAACGTGAGAACCTTGTGTTGGGTGAGGCCGAGCAGGAACAGATGGACGCTCGGGAGACTTATACAAAGGATGGCGACGAGGAGGATCGCTTCAACACGACTGTATAATTTAAAAAATCGATTTAGGCAACATTTACTGGGCGTCGCTTAGCTCTCTGAAAATAATTGAATATTCCTTTGCTTTCCTAAAGTATTTTACAGACGATATTCACATTCATGTTCAGCAAAGAATGAGACACTGAAAAATCTTGGGGTGACGCAAACCGCAAGGTAACCAACCCGATTCCCCCAAGGTTAATCGATGCCTTCCCGAACAGTCAATGATCAGTTCGCAACCTGAAGCACTGCGCGCCCAGCCAATTGACCTTGCTTCATCTTCTCGACCCATGAGTTGAGGTCTTCGAGTCTTCCCTTGACCAAAACAGGCTATTTGCTATTAGCGCGACTGACTCGTGATTCAGATAGTAGTGATGGTGCCTTACGTGAACGACATCTCGTGCTGTGAAATCCAGAGCCTCTTCGACGTCTTTCAGCGTTCCTGTCAGGGTACCAACAATATTCAATCTCCTGAGAGACAACAACATGGGAGGAGCCCCCGCGAGCACGGTGGGATCCGCAGGCAGACCGACAGCCACCAACGTGCCATTCGGACGAAGATATGTGGGCGCTGTCGCATACACTGTCTTCGTTGCAGCTGTCACGATTACTCCATGTGCGCCGTATGTTGTGATCTTCCTGATCTCCGCAGGAATGTCTGTTGTCACTAGGAAGTCAATGAACACCTCCGCCCCAAGCTTATGGCACAACTCTCGTTTATCATCACCGCCATCGATAGCGATGACTCGCATGCCCATCGCCCGTGCATATTGAATCGCCAGATGACCTAGGCCACCGCCAGCTCCGGGGAGTACAATCCACTGGCCAGCTTTGACATTGGCCCTAGTCAAGACACACACATGCTCAGTATAGCTCGACCGCCATCAACAAGAGTAACGGTAACTTACCGCTTGCAGGCAACATAGGCAGTCACTCCACCGCACATGATAGGCCCCGCCTCTTCATCCGAAACCCCGTCGGGGATTTTGGAAGTATACCGGCCATCAGCCACACAGTACTCTTGGAAGGTACCCGGGGTGGTAAACCCGCTGTTGATCTGTCTGAGGCAGTTGACCTCATCCACGCCGCTCAAACAAAACTCGCATTCGCCGCAGGTCTTCGCAATCCACTTGATGCCAGCGCGGTCCCCGATGCTCCAACGGCTCTCCATGCCTTCGCCAACCGCTACAACAACGCCGACACCTTCATGTCCTGCGACCCCCTTGCTCTGGGGCTTCATTGTCACCCCAAACCCAGCCCATTCATCCTGAAGGAGAGACTTATCAGAGCCGCAAAACCCGGTCCACGTAATGCGGACCAAGATCTCGCCTGGTCCGGGGAGATCCACATCGATGGTTTCGATACTGGTGGTGGCCGTGTCGCCTGACCCGCTACGAACAGCAGCGCGCTGTTGCTTGGGAATAGGGTTCATGCGGATAGTCATGGTGTATTTGGGGTAATCCTTGTCACAGATTCACAAGGCCGATGGTTGGGAAAGAAAAGGTTCGGCTCTTACTATGGTCAAGCGAAGGAGGACTTGCTTCTTTATAGCTGCTTCGCCTCCTTCCCACGTGATGGGACGTCAAAGGTACATTTACAGCTGCTGCTAATGAACTCAATTCAAAGCTGACATTGCCGATGATCATGCTCATCGATTCAGGGAGATAAAGATCGGGGCTTCATACAGCTTTAGCATTGGTGGGCGTCATGATCTATCGAACTGACCGCGCGTTAGTCTCTGCATACTAATGCTGGGAGGCACCGTTCAAGCAAGCATATCACCATGGAAAGATCGATTGCCCTCATTGAGGATATTCTTCGGCAAAAGTTTGTGAGTAGGTTCCATGTATCGAAAACATACCGAGGATGCCTAGCAACCCCGCTCCATTGCCACAGGAGGAGGGGGTCTCGCATTCCTGTTCAGGTAGGAGATCAATGCTGCTTCTACTCCCCGTACAGTGATCGCCAATGAGAGAGGTGCCTGACTCAAAATTTAGCCCTCGAGACCGGGGTCTTCGCAGGGATTGATTGGCAAGCAATCCCTGCAGCAACCTCGGACATAGGGAGGTGCTTCCCCGCATCTTCGTGAAAGAACGTCATGCGGTGGACTGGATGTGCCAGCTGATAGAGACCTCATCCACTTTGCCCAATGAAGTTGCAAATAGCCTGGCTAGAGAATGACCATAAGGGCCTGGAGGTAAGCTCAATAGTCGCATCGCGAGCCAACTGGCTGTCTCAAGTTTAGGATCTTGTCAAGTTGCCTTCCTGCAAGACCGACCTCGGCCAATAGAGGTCTTACTGTGGGGCCTAGAGATTGAGTGCAGGCCTCGCGTCAGATTGACTTATTGGTTTGTGACTGGAGTTAGCCACTGCATAAGGTCGAGTTGTTTCCCTTGAGTGCTTACGAGAGTGCGAACTGATGCCTACTATAACTAACTTAGCTGTCATGGCGTTGATGCCATGCGGCCTCAGGCATCCAGGGCGAGGAACTGATCTGGCCGGGCTGACTAATTCTCCGCTGCCCCTCCTGAAAAAAATTGCCCCGCCACGGCGATAAGTTAGGGAGTGGAAGGCAAAGGAACGTTCCCGCCGACGCTGGCTAAAATTTCCATCTCTCTATAAACGTCCTTAGAGTAGAACTCCCCGCTTGCACTTTTTTATTTTGAAGATACCCTTGATTAATTCTCAAACAGCAAACAATCTCACAATGTCTGCAGACGACGAGCAGGTGGCTTTCCAGAAGCCTGGTGACCTCGTGGATCGCAACGAGGAAACCGGAGCGATGACGGTGGAAAGTCTTTGCATGAACTGCGAGCAGAATGTATGTCAATTCATCCACGCCTATCATTGACTCAGTAGACTGATGCGCGACTTTTTCCAGGGACGTACCACTTTCTTACTGATCCGTATCCCCTATTTCCGCGACGTCATTCTCGAGGCTTTCGAATGCGAACACTGCCATTTCAAGAACAACTCGATCAAGTCCGCTTCGCAGATCCAAGAGAAGGGATCTATCTACCATCTCGAGGTCGAGAATGAGACCGACTTGCAGCGCCAGGTGGTCCGCAGTGACGTCTCAGTCTTCAAGCTCGAGTCCCTTGGTATCGAGATGCCCAAGGGCGAGGGCCAGTTGACCACCGTCGAAGGTGTCATCCGCAAGATCTACGACAACCTGTCCAGCGAGCAGGACCTGCGCAAGGAGCAAGCTCCTGAACTTTACAACGCTCTCGTGCCCATCATCGAGAAGCTCGAGAAGATCCTCGAAGGCCAAGGCTTCCCCTTCACTATTTCCCTCGACGACCCCAGTGGTAACTCCTGGATCGCCCCCACTACCCAAGATTCCGGCCACAAGTACCGTCGCCGTGACTACCTGCGCACCCACGAGCAGAACGAGGAGCTCGGTATCAGTGGCGACCCCAATGCTGTGCAGCACCAGGGTACGGGTCAGGAGGAAGACGAGGAGATCGTTGATGGCAAGGAATACTCTATTCCCGCCGAGTGCCCCGCCTGTCTCAAGTCTTGCGAGGTCAATCTTCGCAAGGTCAACATCCCTTACTTCCGCGAGGTCCTTCTCTGGGCCACCGTTTGCGAACACTGTGGATACAAGTCCAGTGACGTGAAGACTGGTGGAGAGGTGCCCGAGAAGGGCAAGCGTATCACCCTCAGCGTCGAGAATGAAGTTGACCTCGCCCGTGACATCCTCAAGAGCGACACTTGCGCCCTTTACAGCGAAGAGCTCGAGGTTCGCGTCGAGCCCGGCACTCTCGGCGGTCGGTTCACTACCGTCGAAGGTCTCCTGACCGAGATCCGTGACCAGCTGCACGGCCAGATCTTCGACTTCGCTGACACCAGCGCTGGTGACAGTATGGCCACTGACGACAAGGCGAAGTGGGAGCGCTTCTTCAAGCGTCTCGACGCCGCCATCGCCGGCGAGCTGAAGTTCGTCATCACCCTGGAGGACCCCATGGCCAGCAGCTACGTCCAGGACCTGTGCGCCCCGGCCAAGGACGAGCAGATCACCACTGAGGATTACATTCGCACGGACGAGGAGGAGGAGGAGCTCGGACTGAAGGACATGAAGACCGAGGGCTACGAGGCTGATGCGGAGCAGAAGGAGGAGCAGGAGGAAAAGCCCGCTGAGCAGCAGTGATGAACGGACTCGATACCCTTAGACTTTTTTTTTTCTCTTTCTTATTGATTAATGATGACATTTGTCTCGGTTTCTTCACGATGCCCATGATACATTCCAGGTGTTGTCTTTTGCCAACGTTGCAAGATATCCGAGAGTGAGCATTGTACGGTGTGGGCTATGTGGCTATGGAGCGCTTTTTTGCTAGTCTTGTTGTGCATATACAAAAGTTTGCGATGAACATAAATGAATGACCATTCTCGATATCAGCTGATTCTCTTGTGTAGTACTTGTAGGAGCAGCAGACTGGAATCTGAAGAAGGCTTGGTAGCGGAGCCTGAGCTGGGGTGATGCGTCGTGATTGGTCACGTTTCTATACTTCAGCTTCTGCCGGTGCTCGAACGACCCGGCCAGACGGCATGGAAAGCCTAAGGATCGCAATGATAGGACTAAGTGTACAGGAAACTAGGAGTATGAACTTGGCACAGATCGTACTATTTTGTAGGGGATGCTTCAGAGTATATGTCCCCCGCTCGTGGCGGTGTTCAATACTTGATGATTGTGCTCCGCATACCTTCGCCTTCCACGTATAACCCCATCCAAAATCTTGGGGCCACTCAAGGCAAGAGGTCCTATGGAGTAATCCCAGGCTGCTGATTATGGTGCGATGTTATCATGTCGAGCCTCATTCCTTAATGTCGTGCTGTATAGTCGAGCTGTGTTCCGCGGGGGGCATGGTGGCTTGCTTGGATGGATGGTATGAGAGAGCTGCCGCTGTTGCTGTCGGCCGTAGAGCGATGACGACCTCGGAGCCTGCAGGGTGACCGGCACAGTCGATCACTTGTTCTCAGCGAACACTGCTGCACGGTGGATGCCAGGTGCCCCAGAGCGACAAAGTCTCGAGGCCCCCAATTCCTCAAAGCTAGTCTCCGACTGGCCGGAGACTCGGACTCGGCCTGAGTTATGCATATGCGTATCCAATCCCATCCCCAACAGTGTTCCTGTCCCCTTTAGCCTTCCAATCCATAGGAACCGGAAAGCCCATTCAAGCAAGCGCATCCCTTTACCTACTAGTATCCCCATACCGCGGCAAATCTTTAAAAAATACCCAAAGTCAAGTAGACACAAAAAGTCTACCCCGCAAAAGGATTAGCATGCACAGTCACCCTCTCAATGCCCACGCGTTCCCAGACCCCCTCCTCCTCCTCCTGGGGGGAAGGCTGCACAATCCTCCCCTTCTTATCCACCTTAATCTTCGCCTTCTCCAACCGCCCCAGAACATCGCCTCCCTCATCCTGCGCCGTCAGATTCAACACCTTCCCGAACACCGTGCTCGCCCCGTCCAGATGCGGCGCCGCCGCCAGCGTGATGAAGAACTGACTCCCGTTGATCGTGGGGCCCGTCGCGCCCTGGGACCCCGGCGCCGTGCGGTCCTTCACGGGCCGCGACGCCATCGACAGGATCCCCCGCGTGTGGTGCTTGAGGGCCGGCAGGTGGATCTCCTGGTTCAGGGCGTAGGGGTGGTGGATCGACGTGCCGCCTTTGGGGATCGGGCCTTCGATGGGAAGCGGCGGCTTTTGGGTGTCGGGGTTGATTGGGTTGCTGGAGAGGGAGATGTCGCCGCCTTGGATCATGAAGCCCGGGATGTAGCGGTGGAATGGGGTGGTGTTGTAGGCGCCGCTGGCGCTGAGGGCGAGGAAATTCTGTTTTTGTGGGGGAGAGGTTAGCGCTGGAAGGGTTCGAGGGGGGTTTTTTTTTTAAAGGGTGAGTGTGGGGTTGAGTGTAGAGGTTGAAGCTGGAGTAGACGCACCTCTGCGGTTTTGGGGACGGCTTCGCAGAAGAGTTCGACCTTTAGGTCGCCGTGGGTGGTGTGTAGCTTGTTACTGTTAGCTGGTTGCGCTGCTGGAATGAGTGTGGTGCGGAAGGAAAGGGTAGCGTACTGTGACAGACATGGTGTGATTGTTGTCTGGAGGTCAGCGGAGAGTGATTGAGAGGACCGTTATGCGGAGGAAAGACAGCTGCAGGTTTCAAGTGAAGGAAGCTCTATCGGAGGTGGTTATCGGCGCCGCGCAAATCCTCCGCCTTCCGCCGGTCACATGACGGCCATGATTGTTGATTCGACGCATCCAGTTTTGTTGTTCCATCCTCAAAACACATCACTTTGGCCAGATCGGAGACCATTGAGCCTGACTGTGAGCTGCTGGTACATACCTCTTGATTCCATATCCCAGGCCAGTCATTGGAAACTCTGCCCGCCCTTTACTAGCACGCCTCTCGACATCCACTTTCCTCATTTCTTGCGACAGACATCATGAACAACAGACCGGTGGAGCAGGCGCTCGCAACCCTCCTGCCCACTCATGCTCAAGACCTGCCACCGGATCTCCTCAGCTTGGCTGTCTCCCTCATCGCGCAGTCGCGCAGCCTGTCCTCGAGCCTGAAGCCTGAAGAAGAAATCGCGCGGCCCTATGCCTGTGCGGAGATCGCCTGTCGGAGGTAGCTAGCTACACTTCCCCATTAAACATCATGTTTAGACTGACCATGATACCTCCAGACTCACCCGCACTCTCAAGCTCCCTCCCCTGCTCGGCCATCCTCCGTGTCCACCCCGACCCTACAAGAAACTCTACGCCTTCCTCGACCGCTCCCTCTCCGGCGGCACCTCCTCCGCCCCAGGCACGCCCTCACGCAGCCGCACCACCCCTTCCTCCACCCCGACGAAAGCAAACCGCCTCACCCAAACCCCATCCAAGAACCCTTCAACAACTGCAACAGCCGCAGCCCTCCAAAACACACCCACCAAATCCAGCCCCCTCAAACGATCCCTCCCGCACGACACTACAAGAACCCCAACCCACACCAGCACTAGCACCAGCACCAGCACCCCGCGCCCCAGACCCCGACCCACGAGCACCCCCAACCGCCCCCGCCTCAATGCCCCGATTCCCACAACCACCAAAATCCCCGACGCCCCGAACTGGGTAATGACCTCGATCCGCACCGTCTGCAAGACCCTCTCCACCCCGGCCCCACGCATGAGCACCTGGTCGCGGCCCCCGATCTCGCGAACCCTTGCCCCGCACATCTTCGCGGGCGTATCCTCGATCCTCTTCTTCGTGACCAAGACCACGACCCCGATGACCCACGCGAAACACGACGAGGACCTCGACGACGAGATGCTCGAGTTCCTGGAGCCCGTGCTCACCGCCGCCCGCAATTCCGATGCCGGTGAGGCAGTAGACGAAGAGTACAAGGAGATCGTGAATGCGCTGGTCGTCGCGGTTTATTTCCTTGTTCTGGCGAGACGGCGTCAGCCTGCTGCTGATGATGACGCCCACGCCGGGGGAGCAGGGGAGGATGCGAAGGTCATGGATAAGAAGACCTTTACGGAGATGCGGCAGACGGCGTTGGTGAGTTTGGGGCTGCCGGCGACGGAGAGGCGGCACCGTGAGGATGTGGATCAGTGGATTGCACTGGTTATGGAGCAGGGGTGGGCGCAGGGCACGGAGTGGTTTGAGAATATCCCCAGGGCTGGGGAGGTGGATGGTGATGCGGAGATTTTGGACGATGAGGGTGAGAATGGGGCTGAGGAGGATGGTGGTGGTGGTGGTGTCGGGGCTCCGCGGCACAAGAAGCAGTGTTTCCAGTTGGGCCGCGAGACGAGGCGCGGGTTGCTGCCTGGGTTGGGGACCATGATGCAGGATCGCGTGGATTGGTTGAGTGAGGATCGCAGGGAGGATTATTCGGTCTGGAAGGCCGAGATTCTGGCGAGATGTGACCAGATCGAAAAGGCTGCTTTGGCTGCGTAGGGGTTTATTCTCCTCGGAGTACGTTGCTTCAGAGGGTGGGTATGTGTATGATTAGCTACGTGAGAAATATGATACCCTTGGTAATGAAGATTTTCAGAAGATGTTGAACTGAGTGGCCCATGAGTCTGCGAATACAACCAGAGCCAACCCACAGCAGACTCCAGAACGCAAGCCATGAGATCAGTGTAGTTTATTGTATCCTGTATAACGTCTATATGCCTCATCCAAGAAGCGACAAAACTCCAGCAAGCACCGGACAACAAAGATGAGAGAAAAAGGTGGGTATAGTGTATCTATGAACAGATTTCGAGCCAAGTCACGCAACAGAAATCAAAACAGGCACCGGTAATCAGTACCAGATACTCCGGGTGCGGTGGTGCGGGATGGATTCTTGCCCCTCCTTCTCCAACTCCTTCATCGTGTCGTAGAGGAAGAAATCGATCAGGATGGCGTTGATACCCCGCGCCGACTTGCCTTGCACGGCGTCGTCGTTCGGGGCTGTTACGGTGAAATAGCCTTGTGGTGGTTGTTTGCCGTTGTGCTCCTCAGATTTCGTGCTTTTCTTGGAGCTGTCGGCGGAGGAAGGTGGCTTCGGCTCGGCCTGTTGGATGGGCTTGGTTTTCGCTTCCGGGTGGCGGCGCTCAATCTCCCGCTTGATGAGCTCCACGCACCAGATGCTGGCGCCGCGGAGTTCGGTTTCCCAGTTCGACCCGCTGGGGATGAGCTTCAGGTCGCGGATGTGGGCTTCCAGTGGCGGTGAGTACATCAGGCATCCGAGCTGGTGGAGCATCTGGGGGATTCGGTAGTCTGAAGTGGCATTAATAGAGCCGGACGGAGGGTGGGTGCTTTATTTCCGTAGGGATCAATCTTACCTGCGAACATGGTGATAGTGTCGATATCGTGGAACTCGCCGAAGCCCTCGCCGTTGAAACAAGCCCACAAGTCCGCGACTAGAATCTGGGCCCGTTTGTAGATCCGTACTCTTCGGCCGTTGAATGTGGTCTCGTCCCGGAAGCAGGCGAAGCTTTCTGTCACGAGGTTCACGAGTGCCGCGGCCGAGTAATTGGCGCTGTAGATGCAGTTCAAGAAGCTGCCTTCGAATTCCTGGAGTAGGAGTATAGCCGGTTAGTCGTGCTGCACCTGAACGATCTCCGTGGTGAGATTTGTACTTACTCTGCATAACACCCGGCCGGCTTCGCGCAGGCACTGCAGCCTTTCCTCAAGCAGCGGAATATCTTCCTCAGTGGCAGACCGAAACACATGCTTGATGACCTCCTCGGTGCATTCCTCCTCGTTGGCCCAGAACTCCGGGGTGGTTATTGGGATATCTGCAACATGGTGAGCATATAAAAAGCAATAACGTTGACCACTGCGGGAACCTACCCTCGTCCAAAGCCCGTTGTAGCGCCGCCACCAAGCTCCAATATCCCGTCCACTTCTTGCCCCGATACTCGATCGCAAAGCGCTTGTCGCTCGGAAGTCCCGACCAGAAGCTGAAGTTGAGAAGGTCCATGGTGAAGATGAAGTCGACGGTGCGCTCGTTCTTGGCTTTGGGGTGTAGCTCGTGCTCGGCCCAGGTCTGCGTGGAGTATTCCTTCTTCTGCATCATCTGCCAGATGGTCTCGGCGGCCTCTTTCGTCTTGACCGAGTTTAAGGCCACGTCGATGGCATTGTCGAAGATGTACTGCGCATTCTGCAGGACCTTGGTCTCAGCCGTGTGTGGATCAGGCGAGCCGCCCAAGCCGAGGGTCTTGCGGAGGAGAGCAACCAACTCGGGATCGGCTTCGTCGTCGGACATGGCGACTGAGTTGCTGGATCGGGTGTTGTGTTGAAGATATCGAGAGGGGGTAACGACGGGATGGCTGGAAGGAGATCTGAAAGGGAATCTGGATGTGACTGCGAGGTGTAGGAGGGCACCAAATTTTTGAGAAGGGACAGTCGAGAAGAACGAATGCCGCGAAGCAAAAGATTGGTTGACAACTGAAGACAGAGGGTGACTCCGCGGAAGACAGGCACCGACAATCGACGGTCTGTGGTTGACCCAAAGAATGTGGTGATCGGGAACTGAGCCGGTCCAAAGAGAGTCACGAAGCACAGCGGTCAGACCCAAAGAGTTCAGAGAACCAAAGGATCTTCCCATGAAATTTCAATGCCTGCTGAGACAAACTCCAACGGTGGACAGGCTGCCCCTGTTGTGGGGATTATTTTTTTTCTCCTGTGATATCCCCATCCCTATCGCTTATCGGTCATTTTAGGGGGGCGATAAGGCACGATTACTAAGCGTCTGCAGGAGCCATCCTTTGTGCCTCGGTTATCTGCGCTGAGAGTGTCAACTGCATAAACTTGTACCCCATGAATAGAGATAACCAAGAGGCAATCAAAGCTACATTCTGGGCTTTTAGAAGAGAAGGTGGCTTCGATTGATCCAACATCAGTTCTCGATTCTGAATAAGTCTTCCTGGATAAGTACATCCACTGGAGTGTTCATACGCACGGGGCACTCATAGGCAGCGAAGGTTGATTCAGCATCAATAGCATGTGCTCGCTGCATCGCTCGTATTTCAGGATTTCCAACACATCTTCAGTCTCGGTCCGATCGACAGAAGCGCCTCAGTAGGCTGTTCTTCGAGTTGGGAGGATAGTGACAAGAGCAAGCTATGCCTCGAGCTGGGCACAGCGCTCACAACATGCTTCCGTAACCGCCTTTATGTCAGCTCTCTCGGACTTGATCTGAAGAAGTTCAACCATGAGGATATCTATCTGTCCTGCAAATCAATTCTAGCCAATTTATACTGAAACATAGTCTCACAGTGACATAGACAAGCATAGACAAGCATTAGTCGTATAGCCGGGGCATCTACTATACCGCGAGCTGACTGGTTCTGTGTCAAACGAGCTCATAGCACGAACCGCACCTGTGTATATCACTTGGTCCAATCGGAACCAAGTCAAACAGGGAACACAGGGGACCATTCGCAGTGGCCCAAACAACTTCTGAAGCCGAGACATGCCTTCGCAGGGTGCGTGTTCTATGCCTCCTACCGCTGCCATCAAAAACATCGAACGAAAGCAGTAGCCAATGGGGTAAATTCAGGAGATGTTCCGGTTTGCATTGCTGCATCAAACGTGTGCAGATGTGAATGACCGAGAAGTGTACCTAGACTGCACTGTACTTCTGAACATCATAGATACTCCGGTGATCCGACCTCATGCGGGATGGGCCTAGATTCGGAAATAGAATGTGAGGTCTCACAATGCAGCCGGGGCCATGCATTGGCTTGACTTTCTGTTAACCCACAGGGTTGATGCTATCAAACGATCAATCCCTGGAGAAGTCAATCAAGAAACAAAAGTACCAAGCAAGCCTCGTGTCGGTACGACAAACAGGGAAATGCGATCGGGTCACGGACCGCCGGCTTTGGTTGCTCGGCCCTCACGGTTCATTGCAATCCATAGATGGCAAAGCACGAGACGGGTTGCTTGAAGAAGTGTTTTCATCTTTCTCTTAGTCTCCTCCTTTCCAAGGCTATCCAAGCGATGGGTGTTGAAAGAAGGAAGCTCGAAGTGGAGTGAAGAGTGGTGGGATGGAAAGGGATTGAGGGACGGGGAGAGTTGCCGTCATTACCTCACCTTCACTTTACACACACTCTCTCTCACTCTCACTTCTCTCCCAACTTCCCTTCCATCTTCACCTGCTTTCGGCTCGACTCTTTCCCTTCACTTCATTCCCCTCCATTCTTTTCCTTTTCAACTTCCCCACCTCTGCCTCACCTCCCTCTCTTTCCTTGTTCTCTCACTCCACTGGTTATCTACCGGGCGATGCTCCTCAATCTTCCATACTGAGAGTAACACCAATTGTCTCGGGCTTCCTCCGTTCGCCGCAACCGCATCCGCAACCATGCCGCGCGACACTTACCACAAGCGCTCGCTGGGCACCCTCGCCAGACGGATTAAAGAGGTACCACATATCGTATCTCGTTCAACTTATGACTTCTTGTTTTGAATTAGCTCCTATCTCTCAACCACAATTGCTAATACAACCCGGGGTGGCTTAGTCGCGTGTACTCCTCGTCGGCGCTGGTGGCATCGGCTGCGAGCTGCTAAAGAACCTCCTCCTCTCCGGCTTTGGTGAAATCCACATCATCGATCTCGACACGATTGACCTGAGCAACCTGAATCGTCAGTTCCTTTTCCGCTTCGAACACATCAAGAAATCCAAAGCACTGGTGCGTCACTTGACACCTTGAATGCCAACTCCCCGCGCGGCCCGGCCGTCGCCAATTCCGCCTTGATCTCCCTTTTAACACATGCCTAACCAACACTGCTGCCGCATCTAGGTCGCCAAGGAGGTCGCACACAAGTTTCAACCGAACGCGAAGCTCGAAGCCTACCATGCAAATATCAAAGATAGTCAATTCAATGTGGACTGGTTTGCCACTTTCGACATTGTCTTCAATGCGCTGGATAACCTTGAGGCTCGTCGTCATGTGAATCGCATGTGTCTGGCGGCGAACGTGCCTTTGATCGAGAGTGGGACTACTGGGTTTAACGGCCAGGTGCAGGTTATCAAGAAGGTGGAGTTACTGTGGTTACCTGCTGTTTGCGCAAACTACTGATGGCCGGTAGGGATTGACTGAGTGCTACGACTGCACTTCGAAAGAGGTTCCCAAGTCGTTTCCTGTGTGTACCATCCGCAGCACCCCCAGCCAGCCGATTCACTGCATCGTCTGGGCGAAGAGCTATCTGTTCCCGTAAGTTACCGCTGTCATGATCGCAAGACATGCTCTCCAGCCAGCCAGCGACTGACATTCCCAAGTGAGTTATTTGGCACCAGCGATGAGGATTCTAGCGAATTTGATTATTCAGAGGATGCCGAAAACTGTGAGGTCTGCCCGTATTTTGCTCTGAACTCGTCTAACCTGTCGCCAGCTGCGGAAATCGAAAACCTTCGCAAGGAAGCACAGGCTCTCAAGGAGATCCGCCAATCGATGGGATCTGATGAGTTCGCCAAGAAGGTCTTCGACAAGGTCTTCAGTGAGGATATTGAGCGGCTGCGTGGGATGGAAGATATGTGGAAAACCCGCAGCCCTCCGGAATCTCTGAATTTCGAGAAATTGACCGAGGAGTCGGCCGACGTGGCGATTACGATATCATGCAATGACCAGAAGGTTTGGTCTACAGCCGAAGATTTTGTGGTCTTCAAGGACAGCTTGGATCGGTTAAGCAAACGCCTAAAGACATTGCAAGAGACCACGAATAGCGACGTCAAGCCAATCCTTGTGTTTGATAAAGACGACGTCGATACTTTGGACTTCGTGACAGCCGCGGCTAATCTTCGAGCGACGATCTTCAAGATCGATCCCAAGTCCAAGTTCGACACCAAGCAAATGGCCGGAAACATTATCCCCGCGATCGCCACAACCAACGCCATGACTGCTGGATTGTGTGTGCTGGAAGCCTTCAAGGTGATGAAAGGAGATTACAACCAAACAAAGATGGTCTTCCTCGAGCGCTCGGGTGCACGCGCAATCAACTCTGATTCTCTTCAACCCCCCAATCCGAATTGCCCGGTCTGCTCTTCCGCGCATGCCCGGCTCAAGATCGACCCCGAGCGAGCGACTGTCAACGATCTAGTCGAACAGGTTCTTCGGTTGCAGCTGGGATACGGCGAGGAGTTTTCCCTGACCACGGAATCGGGCATCATCTACGACCCCGAGCTGGAGGACAACTTGCCGAAGAAATTGTTAGATTTGGGCGTGAAGAACGAGAGCTTCATCACCGTCATCGATGACGAAGATGAGCCGCGCGTCAACCTCCAGCTCTTTGTGCTAGCAGCCGAGCCTTCCGAACAGAATGGGGCTGAGGCAGAGAGACCAATTTCCATCGATGCCGTCCCCGAGATACCGCGCAAACCCAAGACACCCACCCCGGCGGCCTCTGAACAGGTCAACGGCACGTCGTCGGATCCAGCAGCCGCCAAGCTCAAGCGTAGCGCGGATGAAGCTGGATTGAGCAACGGAGACGACCGCGCCAAACGGGTTGCCGGCGTGTCTGAAGCGAACGGGGACGGGGCCAATCCCATCGTTCTGGACGAGGCAACAGGGGGTGCCATTCTGATTGATGATGATTGATGATGCCTGATATGGCAATGACTCGCATATGGTGCTCTTTGTTGCCATATCACGTTGCACGGTTACGTGTTTCCCTTATTCTAGACTATTGGCGCTCAACTGGCATTTTATGTTCCCCTTTGCTGCATGTACGAGTATATTCCACCAGATGAATTGAATCATGAGATGCCGATCTTTGTAGCCAGGACGCCTCGCATGGAGTCGACTATGCAATCAACCGAGAAGTAACCAAGCATCTTCCTATCACCACACACACACCTCCCAACTTCACCACGGAGACATTAAACAGCACTCAACCCCCCATCCAAATTCAAGACACAGTTATTGGCGTACTCATTCAGCGCCAGAAACACCGCCGCATCGGCGACCTCGTGCGGCAGCCCAAACCGACCCAGCGGGATACTCTGTTTGAGACGGGTGGTTTCCCCCTCGCTGAAATCTGCAGAAATAGAAGAAGAGTTAGCTAGCTTGTTTTCCACCCCTAGCCGTAATCCTTGAATTTCCTCCCGGCCTTTTCCCCCAAAATCCCAACCCAACCCCAACCCCAAAGAAAAGGCCAAACTCACCCTCAATCATCGGCGTCTCCACATACCCCGGCACAATGGCATTCGACCGCACCCGCACCTCGCGCAGCGCCGTCCCGGCCTCCACCGCCACGGACCGCGTCAACCCCAGGATCCCGGCCTTGGACGCAGCGTACGTCACCGCCCCCGTGCCGCCTTTACGCGCCAGCAACGAGGCGATGTTGATGATGGATTTCGAGGGTGGGGCCGGTGGCTGGTCCGCCCCAGTAGTCTCGCCATCCCCGCCCCCATTCCCGATAACTGTCGAAGCCGAAGCAGCAGGCGACGGGGACCGTTTCGCGCGCACATGATTCCGCATGGCGGCGCGCAGGAACGCTCGCGTGGTCAGGATCGCGCCTTGCAGGTTCGTGTCGAGGATGCGGGCGATGTCCTCTGGGGAGGATTTGGAGAGGACGCGGGAGATGGAGAGGCCGGCTGCGTTTATGAGGTGCGTGGGGTTTGTGGTTTGCTATACCTCTTTTAGCTGGGGTTTTGGTTGGGGGGGGGGGGGGGGGGGGGGGGGGGGGGGGGGGGGGGGGGGGGGGGGGGGGGGGGGCTGGCATTGAGGGTGCCGGGCTAGGCTTACCATGACTTTCTCGAGCTCGCGACTCCAGCTCGCTGCGTCGGCGATGTCGCCGACGAGGAGGCTGATGGTTGGGGAGAAGGGGAGGAGGGTGTGTTGCTGTGGTTTTTCGGGGGAGGATGAGCTTTGGGGTTGGGATGGGGGCTCCGCGGTGCTGGAGCTGGAGGAGAGCGTTGTTGCTGCGTTGACGAGACGCGCGTAGGACCGGCCGACGAGTATCACCTGGTCGATGCCTTCTTGGAGGAAGCGGGCGGCGATGGCGTAGCCGATTCCGGAGGTTCCGCCTGTGATCATGCAGGAGCGGCCTTTGAGGCGGTTGGAGGGGGGGTAGTAGGGGGTTGTGCTGTAGGCTCGGGGCTGTGGGGAGGGTTGTGGAGGGGTGGTGATGGGGTGGAGAGGGGAAGTTCTGGGCTGTGGTGATGATGCAGAGCGGAAGAGTTGGCGGGATGACGCGCTGAGGCGCAGTGTGTGCTTTGGATACATGGTTCTTCTCTTTCTCTACCCAGTTTTCTTGATGCTGGTTCAATTGCTCAAGGCTGCGAATGCTACTGAAGCTTGATGGTTGAGGTATAGTTGGGTACTATAGGATGATTAGCATGGGTCTGGGATTTTGGGCCGCGTGTAGACTTGCCAACGATAGACTTCGGGATTGGATTAGATGTAGCTCAATGCAGGTCAGATAGTACCATGGAGCAAATCAATCGTGTGTATTGAAAGAAAGTCCGTCCAGAGACACAAAGTATACGGCAATCTCCGCGCAATTGAAAGAGTTCCATTCCCGGGTCGTCGAAGTACTCCGCTCGGAAACCCTCCGCGGCGCAGCAAATAAAGCCAAGGGCGGGGACCCACTGGCCACTGACGCCAGCCCAGTCCAGTCCGCGGAGACTTTCACCTGCGCTCTTGCGCTCCAGAACCACCCGAACAAAGCCATCCCTCTCAACCTTTGCAATGCAGCCGACACCTCCGAGTATATAAACCAACTCTTTCCACCCACCCCAGACACCACCAACCAACCCATCTACCCTTCAAACCACTACCCACCCAACCACACACACACACCCCCACAATGACGACCCCCGAACAAGACCAAGAGTTCGTAACCCTCGTCTCCGGCGACGGCTATGAGTTCATCCTCCCGCGCTCGACCGCGTGCATCTCCAAGACGCTCCGCATGATGTTCGACCCACTGAGTAGGTCCCACGCGCCCCCGCTGCCCGACTCGCTCAAGGAGCAGAAGGCAAAGGAGGTGAAGGACAAGGACGCTGACAAAGACTCCAATCTAGGCAAGTTCTCCGAAGCCCTGACCGGCCGCTGCGTCCTCGAGAACATCAGCGGCGAGGTCCTTGAGAAGGTCTGCGAGTACCTGTGCTACAATGAGAAGAACAAGGACCAGGTCAACGTGCCGGACATGGAGATCCCGCCCGAGCTGTGTCTGGAGTTGTTGATGGCGGCGGATTATTTGGATGTTTGATCCCTTTTGTTGCTGCTGCTGCTGCTGCTGCTGCCGCTGGCTTCGCTGGTTTGTGGTGGCGTTCAAGGGTGGTAAGTTCAGCTTGAGAATTTAATTTTGCGCCTGTTCTGACTATTGAATAGGTTTCGATTTTGCAACTTCTTATCCCTTACTTCCGATTGATGATTTACGTGAAGACGATCCAGACATTTTTTTATTGTTGTTTATACACTACCTATCTTGGAGTCGGGGTTTATGTTTCTGCTGCGTTGACGGATACAATAGAGTGGCGTTTTTGAGGGCAGCATAGATATACCAAGGCATTTCCACGGGCATGTTCGGTGCCATGCACATCTCACTTTGTCCTCCGCTCATTTCCCTCTCCTCCCCGTGAGCCACCGGCCAAGCCATCTGAGCATCTGCATCCGCTCTTCCTACACCCATAGACGGATGCCCTAAAGATGATGGCAGATTCAATCTCCTATCCCCTCTATACAGCCCTCGTCCTTTCATTTGTGGATTGTAGGGCTTTCTAGAGAGTATTTCCTACCGAAAAGGGGAGACATATGCCGGTGGCCACCTAGCCGCAACAACCGTAAGTAATTCGAATCACCTCCGCTAGTAGTGGCCGCGCTCATCGCCCTTTCGGCGTCGACTTCGGCTTCGGCTTCGGCCGGTACTGCGTCTTGTTCGCCAACGCCTTCTGCTTGTAAAGCTTCTCCTTGCCAAAGGCCGCCTCCGAGATGCGTAGATAGCTCACGACCCCCTCATCCACCACCGCGAGAATCACGTTCCGGTACCCGTGGCGCAGCCGCATGTACAGCTGCCGGCTCATCTTCTCGCTCGTCGGGGGATCCAGGGGCGTGCTCTCGAGCAGAGCCCCCAACTGCGACAGGGTGGGGACAGAGGTGTGCGCACGCGCGTCGACCACAGCGATTCGGAAATCCGGCGGCGGCGGCGCGGACTTCTTGAAGGGGGTGGAGGGTTTGTACACGTGGAAGACAACTCGGTAGGGCGCTTGCGCGGGGGATCGGGCCGCTTGGGGAGCAGCCGTCGGGTCATACCAGGGGATTATCGAGAGTTTGCTGTAGATATCGTCTGTTCGAGTATAGGTCAGCAACTGAAGAGACAATGTCGTAGTCGCGGGCGAGCAAGACCGACCATAGCTGCGGTGGAATCCGACTCCCGCAACGGGTCCCAACGCCGTGTTGGTACTCGGCGGGCAGAGCCACTTCATGAACCTCGAATAGATCCCGGCTAATCCAGCGCCGTGCTTCCCTAAAACCTCCGACCCCGAATCTTCAATCCCAGCCGCATCCTCCCCGTCGTCGTTCCAGCCCGGTGCCCGCATGATCGTGTAGCCCAGCCGTCGCAGCCCTGTATACACCGAGAACCGCTCGCTGTTCAGCCCGCCTCTCGATGCAAAGGCCGCATAGGCAGCCTGCAAGCTCATCGGAATCCCCGAGTCCTCGGTATTGTTCTCATCACCCTCGTCCTCCTCATCCTCGTCATACCCAACCTCCGAACGAGGCCAATGGATATTCAAACTCCCTCTCTCCAGCATAAACAACGCCTCCTCCGGAAGAAGCCAGATCCGGTTCCACCGGTCCGCCTGGCCGATGGTCTTGAACAGATTGGATTTGGGGTTCGCGACGTAAACGCAGGCGTCGGGATGGACGTTGCCTACTGTCGTCGTCGTCGTCGTGCTCGGTACTTCCGCGTGATACTGAGGAGACCCCTCCGCTATCGATTCGAGATTCGAGGGCGTGTGTTGGGATGGCGGCGCCGGTCCATTGGGCGCGTACACGCCAATGATCTGATTCTTTGGGTGGTGGATGCGGGGGTAGGAGAGGGCGTTGTGCATTGCCTGGCGGGAGGCGGAGAGGATGTCGGCCTGGTAGAGCGTCGGGTTCGGTTCGAAGTCCTTCTCGCCTCGTTTGGGGATGCTCGCTTGGGTGCCATCTGTAAGACTGTATCTGTTAGTCTGTTTGCAGGGGCATATGCATCTCGCAGGGAAAGTGAGAAGAAAAAAAAGGTGATGGAAGGAAAGCTCACAAGGAGATATTGCTCAGCATGCGAAAGTCCTGCGTCTCATCGGACAAGTCGACTTCGATATGCGCCGACCCATCCTGCGACGGCATGTGGATCGCCGCTTCATCGGTGTCGGCCATTATGGTTGCAAGCACCAATTGCGCAAAGTATATGCGCCGGGACTGTTGTAGAGGGGAGGGAGCTGAGAGCTGCTGGGGGGTTGAACTCAAAAAGAAAGAGAAATGCAGGCGGGCTGATACGGGATGCGGGATGCGGGATGCGGGCCTTGTCGATAAGAAATTCTGCCCGCGGGATCTCGAGTTGCGGTGATATCAGGCATGCATCTCCCCCCAGGCAGCAACTGGAACAGGTGACTAGCGTTCACCAACGTGACAGACTGTCTAGAAGGGGTATCGGCACTATTCAACAGCTGTGGCTGCGAATTATCTCCGATCCCAGTCTCAAACCTGCTGCCCAAAGCTCATCGGACCCGGACATCGCGGGGAGTCGCAAAGGAGACAAAGGCAACCAACCATGGAAGAGTCGATAGACTACAATGAACTTATTGCACAGGTGAGATTCAGCACTTCTTCCTCTGGAATATTGGTAAGGTCTGACATTGAAGCATAGATTTCTGTAAACCTCAACAATGCACTCAACACGTTCGGTGCCTCATCTCCCCAGTTCCAGAATGTCCTCAGTATCCTAAAAGACTGCCTGCGGGAATTGGACGAGCGATCGCGGAAATCGACCTCGGTGGATCCTGAGATGCTGAATCTCGCGATGGGCTTCTTGTCGCTGGGAGAGTAATCCACGTGGGAGACCATGCTGTTGATTCTATGACTCTGGAAATTAGCGCCAGCGTCTTCATGATTTGACATGGTTCGAGTAACAGAGCCTCGACTATTTATTTGCATGAACGCATTGCACTGCGATCGCATGTCTTGTTTCTTAGGACATTAGCAAGCCTCTTCAGATACATCTTACATATTATATTGAGCTTACACCACTATATGAGACTGTGGGAGGGAACGCGAAAGAGACAAGGACGGAATCCTCTCTACCACCAACCCCTGGCAAAGCGAAGCAAAGTCAACCTGAACACCCTGTTATGTCCTGGCCAATTGCGAATGAATCCACACTGCGACCATGATATTTATGCAACAAGAACTCCGTCGCCCATGCATTCGTAATACGTGTCCATGCTCTGTGCAGAAGTTGCAGGCATGCTGAAACGAAGAGAAGGAAGAATTAAAAGGAAAAGTCGTGAGATGCTGTCCTTGACCACTTGGCGTGGCAGTGGTGCTTTTGTGGTCGGCACTGGAGCAGGAACGGCTGTCGACAACCTGAATGCTCGATCAGCTGTGACAGGGCCGGTGTACGGTAGGTGCCCGCGTTATGATTTGCTCAGTCGATCAGAGGTTTGTGTTTGCCTCCAACTATGGCCACCCCAAGATGGCGGAGAGCATTTGGGTCGTTAGGCCGTACAATGGAGGGCAGAGGCAGCATCGGGTTGTCCGGGTTCACATGAACGGCGTCCCGAGCTGCCTGTTCTATAGCCTCCATCTCCTCTTTGCATCCTGCATGGTCGAGCGGGCAAACAACGATCGGCTGTCGGATGGTAATATCCCTTGCAGATGCCAGGTGGGCCTGTTCAAAATTAGCAGAGTTCGATCGTCCCAGTGCGGAATGACTATACCTTGACAGTCAAATAGTACTCGATCTTGTAGAGGCTCCCGGTTGTGGTAAACCCGCTCACTGCGTATGTAGGAAACCCCGGTCTACTTCTGGGGAGTATCCCCTCAGAGTCCCGCATATCCTTGGCGGGGAATACCAAGCCGAGATTCGTCAAAAAGCCAGAAGGGGGTAATTTGACGCCGATCGGTTCTGTCCTTTTGGTCAAGGTCTTGACCTTGCGCTGTGGCTCGTCGCCCTCATGGTTGTATATAATTTCCTCATCAATACCAATCGTAATCTTGTTTATAGTGACTTTTCTGGCTTTGCTAATCCAATCCGGGTTCGGTGAGAGTTTCACGTAGACGCTCACCGGATCCAAAGGCCCGTAAGACCACCGGGGCAGGGATATCCCCAATGTGACCAAATGATCCGACACTCGCTCGGCGGACTCGGGGCGATTGTACATTCCAAACGTCGATAGGGTGTCGTACCGTGCCATTGGAACGGGGAACGAGTATTTCCGCTGTTCTGAGGGCCCTTGTTGAACCGCCACCACGATCTCATAATATGTCTCAGCAGTGCGACTGGGAAGTTGTAGACTCGCCGGAGGAACGCGCCTCGAGGCATCTGCTCCGCCCCGCCCAAAAGGAATGAAGAGCACGAAAGGCAAGTCCATGGAGATGACCTCTTCGGACTCTCGACCGGCCGGGCAGCGGAAAAGAAGCATCTCCTTGCCCACGATATCGGTAATCTCCTTCCGGGGTGGCGCAAGGTGCTTCTTGGTCACGGAATCCGCCGAGGGATGAATGGTCTCGCGACGATGAAGGGATATTGTAACGAGGGATACACTGACGGGGAGCGAAATGCCAGTGCTGGGCCTGATCTCGACTTTACCTTCAATACGTGGCTGGTATAGGGTCAGCGACTAGGTTGCGTACTGGGCAACAAAAAAACAACCAGGGTTCAGCTCACCATTGTGGCAGAGATGCCAGGATATCCGATCAAGAAATTGCCATTTGGCGGGCCCGACACTCGCACGAAGGCGGGCTTGCTCATAGCGCTGCACCCGCACCACCATGGGCACGCGGCGGTTGAGAGGGATGCGCTCGGGGGTTGCTGCGGTGTATATAGGACCTCGAAGTCTCAAAATAAATTGACCCCTGCATAGAGATCAAATCCGGCAACCGATCCTGGTTGATTGCGCTGCACCGGAAAGGTCCTCGAGGGGCGCAGATGCGGTATCCCGTTCTCGTTGCTATGCAGGACTAGCTCGGGCCTGAGTGCGGACAAGGCTGGACAAGGGCGGGTTTGCTGTTCGAGACCGCAGACTAGGATTGTTGCTAAGCTCCGACAAAGGGCGCACAGATCTAAGGTTGTAGGAGAGTGAAACCGGGAGTGAGGCAAGGCGGCTTGGAGGGGTGATGGGGTGGGCAGGGTAATCGCGAAGGAAGCGAGAGTTGTTTACAAGCGCCGATGTGGGGAGAGGAGAAGAGGACGGATGATGATGATGCTGATGGGGGGGGGTTTCAGTTGGAGGGTGCGGTTCAGTCGCAGCGGCGGCTAACTAACTAACACTAACACAAGACTAGCCAAATTTCCAACGGCAGCCACGGAACCACTTTGTCTGCTCTCCACCTTTTTGCTCGAGGCGCTTTTCTTCCGTCATCGATCCGCAGCGGGAATACGAGCAGCAACATGCAGCAAGGCAGCAAGCACCACACGCAATCTAACGTCCCGACTGCTGCTTGCTTATGCTTATTCACTTTCAGCACTCCAACACACATGAATTGGTCAATCTTCCAGCGACACGCGAGTAGTGGATTTCATGTTTGTTACTAGCGTCGCTCCTCACGCGAGGCTGAGACTCCAGCAGGAGCTGTACCTGAACCAGTACACTACAACTACCGGTCCGTCGGGTCAGCCTCGTCCTGGCTTACATGGGCTGAATGACAATGGATTCCTTCTTCTTATTTCCGAGACAAATTTCCGAGACAAACAATCAATCCTATATTGCACCACAATGTCATGGCCTGAGGCGACCACAACAACCGAGATTGGTGGAATTCGTTGCGAACAGTCATGGTTCCTACAGCCCATTCACAAATCCGTCGCTCACACTTAAATGCCAGCTGGGAGTCATAGAGCTAACCTAAAGTAGGTTGTACTGTACTTGATACTTGGCGAGGGCCTTGCATCCCACGTGACCCTGGAAGTATATCTCACCGTTTCATGGCTGGTCGCGAGCTGGGAGTTCTTGTCAGGGATACCAAGAGTCAGCAAGCCTGTCAACCTCGAGCCCTTCATGCGGCCCCCCACGCACGACCTGCACTACAATACAGGTACGCTATAGGCAGCATTGAATTGGTAGCCACTCGAGGATCACATGTGCCAGAAGCTCACTCCCCGGCCAATCTCTCCCCCCTCTTGATGGCTTGTAGCAGACTATCAGTCGCCGCCAGTGGTGTATCTTGTCTCTGATTGCACAGAATGCGGAGGTAAACTCGGTTTAACTGATACGGCGGTGCTCACATTTGAAGGCAGAAACCGCGTAGCCTTCGTATCAGTATGACGCAAAATGTATATTCTGTTGATCTGCCCAAGACCTCAGAGGGCAAGCGTATCCACAAGCATTGCCCCGTGCCCGTTTGTGTTTCTTGACCATGTTTGGCACGAGCAATCAGATCATGTTTCAGCATTTACTGTTTGTTCTAAGTCTCGTTCAGCGACTAACCGAACTTGGTAAAGACCACGTAGAAAGTTGAGCTATTCGTGAGTTTCCGCATCACCTTGGAGAAGAGGAGCCGAAGGTCATCAGCATGGCTTCAATACAGTGTTTCAAGGACATACTGGAGACTTATTTATCTCTCAAATTGTACTAAGTCCAATAAAGTGTCCTCGAAGGTTGTTCATTGAATGCACTTTGAATGCCTGAGTTTCCAGGTGCCAGCAGCGACCCAGCATAGATAGATGCCTTGATGCTTTGATCGCAAGTACCTTGTCGACAGCACAGGGGAAAGTTGCCTGTCACTAAATATCTCGATGGAGCCCTTTAGCCCGGCAAGAATCAACTTAGATTGACTCAAGTGATTGGAACAGGAGAGAGTTGGCTCTTTGTAGTTGCTTCACGTCCAGCTTGTGAAATGTGAACGCTTGCGGAGGGCGATGTGCCAATATAACCCTTTTCGGCGAATGGCGGCGGTTGCCAGGTGCGACAAACACAATGACATCGTCCCCCCACACACTCACCTTGGATCAGACCCTTCAAGTCTTCCGACGGTCGACGCTCATCACCAGCCTCTAGTGCCTTGACGTACAGAAAACCACATCACACCAAGCGAGCATTTTCTTCTACCGTCGTAATTCATAATCTCAAGATCAATTGTCAAGATGCCTGCCGCTCGCCGTCGAGGAGGCAACACCGCCGCCACCCGCTCCGGCCAGTCAACCCTGTCTTTTGGCTCCAAATCTAGAATCACCAAGCCATCTGCGGCTCCTACGACACGCTCCCAGAAAGCAAAGGATCTTGAGCCGCTTGTTACTTCTCTTCCTGAGGAGCCCGTCCAAAGTGCCTCCGAGCCAGAGGAGCTGAAAGACACTCACACAGAATCCTCGCAGCCCCATGTGGCCGAACTCGCCGTTAGGCAACAAGCACAGACAGAGATCAAACAGCCAGTGTCAGAGGAGGACCAGAAGGCAAGCAAGCTTACGGAACGGGATTTGACCAGATATTGGAAGCAAGAAGAGGCTAAAAGGCGAGGGCCTCGGGGTAAGGAGTCCAAGAAAAATTACTTGAGTCATTGAGTTCATGCTGATGGGAACGTCTATTGGAATAGTGCACCAAAACGACCTCACGACGCATGAGAAGATCTTGCGACACTTTGATCTTTCTAGTCAATACGGGGTATGTGGCTACCCCTGCGCGTCGTCCCCGAGCCCTTCGCCGTTCCTTTCTCCGTTGAACCCAACAACTAACCACTCTGTGTAGCCTTGCATTGGCATCGCCCGACTCCGACGCTGGAGGCGTGCTAACACACTCAAACTCAACCCGCCAATTGAGGTTCTTGCCGTACTCTTGAAAGAGAGTGATGATGCGAAGCAAAGAGCCTACATCGACGAGTTGTTGTCTTGAGTAAGAAACAGTTCTTGTACATGATATGTTGGATACAGTGAGAACTTGGAGTACGGTTTGGACTTTGGAAGCGGCGTTTCGGTCATGCTACGCATACCCTTTTCATTATTTCATCACTCTGGCTCGTCAAATTGATTACATATGCCTCACTGGATTTTGGTCCTGTGACTGTCTTTCTTCTATGGTGTCTTCCATTCATAAAGGTAACGGGAATGAATGAACGGCCCCTGCCCCATTTGCAACGCCATGGTGCCATGGTAGGTCTCAATTTCCGAAAATTCCAGTCAAATGGCTTGTGCCCTCCGGATTCCTTGGCTTGCCAGCTCCTACCCAGGGAATTTGCTCGGTGCCAATTTCGCAGCCGCGTAAGATTGTCACACAGCAGGCAGAACGTGTCACACCCACCATCTTCCTCTCAAATGACCCGTCCGTCCTGCCATCAAAGTTGAGCCGGGGTTTGTAGTCCAATGGCTCAAATGGTTTCTACGCCACCGGCTTCTGCTTTGGCCTGGTTGCAGAGCCGTTGAGGTTGAGGTCGATATATATGACTTCTCAATAGTATGTGCCCATCATGTGCATTGCGGATGGCACCAGTTCACACAAACAGGAGAGAGTACTTTGAGATTTTTGAAGTTACCGTGATGCTTGAGCTCGAAAGCAGTCCTACCACCATGATATAAATCCACAAATCCACAAAACTTAACTATGGATTCAGTAACGACAACCCTTTCGCAAAATGCGACAGTTACACGTCACTGCCGAAAAGCATATGTGGTATGTCTGCCCACGCTGATGGTTTACAGGAACGTAGGGCAGCCTAAACCAATGGGCCACAGCCTTGAAGTGCAATGGTTACGCACCTCGAAGATTGCGTTTGCTAGTACGCATTTCTTCTCTCCAATTACCCTCTCTTGCATCACATCGGAAAGTATGTCCGCATGTCTCAAAGGGGTTGCGCCGTGCTCTCATAGGCTCCCCATCGTGCCCACGCCACCCGTGTGCCTTGGGGAAACACCACTGTATGTATATATAGCAATCTCGAAGGGACATGTGATGGTCTTCCCAAGGCTCTGTGCGAGGTGAGCTCATTAGCTTATAAGAGCTAACGGCCATCCCAAGGGGATTTGTCTCCACGCCGCTGTATATCTTCAGCAGCTATCACTCGTTTGATTTCTCCTTTTCACACTCCTTTAGACTCAACTCTGCAGTCAAAATTCCACCTTCATCCCGGCCTACTGTTGTCCAGCAAGATAATATCAATTGCCCAAGATGTATCACCACCGTGCATTGATCCTGCTCCTTGTTAGCGGTCTCGCCAGAGCACAGCTACCCAACCTTCCCCAATGTTCTGTACGTGACCGGCCAGGACTGTAGCGGAAGCTCCAGGCTAACGAGCCGCAGCTGAACTGTTTCATCAGCGCGTTCCAAAATGATGGATGCTCGCGCCTCCTCGACTTCGCCTGTCATTGCTCGAAGCCAGAGGTGGTGCAAGTCGTGACTCCATGCGTGCAAAAGAACTGCAATGCTGCCGATCAGAGCGGTATGGAAACCTCTCCCCTGCCTCTCATCTTTGTTGCACGGGCCACCTATTGACCACCATACAGCCGTATCGAACGAGGTTGTCCGCCAATGCTCCGCGGCTGGCCATCCCATAACCCTCCCACCCGTTGCTGGTGCCGAGACCACAACCACATCCCAGCCCCCGGCCACTGCCCCCAACACGAGCGCACACCCCACCAACACAGGAGCGATGACTCTTCCCACCATCTCCTCGGCTGTGACTCCATCCGGGCCCAAGTCCACGCCTGGAGCCTCTGGCACCGCCTCCCGCAGCTCCTCATCGATCATTCAAGCATCGTCCAGTACCCCCGGGGCTTCCTCATCTCGGGCATCTCCCAGCACTCCTCTTGCCACGGGGGCCGGCTCTCACGCCGAGGCTAACATGGTAGGAGCCGCTCTTGCCGTCGCTGCGGCAGCTTACATTCTATAAGTGATGGGAGATAAGACTTGAGCCTCACTCGTCGATGGGTGATCTTCTCAGGGGCCAGGCACGTCGATGGACTGTATGTCCTAGCGACACGATGGTTGTAATATCAAGACGAGAACGGATCATGTAAGGGGAGGATACATTGTTCTTGAAAGGTCTTCGATCATTCAGTGTCATTCGTGTTGTCTGTTTTCTCATCCCGCTGCTTTCGCGGTGTTTTCAGGTACGATGGGAATTTGAGTTCTGTTCGCGCAGCTATGAAAGGAAATCGGCTGTAGGTAATGGGAATACATTTGTTTTGAGCTTAAGTCGGAGTGCATGAACCCTTAGGGTGTCGACGACGTTCACTAAGGCAGTGTCCTGTCGTGTAGCTAGCGTACGTCCGTAGATAGACGAAGTAATCTGCTTCTGTTTTCCTTGGCAGAAGTGGTAAAGAGATGCCCGGATCCTGTCAGGAAAGATCACTACCGTCATTAGAAGCTGTGCTGCTCCGGACCAGGATCTCTGATGAGAGACCCGGAGGATTGCGGTGTGAGAGGAGCGAACACAAAACACCTACTAGACATTCACCTTCCTTCCGCTATATACCGCCAGTCCAGCCACAAGAGAGGCCACAGGCTGCCACCCCACACCGATAGCTGAAACACTACCTACCCACCAGGAACACCTACCGTCTTTGGGAGATATTTCAGAGAATGGGAGAGGAGCTACGGTAGAGCCACACAGCCGATTAAACCCGAGAAAAGCGAACCATCATCCTGAAGAACAAGTATCTTCAGTTCAGCATGTTGATGTCCGTATGTACTAGTACTCATCACCAGACCATTTTTGTCATGTTATGTCCAGGGCCAAAGAAAATCACAACTCCGCTAGCTAAACGCAACAAATACCACCTCTAGATCTGACCCCCTGACCCCCTGACAACCGGACGATCGATCCTCGAAAATGTACTACTGTACTGTAGGTAAATCGACCCAGACCCAAATGAACAAGATCCCCGTTCCGAAAAGAAAATCATATCACACCCAGATGACCACCTAAGCGGGGCAAAAGCCCAAGCAGAAGTCAAAGAGAGAAGCACCAGATAAGTTCAACAAGCCGAGTCCAAGCCATGAACAGATATGCAACGGCAGTGCACAAACACACCAGGTAAGCAGACAAAGCTCCCCCTCCCCAAGGACGAGGACCAACTCTCCCTATCCAAGTCTCACTTCTTCTCCTGCTTAGCAGGACCGCCCGCAGCACCAGCAGCAGCAGCACCACCACCACCACCAATATCCCCGGTAGTATCAGTATCCCCGGTATCCTCCAGATCCGACCAATCGCTGAACTCCTCCCGATCCGACGAATTATCTGACTGATCGGCATCGTAGGCGCGGTCGGGGTCGTCGCGGAGCGGCTCGACGGCGAACAGGTGGGGGTGCACGGCCGCGATATCGAGGTAGGCGGCGCGGCGGGCCATGGGACGCTGGGGCAGGGTGTTATCGTCGCCGCGGCGTGGGACGGGGGCGTACGCGCTAAAGAAGCTGCAGATCACCGGGCGGTCGAGGTCGGAGTCGGAGCTCGAGTCGTAGGGTCGGCGGCGCACGATGGTGGCGCGGGGCGTCTTGGAGGCGGCAACGACGGTCTTCTTGCGGCGGGAACGGGGGCCGGTGGTAGAGGAGGAGGGCCCCGAGGCGCGGGCGCGGGCGCGGGCGCGGGCGGGAGCTGGGTACGGGGTTGCTGAGGTGGTGGCGCCGGGGACGACTTCGGGGCGGCCTAGGCGGGCGTAGGTTGTGGTGTGGCGGAAGGGTGTGTTGGGGAGGATGTGGCTGTTGTCTTTTCAGGGGGTTTAGTTTGGGGGACTTTGGTCCTTGGGGATGGGGGTCTGGGGGGCTTGTGTTTGTGTATAACACAGGGGAGAAGAGGAAGACTTACGTCCACGCTTGCACGCCTCAGTGTCGCTTGAACTGTTGCTGTGCATCCCACTGCGGACGCGATCGGAGCTCTCCTTCGTAGACCCGGACTCGTTCTCGATAGACACAGTCTCATTCAGAGATATAGTCTCGGCCATGGACATGGTCGCGTCCCCATCCTCAGAGTCGCTCGAAGTCTGGGCCTCAGAGGCCCCGGGCCCGGCGCTCTCACTGCCGGTCTGGTCCTGGTCCTCGGCCTCGTCCTCCATGTCGGTGACGGGAGGCCACAGACGCATCCGCTGGCCGCGGCGCACAGGCTGCGTGTGGATGAGGGTCTGCGCGCCCTCCTCTTCGGACGAGGAATAACTCGAAGACATGGTGTCGGCGTCGGAGATATAGCCGTCTGAGCCAGTGGTGGAGAAGTAGGAGGAGGTTGGAGATGGAGTGTATCCAGGGCCACGCCCGAACAGAAAGGGGAACAAACACATCGTAAAAATCGTCTTGTCGCGCGATTGTAACGTGCAGTCGTGATGGTTTGTAAGAATCGGAACTGATTTCGCGTAACAAAATCACTTCTGGACAGTCTAAGGCATAAAGAACGATCGATGAGCGCGGCACGATTTCATACTTGCTTGCTTGCTGGGCTCACTTACTTGCTCAGACTGTGTCTGAGTGTATATCTTGGTTCTGCACGCTAGAGACGGTGAGGTGAAGCCTGAAGGATACAGTGAAAGTAAGAGATCAAAAGGCTTACGACGAGGAGGGGAAGAAGATGAGAACAACAGGCTCAGGTGACAAGTTGATCGATATGAGCATACAGACAGCACCTGTATGCTCGAAAGCGGTGAGACCAAAAGAAACGAAGCCAATGGGTTTCTTCAGAACACCTCAGAGTCAGCATGGCATTTGTTGGTTGTTCTCCTACATGGTGCACACCGTAGGGTGGCATAGCGGGTTCTTGTGGACTGGAAATCATGAAAGCAGACCTATTCGGGTGAGTCTGATTCTATATTGCCTCTCCACCTTCAAAGGCATGTTCAGAGAATAAAGTGCTGAATGGGCGATTATATTCATTTATCTAGCGCGTGGGAGTGAATGGTCAAGGAACCCGAAAGAATGCTTGATGCAATTCTACCATTTTTTCTGGTGAGCGAAAATGAAACGACGATATCCCGAACGCCGTGGTTAAAGGCAACCTGTTATGCATATAGTAACAAAGGAGGCTCAGAAATAGGAGAGGAGAAACAGCGTCCGCCAAGACAGTATGGCTGCAGACACAACTCGAGAGAAACAGACCTGGAGTGAACCTATGGCACCCACAGCCGGACAAACCCTCCAACTTCACGACGGCAAGTCACACAGCTGCCAAAGTTGTTCATCGCTAGGCTCACCCGACAATCCTCGCAGATACACAAACACCGACAGGGCCATGTTATAATAGACCGCGGACTGGTCTGACAGATGACACACGGCGGTCCGCTGGGACCAAGGCCTGATGCTCCCGACTCCCACGTCTGTTCGTTTGATGGGGACTTGGTCAATGACTCCGATCTTTGGGAGAGGATGAGCTTCTCCAAGATTTCAGTCTCCTCCTCTGGTGTAGGTTTCCGCTTCTCGTCACCAGAGCTCTGCTGGTTTAGCCGTGAGAAACGCGAGGTAAGCAGAACTTGGGCCCTGTCGCGCTCGACCTGTTGCTGGAACTGGCGACGAGTCATGATCCGACCTTCACGGCCCGCAGCAAGGTGTGCCGCCAGTATACGAGCTTCCTGCCTGCTTTCCTGGTCGCGAGGATCCAGTAGACGGGCAAAGGAGCCAAGATCAACGAGTGTTTCCTGCACAGGAGTGTCTTCGCGAGACAAACGACCAGGATACGGGTCTTCTTGTGTGGGAGTCCGGCGTCCATCCGACTCATAAGCTTCCCAGTCAGAGTCGCTGGTTGTTACCATTGACACAACGCTGGTTGTGTCGTCCCAGTCTTCAGCAGAGGGCACATAATCAGGACTTTGATCTTGATTGCCCCATGCACCTCCAGCTCTCCACCAGTCATACAATTTCTCGTCAAGCCGCCGTTCGTCCGACTCTCCCCAACGGCTAGCATCGACGCTCTCCCGCCGACGCATCTCGGATTCCACATCAAACTCGGAGTTGGCAGGTACTTTGAGCACCCCATCCTCCGACATTATCCAGAAGTCTAGCTTCTCGAGATTGTTCTTCCTTCCCCGATGCTTCTTCTTCCGCTGACTCCGAACCAACGATTTGAGCCACTGCGGCCGCCTGTTGATACCAATCTTGCTCAGTAGCTTGTCAAAGCCATACGCGGTCCACCGGAGCAAGAAATGGAAGATGGCACGAAAGAACGCGAAAGATTGATAGCACCGAACAACGCCTCGAAATGCGCCGACACCTTCGGACTCATCGTGTGCTCTCGCGGACTGCGAGACGGTGGTCTCGACTTTCTTCTCCCGAGCATATCCAGATTCCCACTCCCACTCCGCAGTGGCTTCCATCTCAAGCTCCTGCAACTCCTCACTTTTCTGAAGGTCGCCGTATACAGAGTCACGGCCTTGCGCACCTGAGTATTTGCGTTGCATAAGCTCGATTTCAGCTAGCCTGTCCCTTTCCAGCCAAGTCATTCTTTGCGCGACTACTCCCCGTCCCTCATTCAAGAAGACTGCCTGCCTGGCGGCAGTCAAGGCTCCATAGCCGATTCTTAATGAGGTGGTGTAGAAGTCATCGTGACGGTTGAAACGTATGCTCTGGATCTGGTTGGCACCCTGCATATTTTCATGCGCCAGCGAGAATCTCTCTTTCAAGGATAGGTTCTGAGGTGCGTCCACAGGTAGCGAGAAGGCAGTAATCACAAGAGCTAGGGCATAAATAAAGACGCAAATCAATATTCCCAGCAAGATGAAAAGATGGGGCACAAATCCAACAAGGCAGACTGTTGGTATCCTGAAGACCAGGCTTTCGGTGCCAGTTGATGTACCACCAAATGTGCCCCATGCGATGGCAGACATGAAACAAATCCCCCAGAAAGTCGTGTTAACGAGTCGATACTGACTCTGCTTGCCGAAAACATCAAGCAGATTGGATGTCAAACTATTACAG